GAACAAAATCCATCTCCAGGGGGACTGACTTTCTCTCCTTCAGCCTGGGGTCCATCTCTAGGATGTTCTTGGATATCAGAGCAAGAGCATTTGGAATTGTTTTGGGAGTGTTCAGCGTTTGATTGAAGAAGGTGTCTGACGTATCATCCCTTTTGCAGCGAGGAGTGAATTGAACGGGCTGGTAAGGACTGGAATTGGTCAAATATGGGAAGCCACATGGATGGCCGGAGAAAAAAGCAAGTGACTCTTTGTCAACTGGCGCTGTAATCAAAATGTCCAAATAATGCTGCGTTTCAGCTTTAGCCATGTTCTTTACTAAGTTTGTAGAGACTTGTGTAACTTTGGATAATTTGGACCTCTTGGCCGCATTTATACTTGCGAGGTATCTTTGCAGTATATTGCGTGGAGATATGTAGTAGATTGGTACAAATTTCGTGGCCCCATCATATAAGCCGAGGCAAATTCATAGTGCAGAACTGGAAAAAGCGGCCTAGGTATAACCAGATGGTGTTGCTCTTAAAGGTTTGCCTCGGCATTTGCAATCGCGCCCCCATGACCTTGGCCATCCACTATCGGTATAATGGTCAGAGTCTAACAGTGAGTTCTTAGATACATCAAATATTCCTCCTTAAGCACGACTTACGCAATACATAGCCCAGGGAATCAAGGGTAGAGTAGATAAGAGATGCCAACGTCCCGTGGTTCGACAAAGTTGTGTTCCGTGGCTTCGTTGTTGTCGACTGGGTCCAGTGATAAGTAATTATTTCATGGACAAACTTGCGAAAACGTTGTCCCAAGTACTGTGACATCTACTAGTAGATCCCATTTTTGTCGGAAGGCTAATTCACGTAAATACGTGTAATAGTACGATGGTTCTATTTAGAAAACACTGTGGAGGTTGGCTCACACAGTCACTCCTCTTCTAACGAGTTCGCCTTCTCTTGATATTAAGACGTTGTCAGTTTTCACACTAGTACTCATATGTGGAGCATCCTGAAAATATGAGTTAGCTTTAAATACGTGCAAAATACCTACTAATGTAGATGCACTATAAGGAGGGGCCGTCATTGTGTTTACAGGGTGCGTAATAATCGCAGAGTTCCCCGCACGGTGGCTGAGGAATTTTCTGGGGCCGCCCACAACCTCCCTTTTCGTTGAAACTTTCTTCGTCTGCTAAATATATTCCTCTTTCCAGCTTTGGATCTTATCTAACCGACTTGTACTATGCGGGTCTTGCCGCAAGACCCCAAAGCCTATGGTCCAGCTGGTAGCCACGTAAGACTTCTCAAACCTATCAGTCTTTAAATCTTGGCTTTTTAGGATTGACAGGTTGTTCCGAGGAGAAGTTTGTTTAGCGGCAGCAGAAAAGAAAAGAAGAAAGGAAAAAAAATTAAAACGCGAAGGGCTTATCAGACTCGAAAAGCCCCCACTGGTGTTGAAAATCGAACTAGTCAATTTTAGCTATCTAACCGCCTTACGAGCGTCGGTGTTTCTGGTTTTGATTACTGAAAGATCGCAGAAAAGATTTTCAAGATTAATCTCTGATTATTGAGCAGCATGATAGGATCTGATGGTCTTATAAAAAAGCTCGCTCGCGACAACCCTGACCAGAAAACCACTACAAGTTTGGTCACATAAAGCCGAAGGAACCTCAAGGTTGGCTCCTGCCCTGAACAAACGTGAACAGCTATTATATACTGGCAGCTCATACAAAGACGCAATGAATATACCATCCATCCAAAATTCAATCATCTACGATGAGCCTGGCACGCTCTCGACTCGGGTTGTCGAGCACTCGGTGCCTGAACCGGGCTCCGGAGAGGTGCTTATCCGTCTGTACGGTCACGCCCTTCTTCAGATTTACAGCACAGTTTTAACATAGAATGCAGTACTCACTCGGGCGTTTGTCATTCTGATTTCGGCGTTATGATGAGCTCGGTATGTTCATCCAAATTATACCCTTTCAGTTGACATGCATTTCAAATCGTGGCCTCTATAGTTTGCTTACTTTGCTTGCAGTGGAGCGCACTGCCTGCCCCAACACCAAAAGGCCAAGTGGGCGGGCATGAAGGCGTCGGTCACATAGTCAAACTTGGTCCAGGGACTGACGTAGATGGAGTGAAGATCGGAGATCGCGTTGGAGTCAAGTGGGTGTCGAGCACCTGCGGCATTTGTCGTTCGTCTTTCTTCCATTCCATCCAGTTTTTTCGCTGCTGTATCTCACTCTTTCTATCCTTGCAGAACCCTGTCAGGCTGGCTCAGATTCTCTGTGTTTTAACCAGAAGATTTCTGGGTACTTCACTCCGGGAACCTTCCAGCAATATGTGGTTAGCCCAGCAAACTATGTGTCGCCAATTCCGGACAATCTCGATTCCGCCCAAGCAGCCCCCATGCTTTGTGCCGGAACTACTATGTATGCTGCCATCAAACGTAGCAATGCTCGGCCAGGGCAATGGATAGTGATTGCTGGTGCCGGTGGCGGACTGGGGCATTTGGGAGTGCAGCTCGCTAGCCGCGGCATGGGGTTGCGTGTTATCGGCATCGATCACCCGAGTAAGGCTGAACTTGTCCTATCATCGGGTGCAGAGCACTTTGTCGACGTCACGCAGTTTCCAAAGGACGTGGAGGATACCACTTTATCCTCCCACATTGCGGCACTGGCAAGCGGACTCGGTGCTCATGCTGCCATTGTCTGCACTTCTTCTAACGAAGCTTATGCTCATGCCCTACGATTCCTGCGTTTCAACGGCACTCTAGTGTGCGTCGGGTTGCCAGAGCACGGAACGGATCCTATCGCCACTTCCAGTCCCGCAACGATAATTTCCAAACAATGCCACATTATCGGCTCAGCTGTTGGCAATCGCCAGGATGCCAACGAAGTGCTTGACTTTGCAGCTCGTGGAATCATCAAGGCTCATGTACGCATTGAAGGAATGCATTCACTGACAAAAGTCTTCCAAGAGATGGATGAGGGTAAATTGCAAGGAAGAGTTGTACTTGACCTGCGATAGAGATTTAACAAACATGTTAGCAATGTGAAATACGGCTAGGTAGTTACGAAAGGGTCTTGTTGAACTGACCGATTGCACTTGTCATATGGATTACCTGGAAAGAGTTTCTTCGTTTTGCATAGCTATAGATGGTTCAGTGCGGTGATGACTTGGTTCAGTTTTTTATATGAGGGAAGCAAATCTTTATTGAGGCAAAGGGTGAGCACCGGTCAATCAAGGTCCCGCATCAAGATTTCATTATTCAATAGATGGTGTTGCTATGATGATCCCAACTTTCATTAACACGATATCTCCTAACAAGCCTCATTCTCTAGTTTCTTTCATCATCGGAACATCTGTTTGTTAACTGTGGGCAGCCTTGACCTACTCAGCTATGGTTCATGACGCAGCAGCCTTGCTTATTTGTACTACGTACCTATCAAACAGGATGAATCAGTAATCCAAGGAGGTAGTCCCGTTCTGGGTTTTCTGGTGACTTATGATAGGTCTCAAGTGGCTTTTTTTTGTTATACATAGTGAGTGCACTTGCTCTGTAGTGTGCCTCAGGTGCCCTTAACTTCTACTCGTTATTGCTTTGACCGTCTTTTTCATTTGAATTCTACGGTTTGCCTGGAAGAAAACGCTTAAATTGTATAAAAATCTTGGGTATTCTTCCAAGCATAGTCGTTCTTTCGCTTCATGATTGCTGCACTGACGGCATCCCTATGTACCGACTACTACTATTAAGCTTTGTTTTACACTCAACATCCTGATTGAACAAGTATCTGCCTGGTTCGATCCCTGCGCCAATATCTCTCAACTTGAATAGCCGAAGTCCGAACCAGATGCACTCCGATGAGAATATTCAGGAACTAACTATGATCCGGCTTAGTTCTCATAACTTTTATGGGGACCAATTAGTCAATGTGTATAATATCAGCGATTTCAGACTTTTGGACTTTATTTCCAGAACCCCGTTTGCGGCAACAATTTTAATAGGAGATGCCAAGATAAACGATGTACCGTTCTAGGAATTTGCAGGAATGGTCGGGTGGTTTAGCCAGACTCAAAGAGACACGTCCTTGGCCCCACCGTTCATTGTAAGTGAATGAGGCAAACTGCGTCTGAACCGTGTACTACGTCTCAGCCATGGTACATTATACCCCATCAGTCGGTTATGTTTATAAATGAGTCTCTTTGATCCTGTCTATATCCGTGGCCTTCCTGTTTGAGATGTGACTGGCTTACCACGCGGGAAGTCCGTCAATTGTCTGTTTGGGCCGATGACTACTTGTAGGCCGCGTATATTTTTGGGTTCAATCGCTTCGTTATTCAGAGCATGCGGCGTACTAGCGCCGGCGTTTAGATTGGACAGGTTCGGGAAGACGAGTTCGGCCCCAACCCTGGCGGTTAGATAAGAGATTAATACGTGGCCACGACTGCCAATAGTCCATGGCTTATCTTTCCGCAAAATTCCCATAACCACCATCATGCGGATAGTTAAGCCAATGAGTAAAATCAGCTACAATACTAACAAATCGTCGTTCGACACAATACCTAGCCACACGGAGGCAATCTTAGGGATAAGCTGACCTGCCCCATGCGTCGGTTAACTTGCCCCCAATTATCTAACAATTAGTTGTAAGTGTAGAGAAACTCATTGTCGTTAACCATGGCTTTAGTATAGCAAGTGAAAAATTCCCGCGGCCACGATGACCTCAGAAATCTACAAAGGTGCTAGAACCTCGGTGTTAACGGAGACGTCTACTTTGACATCCGGTTTGAGAATTGGGATTGCACACATCTCCTAAGCCGAACTCTGATTTCTAGCGTCTTCTCAAAAATCAGATCAGTGAAGCACCGTTAGATTGGCTCGTATTTAACGCCAAAAATTTGACACGAGAGACTATAAAAACCCCTGCGAAATAATCCCAACAAGCGCTTCTGTCTCACTTATCTGGCCGTCCTTTTATCTTCTCCTGTTCCTCCATAAGTGCCCAGATTGCCATAATGTCTCTTGAATTACATGATCTTCAATTTACCCCGCCAGAAGTTATCGCCGCACGCATCTCCGCCACCCGTAAGTCATTCCTCGAGCACAAGACCCGCAATGTTGAATTCCGCCTTTTCCAGCTCCGCAAGCTCTACTGGGCGTAAGTAGTATACCTGGAGGGAGATTGACACCATTTTTTCGTATGGAGACCAATTTCATAACAACAGTCCTGTAGGATTAAAGATCATGAGGAAGAGATCATCCTCTCTTGTGCCCAGGACCTACACAAGCCGCGCTTCGAGGTTGAGGTTATCGAGAGCGGCTGGCTACTGAATGACATTGCTTTCACCACCAGACAGCTACACAAGTGGTTGAAGGACGAGAAAGCCTCCGACATTGACCTCTTTTCCAAGCTCATGAGCCCTAAGATTCGTAAGGATCCACTGGGCTGTGTATTGGTGATCGGGTTGGTCTCCCCTTCCGCATATTGGGATTCATCAATGAGCCACTAAGAATTATTTGCCTATCTTATTCAGTGCATTCAATTTCCCGTTTCAGCTAACCTTAGGCCCTGCTATTGGCGCTATTGCTGCTGGTAATACCGTTATCATCAAGCCCTCTGAGAACGCACCCCGTAGCGCCGTTGTCATTCAAAAGATCTGCGAGGGATCCCTCGACCCTTGCTGCTATTCTGTGGTCCAAGGTGGCGTTATTGAGACGCAGAATCTTCTATCAGAGCGCTGGGATAAGATATTTTTTACAGGAGGTGCTAACGTCGGCCGCATCGTCGCCAAGGCAGCTGCACATTACTTAACTCCAGTGGTACTCGAACTAGGTGGCATGAACCCAGCCATTGTCACCAAAACTGCTGACCCCCGGCTTGTTGCGCGCCGCTTGCTTTGGGGCAAGACCTTGAATGCAGGCCAGGTCTGTATGTCACAGAATTTCCTACTTGTCGATCAATGTCTTGTATCTCAAGTGGCAGATGAGTTCAAGAGGGCATATAAGGAATTTTATCCTATGGGTGCCAAGGAGTCCCCTGACTACGCGCGTATCGTCAACATAAAGCAGTTCCGGCGCCTTAAAGCAATGCTGGATGACAGCAAAGGAAAGATTCTGCTTGGAGGTGCTATGGACGAGAGCGAGCTCTTTATTGAGCCCACAGTCGTTCAGATTACTTCCGGAAAAGACTCTTTATGCACCCAGGAAAGCTTTGGACCTATCATTCCGATTTTGCCCTTTGAGAACTTGGATCAGGCTATCAGAATCGCTAATGACATCCGGAGCACCCCGCTGGGGCTCTACCCATTTGGCTCCAAATCCGACGTTTCGAAGAGTATGTCCCGTTCTTTGACCGAACGAACCTCCCTAAGATTATAAATTCTTAACTCTTACCCCCAGTCATCACGTCCACTCGCTCTGGTGGTGTTTCTTGCAATGACGCCGCTCTGCATATTCCCACCCTGCCCTTCGGTGGCGTAGGGGAGAGTGGCTACGGCGCCTACCGCGGTCGCTCCTCCTTCGACGTCTGGGTGCACCGGCGGCCCATCACCAGAAGCCCCGGCTGGCTCGAGTCTGTTCTTGCTATTCGTTACCCGCCATACGCTGGTAAGCTGAACAAGTTCAAGGCCACCAATAGTCTAAAGCCAGACTTCGATCGCACCTGTCATAAAAAGACTAAGCTTGGCTGGCTGCGTTTCATATTGGTGCTCGGTGGCCGTGCCCCTGTCGCTGCCAAACTCCAGGGTTTCGACCAATATTACATCCCAGGATAAGGTTTCTTTGTAGGAACCTGGACTTTCTGCTTTTGGCCATATTGCCTGATATTATTTGCCAGAGAAGATAATGACTATCTAATCAGAATTCGCGTCTCGGATTTATGTTCTGTAAATTTGGCCGTCAGTGTGTGAGGTCTCATAAATCTTACACGAAATGGCCATGGCAGTCTGGCTAGTGAAGTGGAGGCTCTGGGAAACTCCAAGCCACGCGCTTCCTCTTTCTCTCGTTCGACCTGCCTGTCAGTCAAGTTGGGTGCAAGGACATTCGTGCACGCTGATTAAAAATCCATATGGATCAACGATCAGGTAGGCTTGCTTCATACTACGCTAGTTGTTCTCTGATTTTCTGGTTTTAAATGAAGATCGAACCGCAATTGACTGCGAGGCTGACGCTGGTGATCAAGTTCAAGAACAACAGGAGGAAGCAGGATGATGCCGTGGCGCTACATTTGTTTCGCTTTATACAGGCTGGGGGAGTATCAGGTCTCAAGTCTTCTACCGAAGTAACCAGAGGTGAAGGCATCGTGCCACTTTGTTTGCGATGGGTCGATCATCCGAGCTTGACCTGCATCGTCACTATGAGGGTTATAGATTATGGCGAATGTGTCCAGAGGGGAGGCAACCTAGAGCTACACTCCGGAAGGGATTAACCAGGTATGCCTGATGCCCAATGAACATCGGAAGCCGCCACATGCCGATAAGCAATGATAATCACGAAACAAATCTTGCTGTCAAGTTTTGCCAATCAACTTGACCAGAGATGGACACCAAAGGCAGTGTTAAGCCCTCTGCTAATAGAAGCAAATGAGGGGTGGAGCTCTCTAATATCGGCAATTTGCTGACAAAAAAACACCCTGGCTTCGACTCTCGTACCTACTGGTATTCCAAAATTAGCGATCTAGTCTCTGCCTTGCCACAATTTGATGTCATCCGTTATCCTCCTCGGGAAGATAACCCAAAAGGAATTTATGTACGTGATAAGCGCCGGAAGCCCAAGAATTCTTCCGGTTGAGAATATGAGCTAGTTTAACTCTCTTCTGGTCCGTGAGATTGAGTTAGATTGAGCTGCAATCGGAGACTTCGATACTTCTCGAGCGTGGCGCAGACTTTAATCGTCAAAAAAAAGGACGGCCGGACACCTCTTCACCTTGCCGCACAGTCTGGCTCACGGGACGCTTGGGAAGACTTCTCGTAAGTGGTTTAACTTTGTGATAAAGTACCGCGCTAGGAAGAGTAATCCCGCGGATAGACCCTCTCGGCGTTAGCTTGTGAGTGATTATAAGGTTAACCTACTTTCGCCGTTAAGCTGCTGAATAGCTAGCGAATCGTAGACGGCTAATCTGTTATGATATACCCCGGCATGCGGTTATATCCAAGTGCTGGTGCCTCAGGCCACCGAGACCTGATAAGCCGGCAGGCTTTAGGTGGGGGTTCGCTGGGGCTTCACTGCCAGCACGTGTACGAACTTCTGCAGGGAAGACCCTTGAGTAAAGATAACACAAGCCTCGTGTTTCCCCGCTCCCATTCTCCTACCCAGGATGCACCTCCTTCCTGTTTTGATCTACGAGACTGTATATAAATTAACCTATGTTGGAGAAGGTTAACACTCTCCAAAAAAACGGTCTTTAACTATCTGACACGATTGACTTGGTTCCTTCTCCTACCTAATTTACAGGCCTCTATCCTGACTTAAAAAGTATATTCTCACAGTGTGGGTGATCTAGGTGAGAATCCTTGCTGCATTCTCACCCACTATCACCCCGTTCTCACCTCTATCATCCCACCCTAAGACTAGATCCTGCGCCATTTTAGAGCGCAGGGCGCATTGAGAATTGACTGCGTACTATAATGGGCTTAAGTACGGCTGAGCGGACGGGAAGCCCTGTTCTCCACACCCTATGGTCGTATGTGCTAGATTCAACGGATTTAGGAAACATAACCCCTTGGGAAACTCCCACAATTCAACTGTGCTCCAGGAATTGATATAATATGTCACTTCCAAAGCAAATCCGTTCTATGACGCAGGCGACTGACCCATGGGTTGCTGATCGTCAGTGTGTGGAGACTCCGAACATCCCCGGAAACATCCCCGGAAGAATGCCTATTCGTGGATCAGCTCGTATAGCCCCGAGATCTATTCTAAAGCCTTTCTTCGTCGACCGCAACTTTTGGAATGCATCTGGTTTTGGATGGAGGATGGGATCCACCGTTCTGCAGCCCGGCCAACCATAAACTCGTCTCTTGTACAGAGTGATGCAACACGGCATGAAATAACCGACCTGTCTGTGCAAAGTACCTAAGCACTGAGTCTTGCTGTGCTAGGAGAGTTATTAAGGTCAGGCTGATCTGCCCCTCGAACATGGTTCCTCTGTAGTAATCTGCAGTACAAGACAGATTATTCTTATTGAATAACCGTACTACTATCGGTATCCCACCATATCTGCTTACCTATTTGAAACAATGGCACTGAATGGCAAGGTCGCTCTGATTACGGGAGGTGTCAAGAACCTTGGAGCCGAATCCGCGCGTGAACTTGCAGGAGTTGGTGCGAATCTAGCCCTCCACTACAACTCGGCAAGCAGCAAGACCAACGCAACAGAACTGGAAGCCGAATTGAAGCAGAGTTACCCAAACTTGAAGGTTGCATTCTACCAGGGCGACCTCACGTCTGCGGCTGCCGTGGACAAGCTATTTGATTCGGTGCTCAAGGAGTTTGGAAAACTCGATATCGTGGTGAACACGGTGGGCAAGGTGTTGAAAAAGCCGATCATTGATATTTCTGAGGAAGAGTATGATTCGATGTTCGCGTAAGTTGTTGGACCCAAGGGGCTATTGACATGGCTATTGACACGTATTTTGGCGCAGAATCAATTCCAAGGCGGCTTTCTTCATTCTGAAAGCAGCTGCCCGTCATATCTCGGATGATGGCAAGATCATCACCATCGTGACTGCCTTGCTGGGTGCCTTTACCGGGTTCTATACTTCTTATGCAGGATCAAAGGCACCCGTGGAGCACTTTACCAGAGGTGTTTGCAAGGAATTGCAGGCTCGGCGTGTGAGTGTGAACAATGTGGCACCAGGCCCGATGGATACTCGTATGTTATGCTAGCTGGTGTTCGAGTATGAATGTGACTGGGGCTGACAGTTGGCAGCGTTCTTCTACCCACAAGAATCGCCCGAAGCGGTTGAGTTCCATAAGAGCAATGGCATGGGAAACCGATTGACGATGGTCCAGGACATTGCGCCAGTGATTCGATTCTTGTGTACTGACGGGGCGTGGATCACTGGCCAAACGATCTTTGCGAACGGCGGATACACGACTCGCTGAGTGATGGAGTGTCCTGTAGCTAGATGAAATGATTTTCACAGACGGAATAATATGAATGTGGTCTTTTGATTGCCTATTTTTGACGGTCAGAGTAGTACAAGAGACTAAGGAAAGGGGATTTCTGGCCTGAAACCTCAGGCTCACATGTCTATCACATGAGGTCACCTGCCTAACTGGATGCCCTAATGAAAAGCCCTACTTTCCGTCTTTGGCTGACCGTACACCAAGTCACCTGACTGAGCTCCCCCCCCTAGACCCAAAGAAGCAACCGGACAGTGACATCACGCCCGCTCCTCTTTTGAACGGCGTCACCAGTACTTTTTTTTTTTTTGGGAGCGAAAACATCAGGACAACAATTTCATCCAAGAAGCCCTTGAAGAGCCAGAACATTGCATTCAATCCCTCCTCCCCTATTCCATTATCGGTCTTACCTTAATCAGGTTCCAATCGTCACCGCTTGCCCCTCTTTTAGAGCTTCCAGCAGGTCTATCGAGGTCTGTGACGAAATACCTTTGGTAACCTCCCCACTTCTGCTTTGTCTCACCGGAATTGGGTTCAACCCCCTCCCACCGGCCGTCATTATCTTGACAGCGTTTAACTGAGGCCATTTTCCAGTTCAGTCTGATCTCGTCTTCCATCTATCTCATCATCCCTTGAAGTGGTTTTGTACTCGACCTTATCGCTGGGAAGGTCGACCCCTCTTCAATTCCAACATGGAGCCCGCCAAGCATCCCGTCGATCCCCCCAAGAAGCGCCGCATTGGTGTCCTCACCTCCGGTGGTGATGCGCCCGGTATGAACGGCGCCGTGCGGGCCGTCGTCCGCATGGCTCTGCACTCTGATTGCGAGGCCTACGCCGTCTTCGAAGGCTACGAGGGCCTGGTCAATGGCGGCAACATGATCCGACAGATGCATTGGGAGGATGTCCGCGGCTGGTTGTCGCGCGGTGGTACACTGATCGGTTCTGCTCGAAGCATGGCCTTCCGCGAGCGTGCCGGCCGACTGCGTGCCGCTAAGAACATGATCCTGCGGGGAATTGATGCCCTCGTCGTCTGCGGTGGTGATGGTAGCTTGACTGGTGCCGATGTCTTCCGCGCCGAGTGGCCTACTCTACTGTCCGACCTCATTGCGGCAGGTGAGTTGACTGAGGAGCAGGTTGAGCCCTACAAGGTTCTAAACATTGTTGGTCTGGTCGGTTCCATCGATAACGACATGTCCGGCACCGACGCTACCATTGGTTGTTACTCTTCTTTGACTCGCATTTGTGATGCGGTCGATGATGTTTTTGACACTGCGTTCTCGCACCAGCGAGGCTTCGTCATTGAGGTGATGGGTCGCCACTGTGGGTGGCTGGCTCTCATGTCCGCCATTAGTACTGGCGCAGACTGGCTGTTCATTCCCGAGATCCCTCCTCGGGATGGCTGGGAGGATGACATGTGCTCCATTATTACCAAGGTATGTAGACGGAACAGAAGCAATCGTATGCACCACGTAACTGACAAATGGCTATTCTTCACAATAGAACCGCAAGGAGCGTGGCAAGCGCCGCACGATCGTTATTGTCGCCGAGGGAGCGCAGGATCGCCAACTCAACAAGATTTCGAGCTCCACCATCAAGGATATTCTTACGCAACGCCTGGGCCTGGATACCCGAACCACCGTTTTGGGTCACACCCAGCGTGGTGGTGCGGCTTGCGCCTACGACCGCTGGCTCTCCACTCTGCAGGGTGTTGAGGCCGTTCGTGCCGTTCTGGAGATGACGCCCACATCCCCATCGCCCGTTATTACCATCCGCGAGAACAAGATCATGCGGACTCCTCTTATGGAGGCAGTTCAGGCCACTAAAGATGTCACCGCAAAGATCCACGCCAAGGACTTTGCGGCCGCCATGACTCTGCGTGATGCGGAGTTCAAGGAATACTATCATGCTTACTTGAACACAGCAACCCCGGATCACCCAAAGATGATCCTCCCCGAAGGCAAGGTAAGATACGGAAAGCGCGCCAAATTGAATCCCCCCCCAGTTTCTTGCTTTACGGACTGATTCTTGTGAATACAGAAAATGCGTATTGCCATCATTCACGTCGGTGCCCCTGCTGGCGGAATGAACCAGGCCACTCGCGCCGCCGTGGCCTACTGTTTGACCCGCGGCCACACTCCCCTCGCGATTCACAACGGTTTCCCCGGCCTCTGCCGCCACCATGCTGACAAGCCGGTCAGCTCGGTCCGTGAAGTTCAGTGGCTCGAGTCTGACAGCTGGGTTAACGAGGGTGGATCCGACATTGGTACCAACCGCAGCCTGCCCTCGGAGGATATGGAGGGCACTGCCAAGTGCTTCGAGCTTTACAAGTTCGATGCCCTATTCGTTGTTGGTGGCTTTGAGGCATTCACTGCCGTTAGCCAGCTGCGAAAGGCTCGTGAGAAGTACGATGCTTTCAAGATTCCTCTTGTTGTGCTTCCCGCCACCATCTCCAACAACGTCCCCGGCACCGAGTACTCTTTGGGAAGCGACACCTGCTTGAACACTCTGATTGACTTCTGCGACGCCATTCGGCAGTCCGCCTCTTCGTCTCGCCGCCGTGTCTTCGTTATTGAGACCCAGGGAGGCAAATCTGGTTACATTGCGACCACGGCCGGTCTGGCAGTTGGTGCCGTGGCCGTGTACATTCCCGAGGAGGGCATTGATATCAAGATGCTCTCGCGCGATATTGATTTCCTGCGCGACAACTTCATTCGTGACAAGGGTGCTAACCGCGCGGGCAAGATCATTCTTCGGAACGAGTGTGCTTCGAGCACCTACACCACCCAGGTTGTTGCTGATATGATCAAGGAGGAGGCCAAGGGCCGCTTCGAGTCGCGTGCGGCCGTTCCTGGTCACTTCCAGCAGGGTGGTAAGCCATCGCCCATGGACCGTGTCCGTGCCCTGCGGATGTCCATCAAGTGCATGCAGCACATCGAGTCCTATGCTGGCAAGAGCCGGGATGCTATTGCCGCAGATCCCTTGTCCGCTGCTGTCATTGGTGTCAAGGGCTCTCAGGTTCTGTTCTCACCGATGGGTGGTGACGATGGCCTGGAGGCGACCGAGACTGACTGGGAGCGTCGTCGTCCCAAGTCGGAGTTCTGGCTCGAGTTGCAGGATGTGGTCAACGTCCTGTCTGGCCGGTCTACCGCTCGCGCTGCGGATACCTGGACGATCTACGAGAGTATGTAAACCAACAATCTCCCTTATTCTCGTGGACCCTTTGCAACCCAACCCATTGGACCCTTGCGCGTTTACCCGTCATCGGCTCCTCGACCGGCAACAAACCGTGTGCGACGATGGTGTTTTTTTTCGGTTTCTATCCACCCCTTTTCTTCTACTGAATGTTAACCCTTTTCGCTTTCTTTCCCCGTCCAGATCCCTCTACGATTCACGCTATTCCTGCCGTCCCCAGTCTTCCCTGAAGGAATGACTCCTGACTTGGTTCACCATTCTTCTGACCGTCATCGGAAATTAGCGACGCCTGACCGCCCTCCACGGAAGCTTCGGCCTTCACTTTGATACCAAATCTGCGTTTTTGTCCAGACTCATCACCTCCGCAAGTGATGGGGTCAGCTTCAACGTCACCCCCATGGACGCTCCCATTTTATGTTTGTATGATGATACGCCACGCACCGCTCAGATGTCATATTGATCTGGGTAATATTCGGGCTTAGTCGTGAGGGACTGCACTTTGCTCCTTGCCTTGTCTGTCCCCATTTTTCGTCTTGTTTTTTTTGGACCCCGGCCCCAGACGTACAGACAGCTATCGCATTTAGATCTGTAGAATACCAAGACGTTTAGCCAAACAGTTTTATCACTGCAAATCCATAATGTTTAACACTGTCGTACTTCAAAGTATTGCGAAATAGACTTTACTAAGATAAGCCAGGACGTTAATTATCATGTTCGAACTGGGTATGTCGCATTAACGATATAAACTAGGTAAACCGAGATTGCACGCTGCTGTCTACACTAAAAACAACAGGTGGCAGTATTAAAATATCCACGACGACAGACGCCTATATGCCCCCAACTTATTTGGATGGGTTGACTGCCCCTTCCAACTCATCCAAGAGATCCACTGTCTCCGCCGGATTGGCAATCCAAGCAGTCGTAGAAGCTAGACGGGCCTGAGAAGAGGATTGAGTAAGCTGAGAGGATCATTCGGAATGGAATCAAGGATCGTTTTTGTACCTTAAAGTCATTGGCACCTGCTGATAGGAATTGATCACCGATGTGCAGTGTCTTGGACGGATCGATGCCGCCAAAGTAGCGCTGACAGGCTCGGACACCCCAGGATTTGTCGCCGATATCGACGAAGACGTCATTTCCGCCTGCGAGGGGAGAGTTAGATACGATCTTCTTCGAAGTGAATGAGTATATTTGGAGAATTACTTACCGTTGAACGCGCAGAATGGAAGTCGCGAGCCAACTGCGGATCTCTCTACGGTATTCTGAACGACGAGGACAGTCTCCTCGAGTTGTTCGCGATTAATGCGAACTCCATTTACTGGATAGACACCAACAGCGCGATCCTTTCGCAGCACGGCAGCTGGTAAACTGAGATTAGTCGCACAAGCTCGCAGAGCCGACTCGGCGAGATCAAGAAGCTCCTTGATATCATCGTCCCTCCAAGCGCGCATCTCATCAAGTAGCCATTCATCACGAGGCACGTAAGTCAATCGAACGTCCGAGTCCGGGTCAAAGCGGAATAGGAAATTACTCTCGCCGCCCATGACAATGATACCTTGCTTTTGGGCGGGAGTCAAGCTAGTCGACTCATACACCGCATCCAAGAGTCCCTGTAGGCGGCCATAATACTTCGGAGCCTCTTCGTACCCGGCCGCGGTGACAATACCTACTTTGCGCCCTTGCTGGAGAAGACGCATGATCCGGGGGATGACGGGGTTATCGGCCGTCAGGCAGGCACCGTCGTCGTAGAGGGTTACATCTCCGTCGAAGGTGACGAGCTGGACCTCGCTGGATCGCACGAGACCCTGTAGTTGGGCGGAGTTTAGGATTAGGCGGATGTCGTTGAAGGAGGGTGCTACGAAGCGTCGGCGGCTGATGAAGCGGCGTTGATCTTGGTACTTGAAGGCGTCTTCGAGATGGAGCCGGGTGAAAAAGAACCCAACTGAAGGAACTAGGAGCTTTAGCTTGGATTTGCCGGGGGCATTGCGTTCGTGATGTTCGACTGTGGGGGTGATTAGCACTCGGTAATTGGGCAAAATACAAGCGTGAAAGATGATTGATGGAGGCGATCAGGGCAACGGTTATTGTGTTGCCTAGATAGTCTCGCTTCTAGACTTACTATGATCAAGGATCAGGTTTTCGACATCGCGCATAATCTCGGCATAGCGTAGGTGAGTATCAGCCGCAACGGTATTGAGCCGCTCGCTGGATTCTTGAGAAATGGCTGTGGGTTGGGAATGCAGCACAAAGGGGACTGCGAGGAGACCCTATTCTTTGTCTAAACAACGGATCCCACATAGACAGTAGATAGAAAGCCTACCTTGATCCATTCGATCTAGATTTATTGATGTTAGCATTTAATTCCTAGTAATCTAGAAGAGAGACGAGGACATACCAGTTGATCGCGGCGATGAGTCTACCCCGGTAGAAGTCAGTGAGGGGGCGATCCTACAAGGGGAACAACAGGAAGGGCGTACCTTGAGGGCATCTAGTTAGCAAGATTAGCAGGCAGGAACAATTAATGATTGCGCTATTAGATGCACATAAGCATTAGGCTTACATTCGACACGATAGCGAGTGGTCATGGTGGTTGCTGATTTGCTTGGAGGAAGAGTGTCGATCGATCAGGAAAGGTGGTAATAACAAGTTCAACGACTGAAAGAGCCCAAAGAGCGGGGAAAACCACAAATCAGTTGGGCGGACGAGATCCTGTTGGTCGTCCGGTGCACGTCCCTCCGACCGATAACTGTACATTGGACCAACTGGTCAATTGACTAACTATCGTAAAGACTGATACTGACTGACTAGACTAGACTTCTGCAGAATGTGTACTATCAGCTAGCTGCTAATACATTTGTACCCCGACCGAGTCATTTCGGTCAACTGGTAGATAACATAGCCCATGAAGTCATGAACTATCGTATCACGGACATTACTGAGCCGGGCCAACCAGAACGGTTACATTAAGCTAACTAAATAAGATTAAGCTAGTCTACCCCACCACGGTCGTAAAGCTCTCTGACTCACAGTGTTTCATGCCTGAGTCAAGGAAGATTCAAAAAAATCTGTACATGTGAAGAACTTTTACTGTAGTTATCCCTACTGGTTTGGAGTTCATCTATCGAGTCATCAGATACAAGCGAGGCTTAGTATTTCCTGCCATTAATCTGATTGGAGTAATATAGATTGGGCTTCACTCATCACACCGCTAAGCCTCTATGTAACCCGTAGCCTTGTGGGAGAAATTACTGACGACATGGCGGTCGCCTATAGCCTCCTTTGGCTTGGCGGAGACCCTATTGGGTAATTTGAGTGTGGTAACTCAAATTGTATACACCACTCCGTATTCTAGTCGACGGTCGAGGCTCGAAACGAAAGCCAATCGGCTTGGCTGACCGATCATCCTGGAAAGTTGAAGTATAGACTTCTGGATTACGAATCCTTCATGAGACACGATGACTCTTTCAGGCAGCACTGCCACGACGTCGCTCGTATCTGATACGACCCGGACTTTAGAGGCTTTTGCAAAATGAGGATCGGACTATAGTGTGCAAGTGAAGAATTATAAATGCGTAGTCGTGGATGCCTGGATGTGCAGGATTTCATCAATCAGGCAAAAACATTCTCTAGCTTCTCGTTTGACAGAAGTATACAACGGAAAACTCATAAATCTGTTTAAACTGCTCACCACCCTGAACAAACCATCGACTTCACCATATAATATGCTGGCTGCACCGAGACCATCATTCAACAACCTCTACACAATGGGGACTCCACAAAAACACAATCCCTTCGACGCCCCTCCACCCTATAACCCCTCCGAAGCAGGGAGCTCCGACTACCCCCTCGACGAAAAGACCTACCTCTTCCAACCAGGCTCCAACGAACCAGGTCTAGCTGTTGCATCAACCCTGACTCGCGGTCTCCAAGTCCCATCTCGCACCGCCGCCACAACCTCCGGCTTCGCATACCCAGCCGAGCTAATCCAACATGGCATCTCCAAGGACCACTGGCAACAATTCACCCAGGTCATCTGTGACGAGGCCAAGCTTTCGCGGCAACAGTGGACTACAGTCATCGGTAAGGGTCTCGGCACACTTGCCATTGGCGGGTTGATGATTGGGGCTCTTAGCGCGATTCCTGCAATCTTCATTGCGAAAAATGCTCGGAAGAGGCAGGAGCAGCGAAATTTGATTGCTGCTATGGCTGGTGTTCAGGGCGAGAGGCTTTCAAGGCATATCTCGCAGTGGAATGAGACGTTTTTCAGGCCCAGGGGTGTTGTTATTCGGGTTGATTTGCCTGATGAGTATATTAGGGATATGGATAATATGGATCTGCATCGGAGTGATCGCAAATGGGCGAGGTCCGAGGAGGAGGCTCGCGAGAAGGCCGCGCTGAAGGCGAGGATTGTTATTATTCCTTTGGAAGATTCGGTCTCGGGTCGGTCTTCGACGAGGGATGAAGGGAGGGGAGAGTAGTGCTACTTGGGCTGACTTTGGGTTGTTGTTTTGTTCTCTTTACGAAAAGTGGCAAGGCGTTGGGCGCATAACTAATGGTTATTGTTCTTTGTAATTTCGGAGAGTTTACTACATTTTTATACAGTGTTCAACGGATTTCATATTAGAGTACGTCAAAATTGATTTGATTTCATCATGGCATATCTCATCAGAAGATAGCATTTCCTGCATCTCTGTAGATCATCGAAACTAAAATAAAAAAAAGCTACCCTCTCAAACGCGAGTCGAAGCATCCTGTCGCTCCACATGCTGCGAAGTGCCAAGCTGAGACGTCATGGCCTCCATCTTCTCGTCAACAACCTGATCGCGCTCCTCGGCATCCCGGTTACCGTATCGGCCAATCTTGTACCAGGGCAGCTCGAACAGTCGGTCCATGCTCTCAAGAGTCCGACCGGCTGTCTCGGGAATGCTGAACCAAACCCAGACACCACCGATGAGGGTGATCACACCGAAGAACCAGAAGGTTCCCTTAGGGCTGATACCGCCCTCGGAAACAGGGAGTAACATGTTGGGAACGGCACGGGAGTTGCCATACTGGTTGGCAAAGTGCAAAGTCATAGCCAACGAAGTAGCCAGAGCACGGATACGCAGAGGGAACAGTTCAGCAGTCAGAAGGTACTGCATGGAGTTCCAGCCAAGAGCCCAACCGAAACCGGAGAGATAAATCATGGCGATCGCGCCCTCACTGGCCCCCTTTTTGCTCTCGGGAAGCTTGAAGTCCTTTACCACGCCCATCTCGGGGACGGCAGTTAGGAATCCGGCAATGTAGAACATGGAGATTGCCTGCAAGGTGATACCAATCAACAGCGCGCGCTTACGACCAATCACATCGACCAGGAAGAGGGCACAAAGAATTGCCGCAACCAGCTTGACAATTCCAAAGACAGCGGTCACCAACAGGTTCTCGTTGCTACCAGTGACACCCAGCAGTTTGAATAGATCGGTGGCGTAGACGGTGATAGAGCCGGCGCCGGACCACTGGGACAGAATCTGTGCCATCAGGGCTAGGTAAATGCGGTAAAGGTTGGAAGGAATCATGAAGGTCTCCTTGATGATTCCTAGAGGACCGGCACCCATAGTAGCCTCCATCTCCATTTGATGGGCGGTTTGAATGGCGGCGATCTCACGAACGACATACTCGTGGTCGGCTGGCAGGTTTCGGATACGGGAGAGGTTGGAGATAGCCTTGTCGACCTGGCCACTCTTGATCAGGTAACGTGGGGATTCGTATTGGAAGAAGGAGAGGCAGAATATCAATCCGGCGAAGATAACATGGAGACTGGTAGGAACTTCCTGCTTGCTGTTAGTACCGGACTGAAAAAAAGTATTTGTGTAAAGCGGGAGAGAGGATTGCGTCCTTACCCATCGCTTGTGAGTGTTGTCGCCCATGTTCACTTGGCATCCATAATTGGCAAAATAGGCAAGCACGATACCTGTAGGCGAATGCGATGGTTAGGCATTGATCGCTAACATGTGGGAAATTCGAGATACGATTTTGTCAAGCCGAGGAAACGAAGAAACAGAACATCACTTACCAAGATACACGAAACCAGTGAATACACACGTGCAAAGACCTCGAATAGCTGCTGGTGCCTGAAGAATAACTGGTCAGTGACGTTCCCCAGAATCGGATTGTAGTCGCACAGCCAGGATGCCAGCGCCACTGCCACGTCGCTACTCACAATTTCGGCAAGGTAAACCGGGGCCACGACCACAGTCTGTCCAACACCCAAACCAGCAATGAATCGACCTGCATAGACGGCGCCGAGATTGCCATTGTTGCCCATGAAAATGGCGGCACCAACGATCCAGAAGAGACAGAGTTGACGAGTGGCCCAGATACGACCAATGCGATCACAGACCAGGAAAGCACTGTATAGTAAAAGCGAGGAGTTAGTAACATATTCTCTCAGCAAACCCTGACACTCTGGCATCCCATCTGTGTTCTCCTCTTTCTGTTCTACTTACAAGAGAGCACCACCAACAGAACCGATTTGAACCATGGACGAGACATTGGCCTTGATGTTGGTCTGCTCGACCTTGCTGTAGGAACTGTAGTTGATGTAGCGCTGGAAATCCTTGGAGTTGAAGGCGCCTGAGATGAGGCCCTCATCGATACCGCGGGCAGCGCCCATCAAACCGAAAGAGACGACGGCGAACCATAACTTCCAGTTAAAGACCTCCTTGGGCTCACCCAGATTCTTCAAGCGGAAGATGTTGACCGGCTTCTTGGCTCCACCTGCCATGATGAACGATGTCAAGTAAGAGAGCCTCGACTAGTAGGAAGTAAAATGAGGAGAGAAGATGAGGAAGATGAGAAGCAGAGAGAGCGGGCTGGGGGGAAAGAGAAACAAAGGGGGCTATCAACACTTTCTTTAATACTTCTCGATCCTCGATCCCCCACGACAAAAATAAAAATTCCCCATGGTACTGCGGGGAAGAAGATCGGGGTAAACCGAGTCCAATGGGGCCCCATGGGCCTGCAGCACGAGAGCTCGGACGACTTCCAGTAGTAACCATCAACCAGTCCCCAATGAGGAGTCACATTTAGACCTTTGTTGTTTGCCCCTCCTCCTCATTTTTCTTTATCCACCTTTTCGGCGAATTCAACCTGCTCCACTTCCGAAAAGACACGATGTAAATTCACCCCAGACGGGCCTAGAGCAAACATAGCATCGTTGGCCGACTATCGGTGGGACAGGACGGAGTCGGCCAAGGTTTGGAGGGCAGCGCCAAGGGAGCTTGGATGCCGAGATGACATGGATGATGGGCGAGCTGGTACGGCACGCAGCTACGATTCGACGGCATCGCCGGGGGTGTGGTTTGATCATTTTTGACGTTGGGGCCCCGAGAGGGTTGTAGCCGAGTTGGGCCCCGGCAGAACGACCACATGGTGGACGGATGGTGGAGATGGGGTCGTATCGTGCAGGCTCGGCTGTGGTGGTGTGTGCATTTGATGTGCGTCAATGGACCTTGTTTGGAGGTCCCTTTTTCGGAGATACCGAGGATGATCCCCCAGCATGGTTCCTTTGTGCGCTTCCCCTTGCGTCTGAGGCGACCGATTTCCGGTTGTTTCTTTGAGTTCATCCCGAGCCCATCCAGAGGTAACAGCCATCATCCAGATCCTATCATTCCTTCCCTCATCACCGCATCAGGAAGTCAGTGGGATAGACATGAGACACCTGTGGATCCACTGTCCATGGACTAAGCAATGAACAAAGTTTGCCCTGGCTGGGGCTCGGGAAACTTCCGGTGGACGTGCCGCGGCGCCAAGAGGGGGGCCGAAGTTCTCCATTGGGGGGCGAAACTGGGGTTGGCCAGAATTCTTAGAGATGTTGATCTTCTCATTGGCCGGTCTGATGAAACTGATGACACGCTGCTTAAAAGAGGTAAAATCCACCGTGCAATTAGCGTGGGGGAAGATGCTGATTTGTTTGTGGAAAGTTGAAAACAAAGTGGGACGAGGGGAGGATCGGAGAAATCTGAACTCCCGACGGCCAACCACATGACTGGCACATGACTGGCCGTTCTTTGTCTCTCGCCTTTGAAAGATTCAAATCATATTCCACTGTTCGGACTAGTGCCGTCTGTGCGGACCAGCCCCGTCTGTTCGGACTGGTCCCGTCTGCTGGTCATGGTAGACCTTCCCGCCTGGAGTGTACTTTAAGTTTAAGAGGCAACGACCCGCGCCATGGCGTGGCGTGGCATGGCATCCATCATATACTTCGTATTGCTTGTCGAACTAACTAGCGAGAACCCTACTTTCCGCCGATGCCAGGAGATGCAACGGTTATACAGGAAGCTCTATGATCCGGAAATCGGCAATAGGTCAAGTTCCGTGTAGAAAGATGGCTCTAGAACTGCTAGCCAGCGAAATTGATCGCAAGAAATCTCGCCTTCCTCGGTGAAGTGGGCCAGTAGGGCTACGGATATGACCCCCGCTGACCGGTCAGTCTAGACTGGTTAGTCTTTGAACGAGGAAGAATATGAGGCATTTACGTCTTGTGGCAATTGAAGCTAGAGACAAGTAGTTTGTCAACTGCGTGTGATAATTCTGTCTCGAACCGAGGAGCCAATTGGCCGTGGACTTTGTAGATTCCATAAGAGAAAGGCAAATTCACGTATAATGACTTGGAAGACCTAGAGCAAATACTGAATGAATATGTAGAATCCACATGAATCGACATAAGGCCTGTCACCTTGTATACCTCGACTAGGCAAGCTCCTACAAAGGATATGATAAATGTGATGGCATTGACTCGTCTACCTCGGTAGTTCTTCGGACAAACCACCACAAGCGCAGCATTTCATGCCGCCCAATCAAGGATCCATCAATCGCGGCGTATCAAAGTGTCCGTACCCCTTAACCACACTCATTTCGTCGACTTCGGCAAATTTAGTCTTGAAGGTCCAGCCGCCCACCGAGTTGTGGAGCATTTTGCACCGATGCTCGGATGTCTGGTCGGACTGTGATTGCCATAGACAGCATCCTAGGATGCCTAGCTCGGAGACTGTCTGTCCACTGTCTAGAGCCGCGGGTCCCATAAGAATGTTGGTTTGAATCGGCGGTTGAATTCGTTCCATGAGGATGTATGAGTACCATCGTTCTTGGGGAATTGAGGCTAGATAATCTGGTATTTCGGTCCCGTACACGTTATGTCCTCCGCCTTCTAGGGAAGGTTTCAGAATGTAGTTGAGTGATTTTTCGGGATCGCAAGCCAGCTTTCGGGCGAAGAGGCCTTGTTCGGATTCGTCTAAGGGATACACTGGTACGAAGGTCTCTCGAATCTTGGCTGCGTCCGACCCCGAGAGGAACTTTTCCAGTGCTCCAGGTGCGGCGAGTGCCTGTTGAACCTTTTTAAAGGTTGTAATATGTGCGAGAAGAGAAGGGCATTTGATCGCGACAGAGTTCTCTAGCTGGAGTCGTGCCTCCCAACCGACGTGATTGTATTCTTCCGCTTCATACCCAGCACGCAGGTACACGACTGAGATTTCCACCGGGGTTTTTGATGCAAGCCACGGTGGTTGGAAGAGTAATTCTCGATTCTCCGTGAGCCAGGTATGTTCAAGAATATCGGGGCCAAATTCGAGTCGATAGGTTGGTACCGGGTCTTCTCGGTTCCATAGTGCATATTCTATCGGGCGCTCGTCTGCTGTGTTGAACTATTTCACGATTAGGGTGACATGGACTTGGGATTATTGATACCACTCACATTGTTTGGCTGTACAATCATCAATACTGCCGTCTGTCTGGCTTCCTGACTTCTTGGTCCACCATAGGTGGTGTGAGCCAACGCGAGACAGGAGGCGAGTGACTCGATATTCTTATTGACAGGGAGTGATGCGATATCCAAAGACGCGTCATTCACATTGTATATCCCCGTTCGGGCAAGATACCGATGCATGTCTCCTACTTTATTTGCATGGGATCCGCCAGAGCAGGAGAAGGTGTTCATTTCGACCTGTTTCAAGCTCGTTTCAAATACTGCATTCGGGGATTGAGGTTCGGCCCCCTCGTTCAGATGGAGCATGTAATCCGAACGGAAGATCCCTACGGAGATTTTCTGGATGTGTCCTGTTTCTTTAGCCGCTTCGTAGATACTCCAGAGTGCCGCGGCGAGGGGCTCGACGGAGATGATGTCTCGAATGGCATCGTGGATCCACTGCTCGTCCTCGGCGACTGAGCAGTAAAGCCGATTGTAAATTTCTTGGATCTCTAGCGCTTGCTGGAATTTGGCGCGAGGTAATGCTGTTGGGAAGCACTGAAATAGACTCTTTCTATCAGATAGGATCATTGGTACTTTGGATGAAATGTCCTACCGAGACCCCGACCGGGTAACTGAACACGCTGGACTCTGTCTGCGAGCGGACATGCTTTAACAGCGAGCCATTATTGACTACGTATGCACATCAGTCAACAGCTTCCGTTGTTTGGATTTTGTTGTCGCTATGACTGACTCTGGTGCGGTTTCTTAGTCTTGGGGCCAGGCTTATAATGCGGGGTGGGGGAGTGCTTGACTCCTAGTCACCGAGGCTTACCTGCCAATCTTGGATCTGTGCAACCAGCGACAGTGTCTGCTCTTCACTGAATCCCTCCATCTCGACACTCGAAGCCTACTTTGATCTATTGCGACCGGTCGGGAGTTGTCAGCGGGCTGCTTTGGTCAGCTCTCTCTCGATGGTGAGGCTCGTTCCCAGACGTGGGGGCCGCTGATCACCAAGCCACCGAATCAGCAAGCACGCGAAGCAGTTCGCCTTTCGGGCTCTCTGTTGCCCAGAATTATAATTCTGATTCTGATCTCCAGCTCTATTTGCCTGTCACCTCAGAAATCGGTTGAGAAGATCCCTTCTAGGTATGTATGACATATCTTGAAAGTATATATCTGGGCGCATGTCCTGGAGGTTGTTGGTGGTTGTCTATCATAATATCGACGATATCTTTGGCGACCACCTGGCACGGGGGTTCAGGCCCAGTTCACTGCTAATACCTTGGAAAATAATATTTCGCAGTATGTATAACAAATTTCTATAGGCGGGTAGTGGAAACGCGATGGAAGGTCCAAGATCTCTCGTCCTTGTTCAGTGTTCTGCAGATGGAGTATGATTTAATTTTCAAAAAAAGGTCCTCATTGCCGAGGTTCTTTACTCTCTTTCTGGGCTACAGGCTCTGAACCCTCTATATTGGGTGGGGACTGATTCCGTTTGCTCATGGAAGCGTTCATATTTACTCCTCCGATCCCAAGGTCATGCCCACTATTAAGCCGAACTACTTGATGCTTGATTCAGATACGCAAAGCCAGATTATTATTGCCAAGTACATGAGAAGGTATTGGGAAACTGCTCCCTTGAAGGATTTGATCCAGCAGAAGACTCTCCCCGGGTATTATACCTCCCCAGAAGGTGCGTCTTACAATGTTTGGAGGCAATGGCTTGTTACACAATGTAAGTCTTACAAGCTACCATTGAAGAAACCGTGATTTTATCGGTCAGTTGATCCGGAGTTTCTTCAAGGATCGTTCCAACTTCCATCCCGTCGGTACTGCTGCTATGTTACCCCGGGAGATTGGTGGAGTTGTCGATGTCAACCACGCTGCCTACGGCACCGCTAACGTGAGGGTTGTTGATGCCTCCGCCCTGCCCTTCCAAGTCTGCGGCCACTTGGTCAGCACTCTGTATTCCGAGGCCGAAAGAGTGGCTGATACCATTAAGAGCTAGCCTCCTCTGTTCTAATCCGATTCAAGGTGTGCCGCTTCCCTCGGGTTGAAAAGAAGGCTCTGGTGACGGGGAATTGAAACGGACAGAGCTGGATAGACAAGAATGAAAGAGTGCCAGATGGGTATATAGTACCGCCAGAATTCTGGAGAAACCATGACGATGATGTGAGCCCAATAATTGTGCCAAATCCAAAAGAAAGCCACGCTCGGGAACCACGAATTGATACGAATTTGTCAGGACATTGGGCATTCGTACTTCCCCGGTCTAGTCGCGGAGGTCTGGGCCCCTTTCATGAGTGATTAGAGTCGCGATGCTGCCAAGTCTTGTGAAGAAGCTATTTCGCTAACCGAAGACAAGGGTGAAGAGGTCTCTCCCCGCATCAACACGAGAAATGTGTCTGTGTTTGTGCAGACGAAGCCAATCTTCATCAGTTTTGAAGACAGAGCGTTGAGAGAAACTGCATCGTACGGTGATGCCGATCGAGAGAACGCCGCTTTGAACACGGAGTTATACCAAAAGAATCATGTCCATGAGCGAACTATATGAATATCTGTACCCCTCATTAAAGCCATGTGCTATTCCACGAATCTAGCTTCACATTTTCTTTAACGAGCTGCATCCATGCCTACAATATCCCCGCAATTTGAGATACAATTTCAACGAAACAGCGTCACTTGACCTTCTGCAGACCTCTCTCTAGTCTCAAAAGATCTTGCCAGGACGGAGATGATCCCTGGTCCTCCGCGCTCAATTTTGTCTCCGCAATTTCTGGGGTTAATTCAGCCCATTCCGCTCTAGTGGCGGACGCCACGAGGACCCCGACGAAGGTAAAAGCCAGTAGTCACACTATCAAGATCTAATTAAGTGGAAAATCAGAGAATGTATTAGAATAGTGCATGAGTTGATATGGGAGTTAATCTCTAGATGCTAAGTCGACTTACTATAGTGGACCGGGATGATGAACGAGCTTCATGCGTATCGATAAAAAGTCTTTGCTAAACCGGATTACGACTATTCTTTTTGATCTACAAGGATTGATAAAACACGAAGATAGGTTAGCGCTCTTAAATGCAGTGAATAAATTATTCAGGGCTGTACAATTTTGGCGCCTTGTTGCCAAGGGCGCCTAGCGTTTCTCTATTTTTCCGACCTATGATACCAAGGAAGGGGGTTGTCGCATCATGTGTTTCGGATGCATTTTAGCCCATTCTTGTCACTGACCTTATATGAAAATGCGTTCATATTCGGCTACACATCCGATCTTGACACGGACTCAGTGAACTGGCTGTTATGTGGCGCTTTTCTTCATATCAGGAGAATCACTGCATGCCGCCGATTCGGGAGATGATGACACTTTAGCCGGAGCTCTGAGAAGTGGATCCGCTCTTAATCAAAGCTTCCTGACATTGAACGTTTCGAGTATCGAGTGGGGATCTGTCAACAATGCTCTTGGGCAGGTATAAAATCGACCTACTCCGTCGACGAGAGGAGGATAGAAAACACCTGCGACTCTCGAAGAACAGAAGCGACCGAAACTTTTTCTTCAGACTATCAAGACCAAAGCAAACCTTTATAAGCATTGCTTGAAAATGTTGAAAGTTGTTGCCCCAGCATTGCTGGCTACACTGGTCGCCGGCCATGGTCATATCACGAACATTGTGATCAACGGGGTCTCCTACGAGGGTTGGGACATCAACTCGTTCCCCTATGAGACAGATCCCCCTACTGTCGTGGCATGGGGGACTCCAAACACAGCGAATGGATTTATCTCACCAGGTTAGTACACAGATATGGTTCTCTCTAGCACATTATCGCAACCACGCTTGAATATTTGTTTTCTCCCGTCATGCCATCCCCTTTCGTCACTTACTACGCCAAGATTCCAATAAGAGACTCAGTTTGACAATTTAAATAGATGCCTACGGAACATCTGATATTATCTGTCACCTTAATGCAACTAATGCCAAGGGTCATGCTGTGGTAGCGGCTGGAGACAAGATCAGTCTCCAGTGGACAACTTGGCCCGACACGCACCATGGCCCAGTCATTGACTATCTCGCAAACTGTGGTGACTCGTGCGAAACCGTTGACAAGACGACGCTGGAGTTCTTCAAAATTGATGGCGTGGGACTCGTGGATGACACTACCGTTCCTGGAACCTGGGGTGATGACCAGTTGATCGCCAACAACAACAGCTGGATGGTTGAAATTCCTCCCACCCTTGCCCCCGGCAACTACGTCCTGCGACACGAGCTCATTGCCCTGCACAGTGCTGGGAGCGAAGATGGTGCTCAGAACTATCCGCAATGTTTTAACTTGCAGGTCACTGGCTCGGGATCAGACCAGCCTTCTGGTGTGCTGGGCACGGAGCTCTACAGTTCAACTGATGCAGGCATCCTTGTTAACATCTACACTTCGCTATCGACTTATGTCGTGCCTGGCCCTACACTTTACAGTGGAGCCGTCTCTATCACACAGTCATCCTCGGCCATCACTGCATCCGGAACTCCAGTTACGGGATCAGGTAGTGCTGCGACCACTAGTGCTGGCACTGGTGGAACAACTACAACCACAACTGCAGGACAGACCACTTCTAGCACTACCTCTACCACATCGGCCCCTACGACCTCGTCAACTACTCTGACAACTCAAGTCAGCACGAGCAGCACAACCCTTATCACCAGTACGACGTCCACAACCTCCGCTGCTTCAGGTGGTTCAACTCAGTCCGTGTATGGGCAGTGCGGAGGTAGCGGCTGGTCCGGTGCCACTGCTTGCAATACGCAAGCTACTTGCAGCTCGATGAACCCATACTACTCCCAGTGTGTTCCAACATCTACTTAGTGACGGGATAGTTCTATTTTCATGTTTATTTTATCCATCTTTAGCTTCATTCGTGTCAAATCTTTTAACCGTTTCGGAAGTATAGCAATGAAAGCAAAAATCCCGTTCTATCGTGTTTCAGTTTGATGAGAGGCATTTCAATAAGGCCGAGTATCAGTTTCCGTTTGAGCGAGAAACAATGAGCTATCAAGTCGTTCGTAGCGTCTGACAGCCACCTTTGCCTCAAATAGATGAGTAGTTGTTAGAAAGTACCGTTTGAACAATCCATTTGTATCAAGGGGCTAAATAATCCGATTGGGCGGATGATTCAGGTCTTTATCTTCCAGTGGATCCATTCTCCATCCCCGCTATACCCGAAGTGAACTTCCCCCCTCGACGCGACGAGACGCGTTGGATTCGGTCAGTTTCATCTTTATCCTCCTGCATTTCTGCCTCCTCGCATTCCACCATGGATTCTCCAGACAAGAGCCTCCCAAAAGGCTATGCGCTCCAGCCTGGTTACCCCTCGACCTCCCAATATCTTCATCTCCGTTCTGTGGCCGGACTCTCGGCGAAAACACCGTCCCAGGCAGCTGCAGTTGCTACTGGCAGCTGGTTTGGCTGCTATATCACCTTCGAAGCCGTCAAGGGCGATCCACAACCGATTGGCATGGGAAGAGTGATCGGAGATGGCGGCTGGTATTTTCATATTGCCGATATGGCCGTGCATCCGGATCACCAGAGGCAAGGTCTTGGTGATGTGATTCTGAAAACGCTCCTGCAACATATACACCGCGAGTCTCCTGCCGATGGAAAGCCATATATCACGCTGTTTGCCGATGAGCCAGGCCGAAAACTATACTATAAGAATGGATTTGTGGATTCAGCTCCTGGTCAGCTGGGGATGGCTTTGAAATAGATCATGTCAAAACTCAATATAGACCATGACAAATGAATAGAAATGACAAAAACGCATAACTTGTTCTTTCAATCTGAAGTCTGACTGACTTCCCCTAAATCTTATTCCATAGAGCGATTTGTACACAATATTTCTCCTGCCACTTTGGTTCCCCACAAACTCCCCCCACTGGTCATTTCCCCGCAAACCCCCGCGTTTACCTCCGAGTGTGAATGGCAACGTGAAAGAGATGAGGAGGGGCCGAATTAGAAGGCTGAATACTGCTATCTTCAAATACCGTCCCTCGGGATCACAGCATAACTGTATTTGTTGACTGAGAACTCGTACCAGTCAGGAAGAGTCTAAGCCTTGAATGTCGGCTGGGTAAACAATCTTCAGCTATAAACGCCGAGATCCCCACATGCCACATGGCTCTTCATGAACTATTTAAATCCTCAGATAGATCCGCGAAGAACAATTTACGCTGCAAATCCATCATGGCTCCTCCGTTCCGTGCTGAGCACATCGGCTCATTGATGCGCCCAGCAGACCTACTGGCTGCACGGTCTGCTGCTGGTGTCACATCTTCATATTCACAACTGACCGAAGAGATCCAAGTTCTTACAGAGAATGCGATCGCCGACGTTGTCGCTAAGCAACTCGAGCTTGGTATTCGCCCAATCACCTCCGGAGAATATGAGCGAGACAAGTTCTATTCGGGATTTTTCGAAAATCTCCAAGGAATGGAAGTCATCAAGGATATTCCAATTACCAAGGGCTACCGAACCAACTTTCCAACACTCAGAACGCTGAAGAGTCTTGGAATCCCGACTCGTGACTCTATCGTTGCTGTCGATCGAATTAGATACACCCAGTCCCCTTATCTGTCAGAATGGAAGGCGTTGCGCGCTCGACTTCCTCAAGAACAGTGGAAGGATTGCAAAATGACCATGCCACCAGTAACCCACAGTCACATGCAGGTAAATAATTCCCAGAGCTGTTGATGTCGAAGTTCTTGCGTCAAATTTTTGTAAAGTATTGACTTGTTTGCTTTTAGATGGCAGTCGGGACTGCTTATCGTCCAAACGCCTACTCTTCAGACCGCGAATACTTCAAAGATCTCGCGGAAGCATATGTGGCAGAGTTTCAGGCGCTTTACGACGAAGGGCTGCGGTCAATTCAAATCGATGATCCGTGTCTCCTTTTCTTCGTGACGGATGAATTCCGAGCGGGCTGTGTCGCGGACGGGGTAAATCCTGATGAGCTACTCGACGAGTATATCTGGGCACACAATCAGTGTCTACTTGGGAAGCCCGCAGACCTTCACGTTGGGCTGCATCTTTGCCGTGGTAATATGGCCGGTTCAACTCATATCATGAGCGGATCATACGAGCGCATTGCTAAAAAATTGTTCACCGAGTTGGCATATGATACATACTACCTTGAGTGAGTTGCTGCCATCGTTCACAATCAAATAGAATCCGACGCTCTGCTGACTTGTGTTAATCTTCAAGATATGACACCGACAGGGCTGGTGATTTTGAACCGTTGCGCCATTTGCCTATCGGCAAGAATGTCATCTTGGGTGTAGTTTCTACCAAGTCTCCCGAGCTGGAGGATATGAACGAACTCGTTACCCGTGTTCATTCTGCAGCGGAGGTCATAGCTCGTGGACAGGGCCGGAGTGTGGCTGAAGTGTTGGAATCGTCTCTCGGGGTCAGTCCACAATGCGGATTTGCCAGTATGAGCTCCGGAGGGGGTTGTGGAATGACGATGGATATCATGTGGAAGAAACTACTCTTGGTTGAACAACTGGCCAAACAGATCTGGGGTTAAGATTATTGATTGTTATTTGAAAGCGGAAATCTCATGACTATTATATTATCGTCTCCTTATGATGGGAGAAATCCTCACCGGAAGCCTCGGATGATCCACCTACTCGGCTCCAATTAACAAGCCTTTTAGCTTGCAAATTTCTCTATTAATGTGATCAAGCCGAAAAGCAGACTCGAAGAAAAAACCATTATTTAAGGTCCTAGCTTTGGTAACTAGACGTAGATTGGTTAGTCTACAGAACATTAACTCCTATGATGAAGCGGTGTACCGGTTTTTAATATGAACTGGACTTCTCTAGAAGCCTGCTACAAATAAAACTATATTTTTCTGTCTATTCTCCGCGCACGATGAACAATATCAGATTAGCTTGAAACTATATGAGATTAAGCGAAGGGATAATGCTCAGACAATCCAGTTGATTGCGCGGGAACCCGAAGAAACTCCGGCAACAAAGCGGGGTTCAATGATCGACCACATGGCTGCCCCTGAGACTCTCGTTGGACTGTCTGATCGCCTCTTATGTACACTGGCGTGCATAAGTCCAAGCCCACGCGACCCGCACCTTGTCGTGAGAACTCGCCAATCCACGTCATTTGTGCCTTGCTGCTTGTGGAGTCGCTTAGGAACGCGTCGTGGATGTTTGCCTGAATCCAGTAGCCGATCGTCGCCGTCCGTCGTTCGGCAGCCGTGAGATCCGCTCGCAAGGCAGATGCCCGGTTTGATGGTTAGATGACTGGCGGGTATAAGATCCGTACCTGAATTCCTTTTGAGAAATCTGGCGACCGTTGGCGTCTACATCAAGAAATTCGTGGGTTTGAACTCGGTTCTACAAGATGAAATTCAACACGATCGCCGCCTTGTTGGCCGCTGCGCAGTCTGCCAATGCGATCAACATCATCTCCTCCAACGATGATGGCTGGGCCGAAGTCAACATTCGAGCTCTCTTTGACACGCTCACGGCTGGTGGTCACTCCGTTGTGGTAGCTGCGCCGGCTGAGAATCAGAGTGGAACTGGTAATGCGACTGAGAAATTACCTCCTTACGGCCATTTACTGATCATTTGGTCTTTTAGGGTCCTCGCAAAAGACTCCTACAGTTCTCACCGAAGCCTGTGAATTTAACAGTTGCCCTTCTGGCAGTCCGGCTGTGGGATACAATGCTTCGGAGCCTCGCCTGAACTATGTCAATTCGTATCCAGCAACTTCCATGAAGTACGGCATCGACTCGATCGGCCCTGAGTTTTTTGACGGAACTCCTGATCTCGCGGTCGCTGGTCCAAATGTGAGTCTTGAAATTATGAAAGAAGCTTAGAAAATATTCAAGTCAATTTGTGCGCATCTCTAATCGCCGCGCATAGGTGGGAAACAACATTGGCCTGGAAGTCTTGCTGTCCGGCACCGTTGGAGCGACCACTTATGCCGCCTACAATGCTGGAATTCCCGCTATTGCATTCTCTGGATCTACCGGTTCCCAAACCGCCTGGAATGCTTCCGCGACTTACCCGGATTACAGCCAAGTATACGCCGATCTTGCGCTCAACGTGACGGACACGCTAGTGGCCTCTGGCGTACCTTATCTCCCGAATAATGTGAGTGTCATTCGAGCGACCGTTGTGTAGGATCAATAACTGATACATTTCGCTAGATCTGGCTCAACGTGAACTTCGGTGCAGTCTCCTCCTCATGCCAGACCGCCGCAGACTTCTCCTTCGTGCTTTCACGTATTCACGTGGCCATCCCTCTCATCACTGCCGACGACGTGACCACCTGCGGCAGCTCCCGGCTTCCAAGTGAGATCACAGTTGCCCTCACTTCAGGATGTTACGCAAGCGTGTCGGTGGGACTGGCAAGCACCAAGGGAGACGCCAACGCCACTATGCAGGGGGTTGTTCTGAAGAAGCTGAGCAATATCCTGACTTGCTTGCCGTAATTGGTGGAGATATTTGCCCATGCAAAAGCTGCAGCACCTATCAGATGGCCATGCAAGCCCATGCAATGTACTAAAGCTTAAGTTTTGTATCCCTAAGTCTTAGCCACGCAGTTTAGTGCATAAAATAGATGAATTTCTCATTCAAAGGATTAATTTCGCATGCGTCGTTCAGTAAGTAGTTAAGAATAACGCGCTATATAGCGGAAGCTTGGCCAGATTAGCGATCTAGGTAAACAACGTCTTCTTCAGAGACGAATCAAGGAAGGCGGGGAACCCACGAGGAACATCTTCGCCGAGATACTACATCCAAGTGGGGTACCGAACTATCGGCCACCATCCCATTTCGGGACTGAAGGCCGTTTCGGAGCTGGATGATTTCGGAGCGCGTGCAGATCTTAGGTCTATCGTGCTATGAGATTCCGAAGCGGAGAAATCACTATTACCCGCTGAAGAAGATCATACTGTGTGTGACACGAATATAAAATATGCCTAACCTCCCAGTGATAACTTTTTTTTAAACATCAGTCTTCGAAAGCAATGATCTTCAACCGTGCTCTTGGCCCTTTGGCCGTATCCGCCTTGGCTGCGGCAGCTCCTAGTCCCAAGCTGGATCGCCGTGGAACTATCGCATCTGATGAGATTGGTAAGCTACCCTTTACGGTCCTTCAGTGCTTAGTATCGAAGCTCTACTGCCATTATCCTTATCTATTATGAATAAACTCCTTGGTCTTATAATCTTTGCTAACATACGTTCGATTCATAGTTGGATTTGCTCAGACTGTTCCATCTGGCACCACTGGTGATGTCTATCTTGCCTACCAGCCTGATCTGTATGTGGTGAATGGTTGCGTTCCATTCCCCGCTGTGGATGCTGATGGAAATACCAAGTAAGGAACCCACAAGCCGCAATTCAGAGCAACACCTGAAGCTAATTTATTCAGCGCTGGTTTGGCGACGACTGGTGCCTCCGACGGTGACTGCAGCAGCAGCACTGGTCAAATCTATGTGCGCGGCGCGACCTCCGGCGATTACTATGGGCTAATGTATGCGTGGTACATGCCAAAGGATGAGCCATCCTCGGGCCTTGGCCACCGTCATGACTGGGAGGGTGTTATCGTTTGGCTGTCTAGCTCTACAGGCACGACGGCTGGTAATATCGTCGCAGTTTGCCCTTCTGCTCATGGTGGCTGGGACTGCTCTACCGACGGGTATACCCTCGATGGTACCGCGCCCTTGATCGACTATTACAGTATTTGGCCAGTGGATCACCAGTGTGGCCTGACGAGCACTGTTGGTGGAACCCAGCCTTTGATTGCTTGGGAGTCCTTGCCTACTGTGGCCCAGGATGCTTTGGATACCACCGATTTTGGTGATGCTATCGTGCCGTTCATCGATGCCCACTTCACCACAAACTTGGAAAACGCTACTTTCTAGGCGGACATTGCCATGCGGACATGTACATACGACGAGATTGTTTAATGAGTGAAAGAAGAAGTTGAAAATGACGTTACGAAATACACCTCAACGATAGGTAGTGGTAAATGGGGTGGGACGCTTCTTGACACCATTTTAGGCGTCCTTTTTACGAGAGTCCTAGACAGTTAACTTGTACGTGATATGGTTCGGCCCACTGTTCCCACATGATTCCCTGGGCGATCACGTATTACTCCCCAGGCACTCATGGTAGCTCAGGGATCAGCTCGCCCGCCACTCAGGGTTCTCAGTGTAGATATCAGGGATGTAATCCTACTCTGTCCTCCATTTTATCGAATTGTAGGCACTAATTCCAAATAAGGAAGGCCCTTTGTAATCTGCTTGCCCACCAATCAAAATTCATACACCCGATCTAGCTTTCTTTATAATACAGGTGAAGCTGCTAGACTAGAGTTTTCTATTGTAGTCTAGGTGACCGTAAAACTGCCGCTTCGGGAAGTGATCGCTGCCTTAAGCGGCTCACGTAGCAAACATGAGCAGCTCCCTGAGCAACCTGATCGCTTCTCAGGCTGATCACCCCGTTCAATCTTATTCTACCTTTTAATTATATGAAATCCTCCGATGCTAAACGCACCACTTACTGTTTTTTCTGGTGCTCATGGTTTGTATCTTAATGTTGAGGTGTTACGAGGTAAATGATAGAAGCCCAGTGGTAGCGAGGGAACTAGCCAGTGAGGTTTCCTAGGACTTACTAGATGGAAGTTTCCGAGAGCAAACAAAAGGAGAGATCTTCTAGTAGATAGAACTTTTTCTTCTTCTTCTCTCCAGATTGAGTTGCCTTCGTTGAATGCACCGATTTGAACCTCTTCATCTTGCCTGGCTGTAACACGGGGTACATTACTAGCCCTTTGACCCGCGTACTACTTTCTCTAAGCCGTCGCACATCACTCATCAAAATTAGACCTTGACCTCTGGAATCTCTGATACTGTATTGATGACTCGACCCTATTGACCTCGACTACTCGGTCGTTTGGTCATGCGTCCTCCCGTTTACACCTGTATAGATTGCTCTGCAGGTTTGATGGTTCTTTCCAGGACCGACGCTTTGTTCTTTGTCTTGTAGACCTATTTAGGTCTTTCTCTTCTTTCTTTCCTTCTTCTTCTCTAGATCCATTTTCATCATAGTCTAGATAGACATTGATTCAGATTCCCCTCCTTTTCTGCTTCCTCTGCGTAGGTGTCGATGACACCATCATGTATATATAAGCGGCTAGATTTGTACATTAAAATTCTCACACTCTCTACGCTAAACGACCGTTTTACATCTGTGAAGTATGAAGACTCATAGAATAGGTATATCTATTACCAGATGATCTCTTAAATCATAATTTCCCACCCGACCGCTAACATAGTTAAAGGACCAATCTGCATCTCTCTCAATCGTTGCTCCAAGTCACTCGCACTTATCACCGCTCTAGCGGTCTGATAATGCTAACTAACCACGGCTGATCCACCTTCTGGGCGCCTCCATGACTCCGTAGCTTAGCCCCTTCTTGCTACATACTAATCGATGCCCAGGAAGAGAACATAGCCTTTCCCTAATAGCCTTATAATATTTGTGTATCCCAGGGCCTTACGGTAAGGAAGAACGACTTCTCGATGCAATCGAGTGAGCGACAACTTGCTCGCCTTGGACGTGGCATTCCTTAACTAGCGTAGGCGAGCTGATTCAGCTTAGATTCCCGTCGAATTTTATGTACGCCGGAGATTTCGAGTGTTGGCGGTCAAGGGGACGTATAAAGTTTTTAGTCATCGCTATCAGCGCAGTAAGCGCAGCGAACTCTGGTGGTATGGCTCCTGCTGCGGTATGCCGTGAGAGAGTTTGGATGTCTTGTGCTCAAGCACTGGTATACGACAGCTTCGAAGAATCCCGAAGGTCCTCAGTGAAATTTCCTAAGCGTGGCCCCCACATCCGATGAGGCTGCGCTTGTATTGTACGAGAACCCTTATCATGAATGAGTGGTAGCCACTGATGGGACTATAGCGGCGGTGCGAGCTTACGCGAGAGGCGGGTGGCATTTGGAGCCCCATTCACTCTTAGACCGCATTTTGGGTGCATTATTCGGCCCGGAGAGTAATGCAGCCGCCATATCGAGTGGTATCTGACCGCCGTTCAGGTTCATGGATTTCGGAGATCGACGGTTCTGCATGTCGGTAGCATTGGGCGAGTTAGGGAGGGCAGCCTGAGGCCTCTTATATCTGCGCTGATAAATTGATAAACAGTACAATTTTCGCTTTTTGTGCTCGAGTTCACCGGATGCGTCCGCAGAAATCGTCCTCTTCGAAGGAAAGGCTCGTTTTGATTTGTCGCGTGGAAAGATATGCTCAACCCTTCGAATGTCTTTTTGTATGGGCAGCAGCTGACCGTAACCGTGCGTGGTAAACAGAGTACGTTCCTGATCGGAGAACCCCTTGATATTGCCGAGAGAGAAACCCATCGCGATGTGTCGCTTGTAGTCGGCCTTCCAATCCTTCATGAAATACGCAATCTCCTTAATGTCAATGCGAGTGAAAGGTACCTGCCATAACCGAGCGTGCAACGGTTGGCAGCCAGCGCAAGGCTCTCCCTTGTCACAATTCATCTTGAGGAACTTGCAGCGCAAGCAGGCACGCAACTTCCGAATTTCGCTGTCTTTCTTACGCTGTTCGGGCTTAAGGGGACCCTTCAGCTTGCCGACACGCTCCTCGGTCTCAGACTTGCTGGTCTGGGACTGCTTGCACACGTTAGTCTCGACAGTCTTCGCAACAATTGGTCTCCTCCCGGCCAGGTTCCTGCTTGGGGGGTATAGGGAAGACTGAGAACGAGACGACTGAGTGAGCGAGTCGGAATAATTGATCGGAACAGGGATTGGGCGAAACATCGCACCAGCGCTGACATCGGTATTTGAAGAATCGGAAGTTGAGAGCAAGAGCAAGGAAGAATGGAAAAAGCCGAAAGGCTTGCGGAAGCCGCCCAGGTAGGCCTCTAGGGAAGTAAGTGACGGTTAGTTGGCCACTAGTACGTATTTGGGCAATACCTAAGCACAGCCACATCAAAGCCCAAGTCGATGCCCAAATAGAGAGGTTTGCATATGTGGTGACGTGGGGTGCGATATGAATACATCCAATGAGAGCCATCCTTGAAGCTCCCTGGGTACCCTTTTTCCGAAGTGAAGAGACCGTATGATTTACTTTTAAAGCGACCTAGATCATAGCAAATCCTCTCTTGAACGGTCTTTCTTGTAAGCACTATAATATCGCGACTGTCTGCGCACTGGATAAAGAGCTATCTACAGCACAAAAAGATACGAACATTGCTAGGCCGAATTGAATAGTATCATACGGAAACAACAATCCTTCTATCTGATAAATATAGAACAGATGCACCTAGCGAGGCTATACATCACATACGACGAAGCGTCCTATTAGATTCTCTTTAGTAATGGCTAAATCAGGGACTCGTATATACCGTACCTTACTGTACTAACCAGCACTCAAATTTCACAAACTAAAGCCGTAGCAGTGGGGCTCAGACTTAAGAGAAAGTATAGAACAGTGAAGCTTGGCTTGGGATCTACCGGGACTGGAGACAAGATTCTCACTAGATTAGGCTATCCCGGAGTGCGATCTTGAGATACGTAATGTCTTAGGAACACTTTTGATACGAGTAGGTCCTTATCGTACGAGATCTATCACGGGACATGATTCTTAAGAATAATGACTTCCTAAGAGGACTTTTATATGACTAAGGTCATAAAAGAGTCTGAAGGACACCGTTATATGAGATATATCTTATAAGGTCATTCCTGACTGCTTAGTATTAAGGAAGTCTATATGAGATAATGTTACGCGGAGCCTGCTGGTCACTGTGGGTAAGTGCAGAAAGGGTAAATAGTTACCTAATTGGTTATTGTGAATAGATAATAAAACGAAGAAAAAAAGAAGTAATAAAGACTAAAGCCTAAGAGAGGGGGGGGGTGGGTTCTAGTAATCTCTTAAGTATAGCCCAGAGTCATATAAGGAGGACCTTTTTGTTTGCATATTTAACGGCTAAAGTCGGATAACATTAATAATTAGACTTAACGATATCCCTAAATAGCTACCATAAGCATCCTAAGTGAAGGATAAGCTGATCCCTGAGCAAACCTAAGCCACCATGAGTGCTGAGGGAGCAATCCATAGGAGCATACGGAAATAGTGGTCAGAAACAGATCACGTAAGAACCTATGACTAAATTTATGGTAAAAAGGATGCTCAAAACAGCGTCAAAAGTAGCCGTTTTCGGCGTCGAATTTACCGTTACCTTCTGTTCAGTGTACGTGGTCAAGTGCTTTATCCCTTTTAACCTCCGACTTCTTTCTAGGTCTTTGGCTTTGCTGACTTTTTCCTACCCTCTTCCTTTTTTCGTTGTATCGTCTCGCTCTGTTACTTTAAGCATTTCGTTTTTCTCTAGTCAAGGGAAGCTTCTATTCGAGGACATATGTATTTCTGACGGTCGGGGATTCTAGGGAAGGTGTTTGATGGGTTTGCAGCACGATATTTGCGAACAGCATCTTACATCGATCTGTGTGGTTTCGCGCGTCGCCTACACGGGACATTGAAAAAACTAATCACAAATCCGTCCAATATCGCCACCATAGACGCATAGGATGAATATGTCATGTACCATAAAATGGGATCCACCGATCAGTAGAGCACCCTTCCGTAGAAGAACGCCAAGACTTATTCGCCATCAGTAGAAATACGAAGATGCCTCATCGGGAAACCGTCGTATCAGGCACCACAACCACAAAATGAGCGTAGATATAAGAAGAGAAAATCATCGGGCGTCCCTTTGGATGTTTTTCTTCTAAACAAGACGCTCAATCTTTTTTTGGCAAGCTATCTATCTCGCCTGTCATCCACCCATGCTATTCCAAAATCCCCTTACCGCTCTGGGGGTTCTCTCCACGGCTGTGCATGCGCAAAGCGAACCTCGTCGTCGATGCGCGTACGGTGATGACTGCTGGCCAAATGCTGCTACATGGGACCAATTTAATGCCACCGTTGGTGGGAAGCTAATTCGCTCTCTGCCGTCTGCTGCTGTGTGCCACGCTGAGCGGTACGATGCCAATCAATGTGCCCTCGCGAAGAGTAACTGGCTAGACAGTTCGTGGAGAACTAACCAAACAGGATCTTATGCTGCCACTTTGTGGGAGATGGGCCCTACTGGTCAATGCTTTATTGATACGGCTGTTGAGGCCCCGTGTGACCAGGGAATTGGTACGAGATGATGAATAGACTGAGGATGTTGTTGCTAATTTCTGCCATTAGTTCCGTACTACTCGGTTCGGGCTGAGAGCGTAGTGGATATTCAGGCTTCAGTGAGATTTGCCAGTGAGAAAGATCTATATTTGGTGACGAAGAACACCGGACATGATCAGTAAGTCCCATAAGTCAGATTTCCGTATCTGCGGGGTTTGGGCCTAACCACAGCGATTGTCAGTCTTGGTCGATCAAGCGGTAAAGGAGCATTCTCGATTTGGACCCATAATATGAAAGGTATCGAATGGCATGCCTCGTTTGTTCCGCAGGGAGCACCAGCAGATGGTGGTGGTGTACCGGCTGTAACGCTCCAAGCTGGAGAGCAGTGGCTCGGTGAGTGGATGCTGCTCTTTTCCCCCTATTCGTTTCTGGAATGAGAATAGAGCTGACGGAAGTGGATGTAGATGTGTATCACGCTGCAGCGAAACAGGGAGTATTGGTCGTAGGAGGATCAGCACGAACAGTCGGAGCAGCAGGAGGGTATTTACTTGGAGGAGGCCATTCGCCATTTGCACACTACTACGGCCTCGCAGCTGACAGTCAGCGATCCATTGGCAACTCTATATCCACCTTACGCGTCTAACAGAAATGCAGATCTTCTGGAAATGAGCATCGTTTCTGCAGACGGTGAACACCATGTGATCAATCGCTATTCAGACCCGGAGTATTTCTGGGCTGTCCGCGGGGGTGGTGGCAGCGTCTGGGGCGTATGTTAATTGACACTCATGCCGATTGCGGTCTGAGGCTTACATACCATTGATGATTATCAGGTCGTTACATCGGTCACCTACAAGACCCATCCAGTCCCGCAGAACCTCATTATGGGCTTTGTGCAGCTGAATGCATCGGATGATGCCAGTCTAACACATATCCTAGAGGAGTCCATCAAGCTCCTCCCCGAGGTCACAGACGCTGGGTACACTGGTTATGCCACCATTGACCAAGAGTTTGGAGCCATCTTCATCAAGCCTAATAGCACCGTTGAAGACTTTAACAAAAATTTCGCAGGGTTTTTCAACCTGACTCAACTCCCTGGTATCCAAGGTGCGGTTGGAGCTCAAGCGTCAACCTGGGACGGATACGTCGCAAATATCCTCCAGGACCCCAACATTGGCACTAATATTCAAGACCCCTCGCGGCTCTTGACCAGGGATGTGATTAACAAAAAAGCGGACGAATTGGCCCGCTTCCTTGTCAAAAATCCGGGAGGAGGATTCAATTTCAGTAAGTGATAAGATATGGCCGATGTCTGCTTTCGTCCTGCTTACCTGGTACAGTTGGCAAGGTGAATAATGACGAACGCGACAACACCGCGGTCAATAAGATCTGGAAGCAAAGCCACGCTCTTTTGTCAATTTCCGTCGATTGGGCCGATAATGCGACGGTGTCAGAGAAGCACCAGAAGCGATTACATGCGGTGCAGCTGAGCGATGGTCTTGCGAAGATTGTTGGCACGGAGGGAGGGACGTATATAAACGAAGCAAATCCGTAAGTACTATTCGCAATTGCATTAAAGTTTAAACTCACAGGAGATTACACAGGTATGAACCCGAGTGGCAGAAGGTCTTCTGGGGCGATAAATATGAGCGATTGGTCTCAATCAAAGAACGCGTCGATCCCAAGAACGTTTTTGTGTGTAATCGGTGTGTCGGGGGACAATTGGTATTGCAGCCATAGATATCTTGTCCCACGAGCTAAAGGGGGTTCCCCTGGAGAACGGCCCTATTTGTATCAGCGCTTGATCATAAGTGTATGTGATGATGGCCTAAGTCTGACCCATGGGGGACATTTTTGATTATAGTACAATGCTTTTGGGACGTCATTCCATGCAATTAGATACAGATCGAATATCTTGAATTGAAAAAGAACTTGATTGATAAATATAGGGTCTATAGGGGGAATAAGAGCAAGAATGAAACATCTATATTAGGCAAAGGAATGCTTTCTGAGTGCAGGCAGCATGGCTAAGACAGAAAAAAAAAAAAAAAGCAAAGGATTGGGAAGTTGGGAAGCGCGTTGATCGGCTTGCGTGGGATGATCGAGGCGGAGGAGTTTCTATAGCACTTAGTGTCCTACTCCGACCGGGCACTCTTGGTCTTCTTGCTCCGAAGTTTCATCATCAAGAAAACGAGAGCATAAGAAGAGATACAGAACAAGGCAGTGATACCAGACTAGAAACATTTGTCAGTAATTGATCATAGAGGTAAAGCGAAGGAAAAGAACTTACATCTCTCCAAGAATAGTACTTCTTTTGCTGGTTGAATGTTTTGGCGTAGTCAGCACCAGTAGAGTACTGACAGAACGAGCAAGTGGTTGTCGAGTTTCCATCCAGCAAGTAGCCAGTTTGAGTCGACAGGAAGTCTGCCATGTATTCACCACAGGTCTGCCCAGAGGGAGCGCTGAAAGTGATGAATTCGGATGGCTCGCATTTGACCTTGACATCCCACAGAACCTCACCGAGAAGGCCACCAACGAGGTAGGTGAAAGGATCGAGGTAGTAAATCCAGTAACGCCAGAATGCTTGCAGCTGGCTGTAAGGAACGACGACACCGCAGAAACTGATCAAACCAGCACCGATCAAGACGGGATTCATGACAGCGGCGAAGTATTCGTTCGGCGCATATGCAGCAATTGCCTGACCAATCGAGGTGTAGAGGAACTCGTAGACTGGAAACTTTGTTAGTTGCTGTCTGAAATGAAGAAACCTGAATACAACAGCGGAATGCATACATATCATCTGAAGGTAGAAGTGACCGGAAATGCTGGCTTTGATCGGGAAGCCGGCGGTGAAATAGAAGCAAGCGAAGTAGAGTGTGGCACAAATGATGAGATATGGAATCTCAGCGACTGTTTGAGCTCCGATGAAGGCAATCCAATGGTAGGTTTTGGACTAAACGATATTAGTTGCTTCATTTAAGTTGAGGGATATTGTTTTCTTAAGCTGACGAACCTTCTTTTCGCGTGTTTCAAAAATGTCACGGTTAGCCAGGAAGAAAGGTTGCATCTGATTAATGCAGCCGGGGGCAACGAAGATGAAATTGAAAATGGCAAAGAGTCGCAACTGGAGGGAGAAAGTTCCATCCCCGACTTTCCAGAAGGTGAAACCACTGAATAGAGCTGCAAAAATGTGAAGAATAATCTTGTTCCACATATAGTCCTAGGCAATGTCAGTCTTCATACATATTGTAATCATGAAATATAGGAAATCGTACCGGTGATCGCCAAATCTTGAGACTCAGACGTGTAGTAACCACCTTGAACTGGAACCAGTGAGAAGTAGCGAAGTCCGCGGTGTCCTCTACATAGTTTGGATCCGCCAAACCAGATTTGTTCAGAGCCTCAAGTTCCTCGAGGGCCTTTCGTCGCTCTTCAGATTGACTCCATACCTCGACCCAGTCAGTCTTTTCTGAAGTACCACTTCCTTGCACAACGTCGATAATATGCTCGGCTGGGTTGGCATCAGGTGGGCAAGGTGCGCCGTTGCGTGTGAAATAATCCAGAATCTTGCTCGACTGCTTGCCAGCTAAAAGATTCCAATATTAGAGCAAGGCACAATCTGTATTTGTGAGTTGACAGGGCTTACTCTCTCCGAAGTATGTCATCCGTCCACCTTTTGCAAGCAGCAGTAGACCGTCGAATGCGTCGAACAAGACAGCAGAGGGTTGATGGATGGTGCACTACCATAGGTTAGCATTGTATGGACTGAAAGTGCGAATAGACATCTTACCAAAACAGCCTGACCTCCATCAACCAGCTTGCGCAAGAACCGAACAATATTATATGCGCTCTGGCCATCGAGACCCGAAGTAGGCTCATCCAAGAAAAGTAGAGAGGGCTTTGCCACAAGCTCAACACCCAAAGTCACACGTTTCCGCTGCTCAATAGTGAGGCCGGCACCAGGAACTTAACCTTGTTAGTTTTGTGAGATCAAATAAAAATAAAAAAGAGTTAACTCACCTCCAATCAACGCATCTTCGATATCTGCGAGCTCCAGAAGGTTGATAATGTGATCCACATAAGCAATTTTCTCTTCGTATGGAACGGAAGACGGTTGACGAAGAACGGCAGAAAAGACAAGCGCTTCTTTCACAGTCGCTGTGGGCTCGTGTACATCCAACTGCTCGCAGTAACCCGTGGTTCTTTGGAAGCTAATACCCTGTGGACGTCCGTCGATAAGGATTGAACCGTAGATCTCTCCTGAATCCTTTCTCTGAGCCAGAACATCCAGAAGTCTGTCAATTGTGTAAGTATGAATATCTAAAATAAAGTTAAGGGGGCGACTCACGTTGTTTTTCCAGCTCCAGAGGCTCCCATCAAAGCAACCAAGTTACCTGGCTTGACATAACCAAACACCTTGTTCAAAAGTTGCTTCTTTTCTCCATTGAATGGCACATGGTAGTCAAGATCATGCCAAGTGAAGATGGACTGCTTTGCTGAGCCTGAGAGAGCTGTTGGTTCTGCTGCTTGCTGGGTCATGGCGTCCTTTTCTGTGCCCTGGGCTTGCTTCTTCTCACTTCCACGCTTGTAAAGCAAGACGGAAGAGCCACTCTGGCTGTTTAGAAGCTCAAAGCCCATTGAGGTCAAGAAGATGAAAAATAGCCAGAAACCGACAATGATTCCGAAGCTGCGCCAGATGTGGTGGACCGAATAGCTATACTGCTCTCGGAGATAAGTTGCGCCGTCAATGATGCCATCGGCATTACTTCCTAGCACTGAACAACCTCGATGAGGAGAGGCGGTGCTTGGGTAGCTAGAGCCGTAAGGAATATAGTCAGGCTCTTTGCAGACAAATTGCCGACCGACAAACTCGTTTGCCATCAATGCCTCATATGCGTAAGCTCCTGGGTTCAAGTAGAAGATCCAGCGGAACCAAACATGCATCTTATGGAAGGGCACCAGATAGCCTAAATGAAATTGGTTAGATAATGATCTTACAGATGAAGAACAAAGCTCGAAACTTACCTCCGTAGACAAAGAAAATTGTAGAAAGCAGGCCAGTGATCTTGGAAGCATTTCCAAATCGTGTGCATAGAGCACCAACTGCCCGGAAGAGTTGGATGAAGCACAATGTTTGCACGATGAGAATGATCCAAAAAGTGAAGAATCTTCCAGCATCCATCTGTAAAGCAGCCATGAAGTACAAAATGAGCGAGAAGCAAGTGACCTGGATCATGACAACCGGAGTATCTGTGATAGCGTTCGCAATGCAGAAGGCAGTTGGACGATAAAATCCAAACCGCTTTTGGCGGGAGAGAATTGGGCGACCCATGAAAGACGCAGTAGTCTCAGACATGGACTCAAGGAGGAAATAGAGAACCGGGAAGAAGAGCACACCAGGGCGCAGGAACATGGAGCTGCTGTCTTCGGGGAGGTTATAGAAGATAGATCCACAAACCAATGCCTGAATTATGGCTGAGCTGACCTTGACCACGAGGGAGAACTTATCTCCCCACATAATCTGGAACTGACGGAGAGTGCAAGAGCGAACCTGATCGAACAAGTTTGCAGTATAGACGCTCTGATTGCGAGGAAGATGCTGCTTGCGCTTTTCGCTGGACATCGCGATTTTAAGGTCCTCCGTCTCGTGGGTCAACTTCTCTGGGGACTCCATGTTATCCATCTGCTCTCGATAGATATAGCTGTTGTGGTAAAGAGATTCGAATTCTTCTGGGGTGTTGGGCACCTTGTCCTCCCAGCCGGGACGGACGATTCTCTCCGTGAGGACGGTAACGGACGTGAGATAGTCTGCTATATTGGCGCCCTTGGGACAAGTGAAACCGAGTGATTCGAAGTATCCTTTAGCCAAATGACGAGGGCCATAGTAAGTGACTTTGCCATCTGCCAACACGAGAACCTTGTCGAAGGTATCGTAGATTCCATTTCCAGCCTGATAGGTGGTGGTAATGATGGTCTTTTGGTTCTCGTCTGCTTCGTGTCGCAACAGTCGTGCAAACTCTACCGCAGCCTTAGAGTCCAGACCGCGTGTAGGGTTATCCCAAAGTTGAACTGGGCTCTGTTTGAACGGAGGTTAATACGTGAATTAGATTCCCAAAGGAACGGTAGAAACCAACCTGTCCTGCCATCACTTCCGCTAGCGAGACACGTTTCCTTTCGCCACCTGAAACACCGCGAATAAACTCGTTTCCGACACGAGTTTTCTTCGTGTGTCCGATACCAAGGGAGTCAAGGATATCATCGCGTTTCTCCATAACGTAGTCTTTGCGATCGGCCAATGCATCAGGTCGCTCATTGGGAACCTTGTTGCGGAGGGCGAACTTCATCGTCCGGTTCACAGTCAAAGTTGGGAAATGTACATCGTCTAATAACATAGTTCCGTTAGATAATTGTCATTCAATCCATGGTGCTCCATGAGTTTACCTTCGTTGTTGAACATGATCTGCTGGCGGAACTGCTTTGCCGCTTTGTGGTCCATGCTTCCAAATCGAGTCTCACCACTGACTTCATCAAAAGTATCGCGGTCATTGGAAAGAATTCGAAGAAGAGAGGTACAGCCAGACCCTGGGCGACCGAGTACCAGAAGCTACTTTCGTTAGCATCAAAGCTTTCCGGTAATATAGCGCGCGGTACATACCATCTCTCCTGGTTTAACCTGACCCGAAACATCTTTCAAAATTGTCTGTGATGTTCGTCAGTATATTGCTATAATCTGATATTATGTTATATTTACCCTTTTGTGCTTCTGCTGTCGTGTGAATAGACCGCCAAGCTGACGGGGATCAACCTCAGACCAGAGCGTGCTTCCCAACGCAGCATCCGGTGCAGTAACGCGGACATTGATATCACGGAATGTCACAGTGAGGCGCTTCCGAATACTGCCTTCGTAGCTAGCGCTTTCCAAGTCGACGGGTGTCACCGTCCCTGATGATGGAGTCTCCATCCTGGCTGATTGGTCCTCCGGGATGGATTCAGTGACTTTGCTCTTCTCGTGCAATGGAATGTCTTCGCTCAATCTTCGTATTATATTCGGTGGCTTATTTATCCAGACGGTTTAAAACTTAAAAAATGATATCAATTGATATTTAAAAGACCAATCCTCAAATTGTAGCGCTGTACCTAAGCTTCATTTACTCACACTTTTTACATCCGTATTGCCGGGAAAGTGGGTCATCCGGAGATACGCTTGTTCCCCTATCCATATAATCTTCGATAATCCGGCATTAACAGTGCGAGTGCTACGGAAATATCTGCCCTGACCATCGGCTTTACGATTTTTTCGGTTTAGCACTATCGCTGGTCAATAATAGGGCTGACACTTAGGTCCACTGCGGCTTTATTCCTGCAGAGCTTTGTCAGCCACAGCGATCAGATTTATCGTCGGATATAGAAGTCTATTTTCTCGCAATCTCGATCTAAAATATTTCCGGATACCCATCCATCTTTAAATTTCGGTCAATGGAAAGCTACAGGCCCTTCTAGAAGCCCCCTTTTATCCCCGCCGGTATTTATTACCTTAGGGGCCGGCAATAGAAGCTTTAGGCCCGAGCTTTATTGCTCCTCGATGTATGACGTTGTTCCTCATCGTGGCGAGTAGCCAATCTCATTACAAGGTTTCCAATAGGCGTGTTTAGCAGTTTCGTTGATATGGCAGACTCAGCCTAGTTTGCCCGAAACAGCTAGATGATGGGCAATACTGAGATTTTGCCGACTGCTTGCTAGGGTAAACATCGGATGAGGATGAAACACGAATATCAAGGGCTAGGATTCGGGTTACGATTAGCGCGACGCTTGCCAAATGGGAGAAGCTCAGGTCTAGGATACAAGAGATCGATTCTTTTTTATCCTAGCCTCACGACGAAAACTCCTCTTCCATCCAGATGGCAAAAGAGTGTCGTGTTAAATCCATGTCATTTGAGCTTTTTGACTAGCACACAATGGACTCGTTGTCTCCTACTCCTAGCTACTGTAGTCTAGCTCGCCAAGGATACTAGTCAAAAGGGTACTACTTTCGAAGGAAGGATTTTCGGAATCCTCAAATAGGTCGGTATATAGGTTTGTCTCTGACCGTGGCGTTTGAGATATTCCAACGCTAGGTTTAGCCTTCTGAAAGCCAACTGGCTTAGATATGGAAATTTGCAAAACCATCTATCAATTATCAACAGTCCAGTGCGGCTTCCTTGACCATCGACCGTGTTGAATTTCATCAACTTCTTGCATCATCGCGCACTCCAAAAAGTCTTTGATGAGATCAGGATGAAGAGGAGAATGCCGTATCTTGTTTGCCTGCTCTTTTCCTTCCCATTCGCGCACAAAATCAACAGCATGACTAGAAAGGACCCTCGCTTGCTCAGCATCTTTATATATCTCGTACTTGTACTCATCGAGTACACCTTGAAACGTTTGCCCTAGTCGGTTTCTCGCAGAATTGAAATCATTCACTACCCTACCTAGCTCTTGCTCGTCGATGAAAGCATACCGGCCCAGTGAGTGAAGATATATGCTTGTAAATTCAGCGCACACCATTCCACGGAATGCATTATACCCTCCAAATTGATCAAAATATGGGTCTTGATGGTAGTATATGTCTCCGTAGTCCGCATATGAAACTCTTTCGCTGTTGTGCCGCGGACATCTGGAATTGATGAGCAAAGTAATTTCTGGGCAGAGCGACGAAGGGGTGGATCTGCGCAAGATGCATCGACAGTAAAGGTATCGATGGGTGTAATTAAAAATTGGCTCCCATTTCATGGTTAGTCGATGGCAAACGTTCTCTATCGCTTGTTTATCATTCTCATATCTTGCCCTTTGTGGAGATTGGAGATTGAGTTTCATTTTGTTCATAAGGTATTTCGGACGATAGAGCCTTCATTTTATTGCCGTTGAAGGGTATAAGCGCTGTGTCCGTGGTCTCATAGGTAATCTCATCAGGCTCTACCCAACGAAGTTTTAGTTCGCATCGGGAGCTACAATATATCCATTAGCTTTTTATCTGTAATGCGGCTGTTTACGAATTACCATGTGCTATATTTCCGCCGATATACACTTACCTCCTGCTTCTGCCCACAGCGCACACATGCGTAATGGTCAAACCCAAAGCAGGTACTCATCACAAAGGAAACTTTGATCCCTGTGCCTGATATCACATGCATATTCCAGGTATCGTTATCGAGTTTCGTCCTGCCATTCCAATTCCATAGCTCTAGGTGAGAATTTCGTACCAAGTTTGCGCCTGGGAGACCTCTGTCTTCAAATTTGTGCGATAGAAGACGCAGGAATTCCTATAATATTAGTTAGTTATGGTAATGCCTTGGAAGATATCAGTACCTTTGGTGAAGAGCAAAAGCTCAAAGGGAGAATGTAGTCTGGATCAAGGCCGTCATCCACGATGATATGGTCGCGAGGCGCTCCCGTTTCCCATGGATATCCCAAGTCCCTTGGCTTGTGGGGACATGCGATCCCTAACGACGATCGTAATAGTTCTACCAAGAGTTCTAACTGCTGTTGTATCGACTGTAGCCCTTGTGCATGTTGAAGATCCGCGCTCCTTGTTCTATATTAGCACTGACAATATAGGTCCTACTAGGAATAAGGCAGTGATTGGGCTTTTCTATCGAGCTTCGAAGTCTTTTGGGGCTAGAAGTAAAATGACAGAGTAGCACCTACAGCTGGAGGGCTTGCATCGAGACACTCAACTGGTGGTCTAGTTGTTCAAATCGTTTACTGACTCTCATGGCGCGGGCTGCAGCCCTGGCATTAGAAATGACATTTCGTTTTCCATTTCCCTTCGTGGAAGTTATGATCTTGGACATCTGCTTGAGAACTTTCTGACAAGCCGTTATATGTTCGTCTTCACCCTGAGTAAGAAGCGGTAAAGCCTTAAGAGCAGCGATATCTACTAAAATGGCTTGGATCTGCATTTCTCTGTCGGAAACCTCCCGGATGCTTCCATTTGCTGATCGAGATAAAGCGAGGAAACGGCTGAAGAATTCCACCCCAAATTGGGTGATTTGGATAATGAAGCCAGCAAGGCTAATGGGCTCCATACCTGCTGATAGTGTTGACGATCAATATCTCCTGTTTATGAGTTTGACTGAAGGTTCCGCGAACTTCGTCTATGCTGACTATTTATGATTTCCACTGTGAAAAAGCGGGGTAACGCATCCTTAAGCATAGCCTCTGACACAGCCTTGAGCATGGCGTCTAGCAAAGGTCCTAGATTAGTTCACCACTTTTTGTACTTGCTGAGCACTTACCTGTTCTCCCCACATGAATTACGGATCCGCCATAGGATTTTATTTAATTCTAACGAGTACCGGCGCATCAGCCAGTGTAATTTTACGCAATAAAGTACGAAGCGCGGTTTACTAAGGGATTATGAAGGGCGCCGCTGTTGGCACCTGGCAGCCTGATTTCTGCCTGATCTCTCCACATCCTTTCCTTCTATCTTCTATCCTACCTATCCCACCCCTGGATTACATGCATATTGTAGTGTTTGCCCCCCGGCCTTTTTCGTTGATTGGTCTGTCTGAAAAGGAAAATCTGTCGAAGCAATATCCGCGCATTCACTAGAGTGAAACGTGAAATAATATCGTCGAGGGGCGTTGAAGATTAGCTGCAGAATTATTCCTTCCTTCCATCAAATTATGAAACTATGTCCATTAAACAATGCGCCAGTCCATCTATAGGTAAGGTCTATTAATACAATCTATATAAAACACCCTCCAACCTAGGGGTATCACTCCTGTCCCAATTTGTCGCAGACGATGAACACTTTTAGAGAAACGCAGGATCCGCAGCCTGATACGTTGAGAAAAATGCCTCCAAGTCCATAGTCGAAAAATCAAAATTCCAGCCCATGTCGGACTGTGTGAAATCCAAAAGATCATCACTCGAACCTCCCGAACCCCCCGTTTCCGGTCCCTCGAGTAATGGAAGATTCCACTGTGGTGATGATAGGTCTGGTTGTTGGTTGAAGAAGGGTCTTTGGGGGACTGATGGATCTGGAGTTACCCATGCCTGGTGGTCGATGTTGCTGATAGGTTGAGAGACGGATGCTGGGTTTTGTGAGGGCAATGTGGAACTTTCGTCGGCTTTTGGGTAGGGTGACCACTCGTAGGCCGGGCTGATTTTGCGTAGGGTTGTTTGGATGGCTGAGATGGTGCTGTTAATTGGATCGCCTTCTCGCATTGTGGATAGATTTTGGAGAGTGGCGTATATCCAAGGTAAGTGAGTTGTTGCTGTGCTTGGGTCGTGAAGTAGGTCGTATATGAGGGTGAACGCGGAGCTGCCGAGGAAATATCCATGGTATCGTAATTGCTAGAGAGAATATCAGTCTTAGTTCAGAAACTTGATCGATTTGACCGAATGTACCTTGACAAAGTCATTACTGCGGGACGCTTCACACAGATGATGGATGGTTTTCCTCGCTGCTGTCAGGGCGTGATTGCAAGCTTCGTTCAACCAAGTTGGCATTTCGGTCGGGCGACTGGCAGAGCCCCCATTGGGCTGTTGAAGTGACATTTTCATGTCCCGCTGCCAGTGGCCACGGAATATTAAAAAGGGGCGGATAGTCAGAAGGAGAGTATGATAGTACACTAATATCGGTCAGTAGCCAGGACAATCATGATAATATGCTTGACCGTACAAGTAATAAATATCGTTTGGCGAACACCGAGAGATCCCGATTGAATGCCCGCATTGAGGCCAAATCCTAGCGCCTGCTGCATTTGAACCTCGTGGCCTCGAAGGTCGTGAGTGATTGAGCGGGCGACTTTCCACATATGCAACAATGACTCGTGCCTTTGACCGTATATCTCATTGCCGGAACGAGAAACGGTTTTGCAAAGCTCAGCCAAGAGTCGAATAAATGGATCTTTTGCATACTCAGTAGCAACATCTTTTATGGACAATGAGCTCGGTCGGCCGACGTGAAAGCAGAACCAGCTAGAACGGCATGTTAGCGATTCGCCGAGCGAATGTCCGATTTCGAGGGCTAGGGAGATACGTTTCAAAAGCATAGAGAGACCAGAATGTGACTCGGCGTTCTTCAATGGTCTCCTGGTCTTGGGAGTCCCCGTGAGGGACGTCTTTGTGCAAACCAGCAGAAAGAGCTTTGCGGGCGGCTGTCCCAAGATGCAAGAAGGCGGAATTAGGGCGACCTTGTTCATTCTGGTAATTGGCGTATTGACTGGGAGTCTATGTCAGCATCATAACGATCAATCGAGCCTGGCGTGCAGCGACTTATCATAAGTAATGAAATTTGCACGGTCTGCAAATTTACAACATCGTCATATGACACCAGCGACACCTTGACACGATCAAAAAGCACGTCGCCCCATGCATAATGTTCCGTGCCTAATGAGCCCGTTGCTAAACCGATCAAGACGATGGCTTGAGTCAGAGTATCGGGGTGAATCGTAGGGGATGGGTTGTAGAGCTTCTCCAGACATTGTTCATAGTAGGACTTGGGTCGATGGGGCAACATGTGGTAAAGGTGGGTTAAAAATCGCGAGAGAAAGAGCTTTGCTAGCTCATATGGCAAGAACATCATAGGTATGTCGCCAATGGCGGCGGACTTGCCAAGGTCATGAGTATCGGGAGTACCAAAGAAGATTCGCCGGAAGCTGAACAAATCTAGGCCAGCGCCAGCCTCTTCAACTTCACCCGAAGGCGCAGGATGAATGGTTGGAGTAGAGACAAGATCGCGGTAGATATGCTGCATGAGTGAAAAATGGGAGGTTGGGCCATAGTATAGCTGCATCTGGCATGAAGGCGAAGCCATATGGGTCGCCGATACACTGTTTGGGAACTCGAGCATCATTGAGGGACCCCCGGATTTAAACGATTGAGGAACTGGCGGAGAGATTTGACGGGGCTGTCTTCCCTCAGTATCAGACTGTGGGTATTCATTCTTTTTCCTTCGGTGCCGAATGACATCTCTGTAGACACAGGGAGTGTTTCGTTGCTGACATGTTTTGCACCTGAAGGAAATTAATCAGATCATTTCATTCCCCCATTATCAGCCTGCTAGACCAATAGAAGATAATCTCACGGGGTCAATCCATTGCAACGGATTTTGCGCTTTCGACACTCCTGGCAGGCCTTAGGAATGCGCCAACCGGCAGTGGGGGGTTTCAGGGTATCAGCCATATCCGAACGACAAGGAGGACAGACTTGGCACTAAGGGGTGTACGGAAGAACTTCCAGCACCCTCAGTACATTAGCGGAGTAACCAAAGGGCTCTCCGTGGCTTTCTGTACTATCCCTATGGGGGACAGGTGCTTGTGCGGTGGATATTGAAAAGGGCGTGTCTCTTCATCCGCTTCATCCGTCTATATCCGAGAGAGTCACGTGAGGTCACGGTCGCGTTCCTTCCCAGTTTCTCATTTTCTCATCGAAATAAGAAGATGAGAATTGCTCTCGACTCTCACGGCGATTAATTGTATGATGATCATCACTCCTGCGATACCCCAGTCGTCACCGAGAACAAGACTGGAGCTGTCTGAAGGACCGACCACTCTCGTTCAACTCAGATAACCGACACTCCTTCCGATGAGAGCGACCATCGGATCCCCGTGAGCACACGGCACAGCTGCCAAGGCGTACGTCTTGGCCCTTCTGCTTTAATCAATCCAGTGAAGCAAAACATCCAAAGTCTGGTCGACAATGGCTGTCGTGGCGCTGCCGAGACTTTGTCGGGAAGACCTTTCGGCACTTGAATACAGACGGTCGACAGGCTGACAGATCGACGACAGGAGAACTGAGTTTCTCGAGTTAACTTTGTCTCTCAACTGTTGGCCTTCACAAGTTCACCACGCGGGACCGGTCCCGCTCGACACTTTATCTTCTATCCCTCCCCGTCCGGGGTGTCCGGGGTAGAACCCGAACTTCGAGCTAAATCGTCGGCCTGGACTCCATCGGATCGGAATGTACCAGTCAATCGGAAGCACGAGGCCCGTTTAGCGTGAGCATCCCCCATGATTCATCTCCACGTTTCCAGTCTTACCCCGTCTGTGTGATGGACCCTGAGCTGATCCATGGATGACCCACTTGGAATATACAGAGACGGACGCATTCTTGATGTGACTATCTCGACATCTCGACTTTTCTAGTATAATTGAATTGGTGAAGTTCACGTCCATCGAAAATCTTCCAAGCCTTCATGAACCATTATGATTGGCCCATTCGTCCTCAAACTCTCGGGTCCCGCCAAGTAACGCCTCCCAGCGAAATGCAAACGCAAAACCCTCCGAGTGCCAAGGACCGACTCTTTTCTTCCTATGGTCCTTTTCCGAAGGACGAGGCGTCGATATTTCTTGGCGCCGGCAATTCCAGACCAACGGACAGAATGGTTGGCGATACTTGTGCCGCGGTCAAACCCATACCTTGTTCCTCAGATTCGCCTCCCCCATAATCTAGACTTCCCCGCAACCCCGGATTCAGACCCGTCCGGGACTTCCGAGCGGGAGATAGTAAAAGAGGGACGAATGACCCGCGGGGTGACACAATCTATAAAGGACCACAGCTTTCCCCGGTGGTGATTTACGCGACTGCTTGGCAACAGATTTTCACCCGTCTCCCCCCTCCCGCCCCTCGTGAAACCTCCCGGCCCCAGCTTCCTGTTCCCTTTTCCTTCCCTACAGCTTCTTCTCCCCATGACTACCACCATGGCCGACCCGGAGTCTGCCAGGGAAGAGAAGGCCATCTCTGACCATAAAGAGAACCTCATGTCGGATGTGGCTCGTGATGCGGCCGAGCGCGGACATCTGGCCACTGATCAGTATGGACATCCCATTGTCGAGTTTGACAAGGAGGCCGAGTCCAAGCTCAGGTTGAAGATTGACCTGTACGTCGTGCCCACTGTGGCCCTGATGTATCTGTTCTGCTTCATTGATCGGGCAAATATCGGTAAGTGTGGCTCAAGGACAGCTTGAGCTGGAACCTATGCTAATACAAGAATCTTCGCTCTGCAGGTAATGCCAAGTTGGCCGGTTTTACCAAGGACCTTGGATTGAAAGGCTATGATTACAATGCTGTCCTGTCTATCTTCTTTGTCGCGTACATCATTTTCGAGATTCCGAGCAACGTAAGGCATACCTTTGGTCATCTGGGATATGGGTCCCAGGTAGGAGAACTATGCTGACGGTGCATCTATCAATAGATCGCATGCAAGTGGATTGGACCTGGTTGGTTCCTGCCCGCCATTACTCTTGGATTCGGTATCTGTTCGGTTGCAACTGCCTTCGTGCATGACATTCACGGTGCCTCCGGTGTCCGATTCTTGCTCGGCATGTTCGAGGCTGGTCTGTTGCCCGGTATTGCCTACTACCTGAGCAGATGGTACCGTCGCAGTGAAGTAAGTCCCTTCTCTAAGGCACTCGCATGATGATTGAATATGTCGTGACTAACATAAACCCAGCTTGCTTTCCGTCTTTCCCTGTATATTGTCATGGCGCCTCTTGCCGGAGCCTTCGGCGGTCTCCTCGCTTCCGGTATCCTCACTCTGGATCACTTTGGCAGCCTCCGTAGCTGGCGCATGCTCTTTGCCATCGAAGGCATCATCACTATCGGAATCGCCCTCATCGCATTTGTGACCATGACCGACCGACCCGAAACTGCCCGCTGGCTCACGCAGGAAGAAAAGGATCTGGCCATTGCACGAGTCAAGTCGGAGCGTATTGGAACTACGGAGGTTCTGGATAAGCTGGACCTGCCAAAGACCTTGCGCGGCATCTTCAGCCCCGTCACTCTGACCAGTGCTTTCGTCTTCCTGTTGAATAACATCACGGTCCAGGGGTTGGGATTCTTTGCGCCAACCATTGTCCAAACTATCTATCCCCATGCGTCCGTGGTGTCCCAGCAGCTGCACACCGTCCCACCTTACGTGGTGGGCGCGTTCTTCACCGTGTTGTTCCCTTTCCTCAGTTGGCGATTCGATCAGCGATTGATCTTCTTCGTTATCAGCCCGCCCCTGATGATGACTGGATACATCATGTTCTTGGCCAGTGAGGATCCCATGGTCCGGTACGGAGCCACTTTCATTATCGCTAGCGGAGCCTTTGCCTTTGGCGCTCTTTGCAACGCCCACGTTTCCGCCAACGTGGTCTCTGACACGGCTCGCTCTTCGGCCATCGGTACGACTGTCATGTTTGGCAACATTGGTGGCCTGATCTCCACCTGGTCCTTCCTGCCATCCGATGCGCCCAACTATCACATTGGCAATGGTCTGAATCTTGCAACCTCCTCCATGACTCTCATACTCGGTGCGAGCCTATGGATGTGGATCTTGTGGGATAATCGCAGGCGTAGCAAGGTCGATGTCAATGCCGCGTTGGCCGGATTGTCCCAGAAGCAGATTCAGGACATGGATTGGCGCAACCCTGCGTTCCGCTGGCGCCCGTGATCTGCCTCAATAAGGGTTTACGATAATTTGACACGAGGGGGTTTGTGTTTAGCTTTACGTTGGGGTTGTACAAGATTATTATGAATATGAATATGGCGTCCATGGCGCCGACTATTTCTGATGGATCTTAAGGTTGTTAACGTAGACTTACTTAAGGTGTTCATGCGTTCCATTCATCTTCCACCATTAACATTAAGGTTACCTAACTGGAGGCCAAGCAATAATTTTTGCCGATTCGGTAGATTTGATTACTCGGATCAATCAACCCTTGACTTTGGTCGGCCCGAAAAGCTAAATGAGCATCGATCTCGGCGAGAGGCCCGTGTGGATGGGTTGGTGAGGCCGCAAATGGATATATTTCCCCACCAGAGGCGCTTTGACAGAATATTTACACCAGATCTTGAGTGACATCAGCAATAGGAGATAAGTTAAGTCCGCCGTAGATTCTACAGAATTCTCTAAACTATCTCCATGAATGCCCCTTTCGAGACTCCGACGATAGAAACCCGAGGGTTAATTTGCCGAGTGGGGCAGTCCATGCCGGTACCGGGATGCCAGCAAACAATAAATATTGGTTGATCGCACTCTGCGAATCCAAACAACAATTCAATCATCTACCATTAACAATGTCTTGCGAAGCTTGTCGGACTATCCCTCCCGTGGTCGCGACGGGATACACTCCCAAGGGCCAATTCGAGACCATCGCTGGCCTCAACACTTGTGGGTGTACTGTCCTACGTGATACCCCTCATAGATTCTAACAGAACTACCCCGCAGATGTCACCGGAAATGCAGATGCCCAAATTGGCCTCGTAGACATTTACGATGTCTTTGGTATGGCTAGCCAGACTATTCAAGGCGCCGATCTCCTCGCGGCAAGACTAAACGCCGTGGTCCTCATCCCGGACTTTTTCGATGGAGAGCCGCTCAAACATGAATACGTCCCCGCCGATACCGATGAGAAGAAACAGATTATTGCAGACTTCATGGCTCACAAGGCTAATATCTCTCGCAATGTTGATGTGGTGATCGAGGCTGTTAAGGAATATCATACCCGATTCTCGTCGGTTCGGAAATGGGGCGCGTTTGGTTTGTGCTGGGGTGGAAAGGTGAGTTCTTAAGTTCTACCTTGGATTGAGATGATGATAAGACTCGAAGATTGACATTAGTGTAGGTGACTGTTTTGACATCCGGACCTAATACCCCGTTCGCTGCATCGGGCCAAGTGCATCCTGGGTAAGCCTGTTCTCCAAGCTGCAGTAGAACGACTAAATCTAACGTTAATGCCTGTTCTAGTCGAATGGATGCGGCTGATGCGCAAGCTCTGTCGATTCCGCATATCGTGCTTGCCTCGAAAGACGAGCCTGCCGATGCAATTGCGGGCTATGCGGACTTGTTTGCGAAGGAGAAGGAAGGATATATTGAGACCTACTCTACCATGTGGCATGGATGGATGGGTGCTCGTGCTAACCTTGAGCAGGAAGAAAGCCAGGCTCAATATGCTCGTGGGTGAGTTTTAGGTTGATGAGATACTGTTACTATTCGCATACTGATTCAGCATTTTTGTCACAGGTACAACCAGTTGGCTGACTTTTTTGAGAAGCACCTTTCTTGAAAGGGCTATGAGATGTAGTTTTATGTGTGGATTGTCATAATAACGTCAATGAAGTGTACCGATCTATTAGCATACATTATTCTGTATCGGTTGTTCGAAGTACAATGGTCACCCCTCGCTACAGATAGTCTAGACTGCAATGACTACTAGAACTCTTAAAACAATCGTTGTCTTCATCAGATTATACTGTGTGCTTGGAATCTTAAACCTAGCAAAAACGGAGTTAAGAAACTGCAACCACATTGTACCTGATAGTTTACAGATGTAGCCAATATAGAATAATTGGCATAACTTCTCTATTGCATTGTCACTAAACATATCCATTGATGCACAATGAATCTCTAGTAAAAATACGCCTCTGGCATTCTTAGAATCTCCCACGTGATCGGAGTATTTCCAGGCCCGAGTTGACCGCCTTTGGCAATTTTGAATCTTCACCGCCCCACTTCTTCACTCATTTGGACTGAACGCCATCCCGGTAACGGCCCGCCTCCGGGAATTAAATGCAAACATGTCAGGTTTCAACGAAAGAGCCTCTCCTTCAACGAGCCTGGCCCCCAATACAAATACGATGGGCTTCCTTGATTTGATTGGAAGTCTTCAACCTGATTTGACTCATGGACGTGACCAGGCCGGATATTGAATGCGCGGGTGAGGTCTGTCGCGCCTCGCCCGAGGAGCATCGTGCTCATGAAGAGATGTCGGATCACAGCCATATAAGTGATGAATCCCCTCAAACAGCACCGGATATTTTGTCCGAGAAACCGGCTGAAAATGATCGCGAGGCCGAAGAAGAAGAGGAGGCTGATGGAGCAGCCGAAGCTCCGTACAGTGTCCTTCCATCCGGGGAGAAAGCCTTTGTGATCATCATGGGGTCTTTTGCAGCTCTGATTTCCCCACTCTCGAGCAGCGCGTATCTGCCAGCGCTGAATACTCTTGCTCGGGATATGCATGTCTCGGTGTCGCTCATCAATCTCACCATCACAACGTACCTGGTAGGTCTACCGATTTTCCTGCTCTGTCACCATGAGCAATTGAATGTGCTAATCCAAAATTATTGCTAGATCTTCCAAGGATTGTCCCCATCATTTGTCGGAAGCTTCTCCGATGGACATGGCCGACGTCCTGCATACATTGTCTCCTTCATTATCTACCTCGGGGCCAACATCGGTCTTGCACTTCAGAACAGCTATTCGGCACTGATGGTCTTGCGTTGCCTTCAATCGGCTGGAAGTAGTGGCACCATCGCTTTGGGCAGTGCTGTGGTTGCTGACTTGACGACACGAGCGGAGCGTGGGAAGTACATTGGATATGCCAGCATGGGCATTTCCCTGGGTCCTGCTCTCGGACCTATTGTCGGTGGACTCTTGGATCATTTTCTCGGATGGAGGTCCATTTTCTGGTTTCTTGTCATTCTTTCGGGCGTCTTATTCATCGTCATTCTCATGGTTCTCCCCGAGACCTGTCGGGCTGTGGTAGGGAATGGGTCTATTGTTCCACCCTCATGGAATCGCCCTCTTTGGACTCTTTGCACACCCAAATCGCGATTTCGGCGAGACGAGAAGTCCCCGGACTTGACAACAATCCAAAAGCCCAAACGACGACCGAATCCAATCTCTTCACTACTGATTCTCGCTCAAAAGGAAGCCGGAATGATCTTGCTGTACGGCGGCCTGCTCTTCTCTGGTTATCAGGCTGTCCTCAGTACGCTCTCAACCCAGCTGAGTAGTCGTTTTGGATTCAACTCGATTCAAATCGGGTTGTGCTATCTTCCAATAGGGCTTGGAAGTATCAGCTCCCGCTGGACCGTTGGAACCTTGCTTGATTGGAACTTTCGACGAGAAGCACGTCTTCAGGGTATGGTGATCCACAAGAATCGACAGCAGGACATTGCGAATTTCAATATCGAACGAGCTCGGCTGGCAGTTGCTTTGCCCATGATCTATTTGGGGGCGCTCTCCATCCTCGCTTATGGCTGGGTAATGCAATATCGCACGTCTCTCGCCGGCCCCATTATCATGCTGTACTTCATGGGTCTCACCACCAGTGGCTCCTTCAATACGCTGAACACGCTGGTGGTGGACGTGAACCATCAGAGCGCCGCCACAGCCGTGGCTGCTAGTAACCTTTGTCGGTGCTTGATGGGCGCCGGTACGACGGCGTTTGTGGGCCCACTGATTGAGGCGATTGGTATCGGATGGACTGGTACCATTGTGGCCGTTCTTTGGGCCCTATTCAGTCCCCTGCTGTGGCTTGTGTTTCTGCGCGGTCATTCATGGAGGCAAATGAAGGCCCGCCGAGAGCAGCAGAAACTGGAAAGCTCGGTCCAGGACCCGCAAGGCAAACCTGATGTTGAACGGGGCAGTGGGGGAGGGCAGTCATAGAATGCGTGTCATAATATGCTTGAATTCGCTGGCATAAAAGCATTTATGTGTCTGAGTTTGGGGTGATTCATGATACAGCAATTTAAATCATGGCAAGTTCTAGAAATCCTTTAATTCAAGAATTTTTTTCACTTGGAGACGTTAGCATTCAAACATAAATTCGTGCCTCCAGTTCTAAAAACCCAGCTGCTGATGGAACTACAAGGAGGTGGCCTAAGGCACCAAGGCACCACCCAGCCCTTTTAGGAAATCCAGCGATGGAAAACTCCACGCACGGACCACCAGTGCCTGACGCGGCCTTTTTGCCTTTGAAAAAGTCTGGACGCCAAGTGGAAATTGGCATTTCCCTCGTGTCCACCACCCCTGAAAGGGAATTCCCCGAGTCGACCTGAACCTCCACACCGTTGTCGGTCCCAGAAATGCCTCAGTTGGTCCCTGAACAGAAAACAGTTCACTGATTTGAAGAATCTGCCCCGCTAGGGGTTCAGGGACTTGGATTCAGGGACTCAGGGTACAGGACAGTACTCCGTACAGTGCAAACGATTGCTCATGTGGAGAAAGACATTGAGAGACTAAGATAGAACCATGTACATTGTTTTATGCATGAGGATTTCAGGAGAATATCACCATCGCAGGATACTTTGCAAACCGTGTTTCGAAACCACGGCGCTTACAGCTTCATAGGAAGTTTAGGGATATTCTTCACCCCTTTTTCGAGGAGTGGAAGCATTATACTACTGACATGTTAGGGATCAGGCTGAAGTTTTCTTGATTACCATCAACTTATCAAGCTGATCAAGATCAGTCCATGTCTTATTTGCAACTCGGATTCGCCTCCTGATTCGCTCGTGGAATTCATAACTATAGTTAGTACAAAGTTGTGAATCGAGATCGCGAGACAAGGAAAGAGATTGGTCGGACCGAGAGTGGAGGCGATTGCGCGGCAGTCGGCTTCAGTGGAAGTAGTATGGGGAGTATTTTTTAGGACTTGATTTACATGCAGAATCAGCATAAACTTATCATACTACGGAGTAAGTTTTTTTCAGATTGTAATAATACGATAAAGAACAACTGCCAATTCCATCTCTATTCCCAGAGTCAGTTCCTGATCACCACCAAACAGCAAAGCTTGAATAAGCTTGGCGTACTCCGCTTGCCGGGTCTTACGGCCCGAATGATGATTCTGCGCCTTCTGGGCGCGTGGCCGCTCCCCACAATGAAAGTTGACGACGCTAGCGTCGAGGATTACGCATGCTCCTGACGCTATATTTAATTCTCTATCAGGCAAAATGGAGTACCCGCATTATTTCTATCGAGTTCCTACATTTTTCCTTCTTTTTTCTATGACTGTCGCCCAGTGAATGATGGTTTTTAAAATCTATCATTGATTGTGCTTTTTGGATTGCATTCCGCCTGACCTATCTATGAGCTATCCCCGCTATTAGAAGGCAGACCCACTCAACAACTTTCTACTGGGATTTCTTTTATCACAACTCGCCATGTATTTGCCTGGGCTTGGGCGTGGGTTGAAGAGCCTGGCGCTCGCCCTTCTTATCTCTAATCCGGCTGGTGCTATCGATTTGACTATCACCGATGAACGTATGTGAAGTGGTGTCGTGTGACGGCAACCCTATTCTCGGAGAAGTTTTGCTGCAAACTGATGGCAGTTTAACACTGATATCCTGATTGCTGATTGTTATCTCAATGTATAGAATCCATCAAAGATGCCGCCAGTACGACCACATATGCGATGATGACCTATTATAAGGGAAACGAGACCGGACATATTCCAGGAGCCTTTGCAAGCAAATGGTGGGAGGGTTCAGCTCTCTTCTTGGCATTGCTCCAGTATTGGTATTTCACTGGCGACACAACCTACAATGAGGAGCTAAGTGTTGGATTACAATGGCAGTCTGGTGACGACGGTGATTATATGCCTAGCAACTACAGCAGTTATCTGGTAATGACTCGCCCTACCTATGCATCACTTGTGGAGAGACCCTGCTAACCATTATCTGATTGACAGGGAAACGATGATCAAATGTTCTGGGGACTTGCCGCCATGACCGCCGCCGAGTTGCAGTTTGCCGACGTTACGGATGGATTCTCCTGGCTCTCCCTGGCTCAGGGTGTCTACAACACTCAGATTAACCGATGGGATACCACAGCGTGCGACGGTGGAATGCGCTGGCAAATCTGGCCCTACGAATCCGGTTACACGATGAAGAATGCGATCTCCAACGGGGGTCTTTTCCAACTTGCTGCTCGACTTGCTCGGTACACCAATGACGCCTCATATGCTACGTGGGCCAAGAAGATCTGGAACTGGTCTTTGAGCTCGCCGCTACTCAGCAACTCGACTTGGAACGTTGCCGACTCTACGAATATGGATGACGACTGTTCCACTCAAGGTGACACTCAGTGGTCGTATAACTATGGCACTTATATGATGGGTGCTGCCTACATGTACAACTATGTAAGACCATCTGGGTCCCTATTATCAGTCTTCGCACGATACTGGATTTATCTTGGAAGACGTCTTTACTGACTGACCAACTACAGACAAACGGAAGTTCCGAATGGCTTTCTGCCGTCAACGGACTGATGAACAAAACCTTCGATCACTTCTTCCCCACTAGTAATGGCGGCATCTTCGAGGAAGTCGTCTGCGAGCCCTCGGAAAGCTGCAACGACAATGAAATTCTCTTCAAGGGCCTCGTCTCCTCGTGGCTTTCATTTACCGCTCTCCTCGTCCCATCAACATACAGCACAATTCTACCCTATCTCCAAACCTCAGCCAAGGCTGCAGCATTGTCTTGCACAGGCCACAACAACAACACCTGCGGAGTACGATGGTACAAATCAGAATACGACGGATGGATCGGCATGGAAGAGCAAATCAGTGCCACCAATATTTTCGTCGCAAACATGATTCAGTTCAACACCAGCGGCCCGGTTACCGCTACGACGGGTGGAAATAGTACTAGCAACCCGACGCAGGGTGAGAACGATACGAGTTCGTCGACTACTCAGCAGAGCAAGATTACGACGGGAGACCGCGCCGGTGCTGGTATTTTGACGGTCGTGTTTGTTGTTGGCTGGGTCGGTTTGATGGGCTTTACTGTATTTGGAGGTTGAGCATTTTCTTGTTGCATTGGGTTTCTGGAGTTGGATTGGCTACATTATTGCGTTCGGACTTTTTATACCTCTCTGGACTGTGGTCTGAATATAGAATTTTGCCTACGGGCTGACTTTCAACCCATTTACTTTGTCCCTGACTCTACCAAGTCTGGTAATAGATCGAACTAACATCTCTGTTTTGAGTTCCTTGTGACTTTATACAAATTATACAAAATTACCCGAGCGTAACAATTGCTGGCAAGGTACACAATATCATGCGGTCTTTCTACCCTATTGAGAAGCACCGTAAACATACAAGTCTCCTTGAGAGATAACTGGATATCGAGCCCCTGATGGCTTGACCATACCAATGAGAGTATAGTCCAGCAGATGTGAACGATATCTTCGGGTAGGAGTTGCAGAACAGGGTCAGGAGGTCACTTCAAACCTAGACCTTCAGTCCAGACACAAGCTTGTCACCCAACTCCTTGATGCTATCCTCGAAAGCGTTGCGGTCCCCAGCCTTCCAGTTTGCGCTACTGCCCGGAACAGCATCCTGACCAATGAACCCTATCATCGGGTCCATGTCCATTGTTCCCATTAAGCCCTTCGTTGGGGAAGCACATCTGAGCAAGCGAGATGGAGGCTTCTCCGGTCGAGTCGTATCCATTGGTGTCGCCCCAGATACCGTACAGCTGAACTTTGTCAGTAAGTGATCTCTGGTCAAGGGTTGAAGTCATTGGCAATACTTACCACCTGGTTGTTACAAACAACAGCCATAACACTCAATGGCGCCATGCCATACTTTTGAGGGTCAAAGTTGGAGTTTCCAAAGACAATGTAGGGATGCACGTTTGCATCCAAGTCTTGAATACCATACTGGCTCAGCTGATCCTTGAAAGCAGTTTCACCTTGACCACTCGGGTCAGAGCCACAATCGCCACCTGTGTTGTTCAGTCCATCGCAGTCTATATCCATGTTGTCGTATTGACCACCATTTCCAGAGCTGTGAAGGTAGATGGCACCCTCAATGTCACTACAATACGCAAAGGTCTTGGCGCCATCGATTCCATCAGTGAATCCCCCTGCGAGCTTGTTGTTGCATTTTCCGGACTATGTTTGTTAGAGGGGATGATAAGTTGTTTCGTGGATGATATGTCTCGTACCTTGTGGTTGTTGTAAATCTGCTGCAGGTTATCAGGCAAATCGTAGGCCGACACCAGACCAGCTGATAGGACCGACACAATAGCTAGGAAATGCATCGAGACAGATATTTCAAGAGTTCCCCGTTTGTAACTGAGAATGAAGAAATTTTTAATGCACATCACGCTCCGGTTAGGTCGCCATTTATATTTCCCCAACGTCGCACCGCTATCCCAAGTATAACTTGTGGATACTGTATGGAAACTAGAGTCAGATTTATTAACCGGGAAGTAATCTGCATGGCATTGGAAACCTCAGTTCCAGGTCTTTGTGATGGATTGGCCAGTTGTAAAGCTCATTAAGCCGAGGTGATGATCATGACCCACTTCCTGTTTGAGTTGCCCTGCAAAGGGACCCAAATATACTACGGTAGGACTCTTAACTGCAAGATCAGTCATCCGGTCCATAAGCTTAAAAATGGCCAATGACGGGGTTAATCATTCCCGTCCCAGGGACCAGTTTCCCAAAAGGGAAAATGGCTTAGTGTGAAACACAATGCCGACCTCGATCTTATTCCTGCTCCAAGAACGATCATGAATTCCTCCTTTGGTCTAACATATTCAGCAAACCAGCTGCAGAGGAAGCTCCCACTTTTTATGTATAACGCGTTGATGATCGGCCGGGTGCTGTGGATATTTCCATGTGGAGTACTGTAAGCAATGAGGCGGGGATAACTTCGTCGAAACAGTCCGCTTCGAGAGTGTCGATCTTTACCAATTAAGTCTATCTCTATGTAACCATAATCCAGGATATACAGGTAAGTAGTGCTTTAAATTAGCGTCGTTTCTGTAATACTGCCTCCTCCCTATTACTTTAGCGGTGCTACCTAGCTGAGACCTCACCATCCAGTTCTTTAGACTGGAACCCACCACAACCACAGCGTCAGCCAATTCCCAATTCCCAGACACTTTTTTCCACTACTAAAGACCTTTGAACTGGAAACTGTGATCTCATGGCAAGAAAGCGAGAGTGTTTCGATAGGTCTTGGAAGAAAAAGGATGTTCGTCCCTTTCCGTTCGTACCAGCCAATCTACATAAACAATCCAAAGAGGTATAGAATTCGACTGTAATAATCAATTCAATCCAACTCTTAAATCCGAATTATATGAAATCAACATCAGGCTCATCCATCACATGTCTCAACTGCTCGATATCAAATAGCTGAGTGTTTTTTCCACCTGGGATATCCAATATTGCCTCTAAAACAACATTCTTGATCCTCTCTAAGATATGTGCAGGAATATCGCAGTCGGTTCCGTTCCTTCCACACCATCGATTGAAAATCAGCAAAGGTAGCAGAAACGCTGGGGCACAGAATGAGTTCTTGCAACAAAATAGAGCAAGAATCGGGTTATAATGAGGGGAGAGGATATTCAACACTTTGACGGATGCAAAGAGATCAGAGTAGCGACGGCCTTGCTCTCTGTATGTAATTCCAAGATTTTGCAACATTTGCGGAGGGGAGAAACTGATAGCGGCGAACTTAGAATCATCATCTGTGCATTGTGGAAAGAAATATTTCATCCGCGCTACAAGTGGCACGAGTGGGAAGTCAGGAAACTCCACAAAATCCAGGTATGGAAATAAACTCAAGATCTGCCGAACCATGTGAGCATTATAGTACCAAAGAGCGAGTGTTTCGTTGAAAAAGAAAGTCTTCAACGCTCCTATTGCTGCTTCTTCTAATTGCTCACTATCGCCGGAATCCTTGCTACCACCGTTTGGACGTTTCCCGACACCATCGACGATCTTGAGGCCGGCATCAATGCATTCATCGGCGAAGGTGCTCACAAACTCATGTCCAAATCTCCCATATCCCATACTCTCGACCCTTCCTCTCATCACATCCATTACTTCATCGCCATCCCAGGTGATAGCGCAGACAAACTCTAAGGAGCCGGGCGAATTTAAGAGCCTCTGATGTAGTGTGTAGAGTTCACGAAGCCAGTAAGGATGGCAGAGATTCACCATACAATCTCTTAGTAACGGAAGGTCTTTATTTCTCCCTCGAGCAAAAGGCGGGGAAGTATTGGAACCAATCCGGCTCTGGTTGACTTTCCCCGAAAGAGTAGAAATCGAGTGACACGAGCCAAAGAGCTGCAGACTCCACGAACTCTCTTACTTCTGCCAACAATGTGGTGGAAAGATAGGACGCGACAGGAGAGGCGTGAATGGATGAACAAATTGCCCTCGGGATGATAAAGGCCATTGGCCAAAATGAGCTGGATAATCAACCGCAGAACATCGACTGGGAACGATAGAAGTAGGTCTGATGATCGTTTGGTGGCCTGTGGAAAGTAGTTCATTTTCCGGTATGGGGTAGGAAGATTCGAAATCGTCAGGTAATCGCGAAATCATAACGATAGAGTTGGATACTCGTTTACAAGCACTGCTGGCGGTGTTTTCTCAATTACGCCTCAGTGCGTGTTCACTCAGTCAAAAATCTCGAGGGGAGATTAAAGATTGGATGGTTCACTCTCGTATTAATAATGCTAAACTTCTGCTGCCTAGACCCCCTTGTTGCCAAATGTCAGTTGCTAATTTGCCAAGTCTGAGATTCTTTAACACAAGCAAATTCTAGTTGGCTAACGCCCAAGAGTCGATTTCTTAAATCTTCACGTTATATGCTTTGTGAAGGAAATCTCCCGCGGCCTCGCCCCCTATTGCAACCGCGCCTCTTTTATCTAATTGGCCAAAATGTGGTTGGAAAAGGTCTCCACAGGGCGATAAGCGGGGACTCTCAGCCTCGAGGAGAATCCCAGGGGTAACAACCCAATTTTGAGCATCATTAGTAGCACCGTGAACGAAGAACTCCGTGTAATTTTGCAGTTTACCTTCAATTGAGATGTTTATTCTCAAGGTTGAAGCCGGGCAACCTTACCTTAAAGGAGAAGGTGTGGCGAAATCCAATGTGCGAATGGGATATATATAGTTGCGGAATCAAAACAATGAGAAAGCCCAGTGCAACGAAACGTTCTGGAATATACACCACCTAATACCTACGCGATATACTGATGCCCACGGGCGTGGCGAAGGCATAGGCCAACCGAATAAGAGGTCTCAAAAAAATTTAAAAAGGAAAAAAATTAACGAAAAAGCGAGATTCAATTCATCGACTTCTACGCCTAAGCCCCATCGACAAGACAATGTCGACAGTTAATGGTTGACGGGCATGAGATAAGCTGAGCACCTAAGAAAGTAATTCACGGATGGCATTAAATATTTATCAAATCAAGAGCGTCACTTTGTTCCCAAGGGTGTTCCTTCTCCACTGACAAGATCAACGCTTCATGGGCTGGGCTTCGCGTTGTGATGTTGAACTTCCAGGGAACCGGATGACTGATAACACCAGCTTGGAATTCCGGCTTGACTTCAACTTCCTTGCCCCCCTCAACCATTTTGGTAATATTGAAGACTGTAAGTGACCGAGCAACACTGAGATAAACGGTGATGTCAGCAAGAATGCGACCGGGGCAAATGCGACGCCCGAATCCGAAAACAATCGCGTGAGGATCCATCTCGGGTTCTAGCCCATTGATGCCTAGGAATCGCTCTGGTTTGAATGTCATTGGGTCGTGGTACACCTCAGGATCATGGGTCAAGGCCCTATAGTGCAATTAATAGTCTGGCTGGACCTTGATTTCAGTTTCGAACTCACCAGATGTTGGGCATAATCAATGACCCCTTCGGAATATAGAAGCCTTCCCACCTATCATCCTCGACAGACATATGTGGGATTCCCATTGGTGCCACGGGATGCCAACGAAGGACTTCTTTCACGATAGCATCGATGTACGGAAGACGACTCCGATCGGTGACTGTGGGCAGTCGACCAGGTCCCAACACTCGATCAATCTCCTCTTGAGCCTTTCGTTGCACTTCGGGGAATAAGGTCATTGCCAGGAAAAACGTTTCAATTGAAGAAACGGTCTGGAAGTTTGTTAGTTGGCATGTGATATTTTGTACAGGACAACGACATACAGTATCGGCACCACCAGTGTAAAGAGACCCGGCTGTCCATTTGGCTACGAGCTCTTCCTCGGATCCAGCCTGTGGATACCCTGATGCCTGAAATAAGTTTGCAAGGTAAGATGGCTGGAACTGGCCACTATCCATACGTTGTCGAACAAACGCATATGGTTTGTTAACAACGTCCTGGAGGTTTTTCTTCCACTGCTGCGCAGTCCGCTTAAAGCCAGCGCCTGGGAGCCAAGCAGGGACATATTTCACTGCGATAGTTAGCCTCTATATCAGACTACTCCTTTTGGAGATGCTTCACATATTGGGATCATATCGACTAGCCATGCGCCCGGAGTTCCAGCTATGGAAAAGTGCTCGAGGGCGAGATTCGCCATGCGGACCAGTGGGTCGCGTTTATGCGGCTCGATGTTATAGCCATATGCAATCTTTAGGATTACCGCCCCGGCTTCCCTGAATAGAATGGAATATTACTCCCAATGCTCGCCACAAAGGCTGTAGATGGAATGACTTACGTCTGGACATGCTGCGCAAGCTTTGAAGGATCTCGAAGGACACGGAGCAAGAAGCGATGGACTTCAATCTCTTGCAATGAGTTGTACTGCGCGACTGCTGTTTCTGAGCCGAGATATGGTTGCATCGCTTTACGGTAAGCGCGGAATCGGTCAGAGTAGCTTTGCATCGCCAAAATATGCTCCCAACCCACCCTGATTCAATAGGTGTAAGTGAAATGGAGAGTTTTGCCCTGAGATTGAAAACTGACATTTGGGATGCAAAAACCAGATTCGGACGTGACGAATGTATCGCGGAGCGTTTGCTTAATAGTTCCATTGCGATTTCATTATCATTGATGATGACAATTGTTTGTCCTAACACAGTGACAGAGCTGATAGGCCCTAAGTGAATCGCATATGTGAATTTTATTGAACCTGTACAGTATCCGAGTGTTGTATCTCATTAGGGCCATACCATAGAGCTCTTTGTGCTTCAGCCAGTGTGCCCAATCCTGCACGCCTGGTGGTGGCAGGTCTGAGATGTTACCCACAATTGGCTTCCCTACGGGTCCCGGTGGTAATGGTCCTGGAGTCTTTTTGCGAGATAATACAGCCGTGATCATGTAGATCAACGCAGCTCCTAAGATCACACTCGCCACCGTGAAGAAAGACATGGCGGCTGCAGATGAGGCGACCGGGTGGGCCAAGTAGAACGAGGAGAAAGCGAATGGTAGGTAAAGCTTTGGTTAAAGAAACACTTTTATAATATCTGTCTCTACCTGTCATTGGCTATTAAAGAAAGCTTGCACTAGACGGGGATTCCCCTCGCGAAATATTCCAATCTCCACTTTCCACGTCCGCCATTCTCGCCCCCCACCCCGCCCTCACCTGGGTCTTTTTGTTATGCAACCAGGTCCTGGGTTAGAATGGACATGGATTACACTGGACTCTTTAAATGTTGGGAATAATAGATAGCTAAAGACTAGATATGTAGCTGAAGCTTCTGTGACCGTCTAGGGGCCAGCCAACAGTGCCGCACGTGTAATTGCCAGCCTCCAACCCGTTAACTAATCCCTTCGTCTGCTTTAGTTGAAGCAGACGGAAATTCCACCCTCGGGTACAGCCGTCTTCGCTCTGCCACGGTGGGTCTGCGCACATACCTGTTAGGATCCTTTTGACAGGAGCAAATTGGGGCCAAAACAAAATGGTCCATTCTACTTGAGGTAACCCGAGAACACAGGGCGATTGTTATGATCTCTTTGGCCCCAAGCTAATGAAACTGAGTGCTTTTTCCGGGCATTTCGTGATGTGCCCCAGTTCGCGCCCGTAACTGTGCGCCGCCCGTTTTGTGACTTGTCAAAAAATTGACAGATTACACAGAACTAATACTTCATCTTAGGCTCTTAGCGTGACGGGCCGGTCGGTCTGCACTTGAAATCTTCCAAGAGCGAGCGGTACGCGCGCCCCGAATAATTACCACTGAAGAAAATCCAAAAAAAAGAGTCGTCATTCGCTTCCCGCGTCCTTCGTACTCCCACCACCACACGCTGATAACATGAGGTAGAAGAAGCATCGTGGCGTGCTTGATGGAGCTAGGTTCGCTTGCGCGCTCAATTTGCTTTGAGAAATTATACATGCTTTTCTCAACCAGGGCAGGGATCGCGAAGACAGGCGTGTGGGTAGCACTAACGGGCCTCGAAATTCAAAAGTACTGCGGAGTTAATTGACCAAAGTACTGCAATGCAACGATGCAGTAACGGCCAGGGGTCCTTTATGGCCTAATAAGCTCAAATAATGCCCGCCTTGCAGCGGATAACCCGAGAAAGATTATTCCTTTTCATATTCCTTCAGGAGACCCTGTATACTGTGCAACGATTGAGTTGCTTCGAATGAGGACTGTGCAAAAGCGACGGGCTCGCATAGTATAAGCCTGGGGAACAATTGGCTATTTGGGTCTGAATTGCTTGTTAAGCTCAGGCCCAGGATGTCAACCTCAACGTTGGCAGACGGACCCTTCCGGAGTCTGTCATCCTGTGCAGTATGTACGCTGGCGTTTTCAAAGACCAAAATTTCAACATCGAATTGACTCCCCCATGTCTTCATTATAGTTGGATTGTTTCTCTACTGCCTTGAACCAGTCGGCATGCGTCGCCTCGAATTTGACGTGTATTTGCATGGACACTTCACTTATCACACAGGCGACGGGATGCACTACCTTAGAGTGCGGCGTAAAGGCAGGCCTCAGTAAGTAGAGTAAGAATCCGCTTATCTCGAGATTAGGGATCTGATAGTTCTCAGCCGCAACGAACCTCACAATGTCAACCTGTCACGTACCGGAAACCAGCCAAGCTCGGATCTCGCCTATCATAGCTGGAGTTCTCGGCATGGTAGCTTTAATAATGGTCGCACTGCGCCTGGTACAACGTTCTATCTTCAACCGGCAATTCGGATATGACGATAGTCTTATTGTCGCGGCCTTGGTTTGCGCAGCGCCCTTGAACTGCTTGATGTTCCCAAGTAAGGATTAAATTACCATTGTCTCAAGACCTGTTGATGCTGACATAATACAGTGCAAGGGCTCGGTCTCGGAACAAATATCTGGACCATTCCTTTTCACCAGATCACAAAACAGCTGGAGGTGAATTCGCCCTTGCCCTTGACAATCGATTTTTTCTCCATTGACTTATTCTTACTGTAGCTGCTTTACGTCGCTGAGATCTGTTATATGTCTGCTGAAGCATTCACACAGCTTTCCTTCCTCGCGTTTTACCTTCGCATCTTTCCATCCGAAAATTTTCATCGTATCACATACTTCTTGATGGGCCTGTCAATGTGCTTTGGAATTTCTAACACATTTGTAATGATATTTCAGTGCACCCCCGTGCCCTACTTTTGGTCTGGGTGGACAGGTGAATACAAGGGCAGCTGTATTGACATTAACACCTTTTCTTGGTACAAGGCAGCAATGCAGATTGCCATGGATGTCTCAATAATTAGTCTGCCAATCTGGCCGCTGATTCAGGTATCTCTCAATATAAAGAGAAAGTTACAGATCCTCCTGATGTTCTGCACAGGCTTCCTGTACGTCTTGTCTATTCAGTTTGTACAGTTTCATACTAATCGATTCCCAGAATTACAGTTGTGAGTTGCTTGCGATTGCAATCGCTTGTCAAATTCTCAAAGTCCTCTAATGTGACATGTATGTTACCCTATTTCTCAGCCGAAAAGTGGTCCCCTCTGAAGATTTACTATAGATGATAATACACCGGCGATCTATTGGAGCGTGGTGGAGTGCGACGTTGCAATCATATGCGCATGTATGCCTGCTTTACCGTCGCTCCTCAAGAATATTTTTCCATCAATGTTCGGGGAGCCCTCGAAAAAATACTATAGCAACATATCGCCCCCTCAACAATTTCCCAGTTCAGACGTCTCGGTTCCGCTAGACCGGATCAAAGTCGATGCGTCGTGGCAGGTTACCAGCTCACAAACAAAGCTTGTCCAAGAGTTGGAGACTCGGCAAAAGCCCACGTCTTGACAGCTTGAACTCAGAACAGATTTTTGTTCAATTCAATTGCTACAGCAATCACCATAGCTCTATCTTACACACTATACAGAATGCCACAGTTCGCAACGGCTATGTCTTCTGACGGCAGCAGGTGAAGATTAACACGCTGTGAGGCCCGTGAATCGTTTTGCCTATAGTAGTAGTTTACTGCCATTCGAAACCCAGATCTGGAATCTATAATAGTTTCATGGTAGCTGATGATGATGATGCAAGGTCGAAGCCGCCTAGAACCCTGGTCATACTCACGCCGTCGCGTCCAGAAATAGAGTTGCTATTTTGCTCATTGGCTCGTTATTAGTATGCCTATATGATAATATATTCAAGCACAAGATATTCGGGTTTCGGAATCGTTAATATCGTTCATTAGTACTGTATCCGTGGAGGAGATGTTCGGATTTCGGAATTACCAGATGAATAAACCAAATTGAGCTAGAGCCACTGTGGGGATTATTATTAGGCCAAGCTCGAAATACGGACCTCACGGATAATCTCCGTCTGGTCCTCCGCATTCGCTGTGTCTTGAACTACTCCGTACAATTTTGCACAACTAGTTAGAATTGAGTAAAGTCCGTGCCCATGGCTCACTAACTCCGATCTTTATTTCCGTCTCCCAGCCGTGCCTGTCGTTTTTGTACAGATAATCGTAAACACTTAGCTCCATGGGTGCTCAAGTATCATATAATTGACATCAATGGCAATTTTGATTTAGAGAGTAGCAGACAATTCATTCCTGGTTCAGAAACTCAGTATAAATTTACGGGCAATATGGGAGCGGTCAAATCCTTGAGTGGAAACAAGAACTTCAGCAACTACACCATACCCTCCAAGTCATTTCAAACTTGTCTTCGATCAAAGTCTAACCACGGATCAGGTATGACGATACAATTACCCTCGTAGTGGCACGATTGGGGATCCATATGTGGTGGACTGGCTCCCCGATGACCCCAAAAATGGCTTCAAGATGTCGCCCGGATGGAAATGGGTCAGCGTTATGTTTTGTGCGCTCAACACGCTAGGTTGCTTTTTAGCCTCGACCATCTTCGCCGGTGCAATTTTTCAGATTAAAGAGCGCTTCAATGTGTCAGAAGAAGTCTCTATCCTGACAGTATGCCTGTTCGTGCTCGGCTTTGCCGTTGGTTCCGTCATCTGGGGTCCACTGTGTGAACTCTATGGCCGTCAAACTATTTGGCTCAGTACTCTTGGTGCCTCGATATTGTTTGAAGGCACATCCATTGCCTGCAGTGAAAAAGGTATGCCTGCACTGCTAGTTTTCCGCTTCCTAGTGGGTCTTTCAGCTCCTCCGCTATTTCTAACTAACCCGCCGTTGTCTCGGATATCTTTCTGCCCGCAAAGCGAGGACTGGCCATAAGGGTATATTCCATGTTCTCTTTTCTCTTCCTTGCTGCTGGCGCAGGCTGGCGGTGGGGTGGATGTCCTATGTACGATCTTTTCTCTATGATGTTTGTCTTCGCTCTATTTCTAGTGCCAGAGACATACGGACCTTACATCCTGCGACGCCGGGCTGCCAAGTCGAGCAAAGAGACAGGCAAGGCATACATCAGCAAGCTCGACGCCGGTATCCTACCCAAGACTCTCGGCTTTACGCTGAGCACCTCCATCGTGCGTCCCATCGTCATGGCGGTTTTTGAGCTAATATCTACAGCTATGGCCCTGTATACAGTCATCGTCTACGGCATTCTCTACCTTATTTTTGCCGCTTTCCTTATAGCCTTTATTGACCCGCGTCACTGGGGCCAAGGGGTATCTGGTTTGGCCTATATCGTTATCATGATCGGCCAGATAGTGAGGGTCCCATTTTACGTGGTGCTCGAGCTGAAATACCGCAAGACAACCGCCCGTCCCGGAATCGTCTCAACCCCCAAAATGCGCCTGGAGCCGGCTTTATATGGGGCCATTTCCCTCCCCATTAGTCTTTCCCGGTTTGCTTGTACATCTTACCCGAGCATCCACTGGGCGATAGGCATAGTAGGGACCATTTTGTTCGGACTGGGCAACGTGCTCGTCTTCATCACCATGACCAACTATATTATAGATACATACAGTCTCTTCGCCGCCACAGCAGCGCTACCAACTCCATAGTTTGTGCCTTATTTGGATTTGCATTGTAAGCCTCTCTTCCCTTCTCATCTTGCCTTTCCTTATCGCGCATACGACTGAACCGCAATTCGCCCTCGAAGTCCTCTTTTCACAACTTATATGTAAGAATCTCGGCACGCAATGGGCCTCCTCCATCCCTGCTTTCTTGCCACTATCCTTACCCCTTTGCCAGGTATCTTTCTCAAATTTGGCGCCGTCCTGCGCGCTCGCTCGAAGTTCGCAAACGAGGCCAACGCGCAATTGGCTAAGCTGCAGCAGACACGTCGGGAGGTCCAGGAAAGGTTTGAAAACAAACAAGTCACAGGGATGGACGCCAAGAATCCCTCATTTCTTACCTCTCAAGAGTCAGTGACCAGTGATGACAAAGACAAGAACTTGAACCATGGCTTATAACAGCGGGGCAGATTCCACTCTGAACGGGGATCTACTTAGATTTTGAATTCCCTGCGGTATACGCAGTATTCATAGAGTGCCTTGACTTGTGAGAGCTATGTATAGAAATTGGCGAGACTCTGTATATCAGGTCATTCTTGCTGTCAATAGACGCTCCGTGTTTTACAGAGAACAATTTAACGGTAAGGAGATTGGTCTTCAAGGGGCTGGACATTACAGACTCGGTTTGCAGGAAATTTAGGCGTGAATTGCTGTGGTGAATGCCAGCATGGCCGTGCTTACGATTTTCCTTTGTCTCTTCATCTTGACAACTACCTCGTGAGGTGATAGAGTCTAATCAATAGCGATAAGTTTGGTACATTACAAAAGAGAACTCCCTGCTTTGTTGTCTGATTACCTGATCACCTGCGGACCCATAACAAACCATTATATTCCATCCCTCCAAATCCCCTCTGAAGTCTAATCTTCCATCTGATTGCACACCCGAACATGGCCGATGGAACAATTCAATGTGACACCGCAGACAGATAAACAGTCTGAATATCAACAGAAATGACCAAACGAGGCGTCTATTCAGCTACCCGAGAAGAATCTCCTTTGAGTGCAGAAGCGACCTCGGTTTCTCGGCTCGGACGACTGTCGCTGAACGCAATGCTTAACTTGCGGTAGTCCCACTTGCTAGCGAAGAACAAGACGGCGAAGCTGAGCACCGGAACCATAAGGACGTCTAGCACTCCAAAGAAGATCGCGGTTCCAGTCACCCCGATCTTGTTTCCGCCATCAGTCAAGCCCCAGGCAATGGGGTAAATTATCCACAGGAGGTTCGTCCACCCGGATAGTATAATGTAATCCCTGTCCACACCAAGGAGCTGCGCAGCTTCGCGGCTCTCATTGATGGTGCTCATGGCGAGGATGAGCCAGGCAAAGGTGCCGAAAGCGAAGAATCCCCATTTGTAAGATGTGGTGACATAGGCGCCCGCGAGATAGCTAACAACCCAGTACAGGGATAAGGCGATGTTGCAGATAATCGTGGTCCAAGAGACCCCCGAGATCAGGCCCAATCCCAGAGCAAGCGACGGGAATGCGACTAGCCAGTGCACATATTTGACCCAAAAGACTTGGCGGATAATGCCATTACCGAGATTGTCGACTTGTGGAACAGCACTCCAGCCCAGATTCGAAGCTTGAGCAAAGTAGGTGACGGCGCCAACCATGAGGACGAATGTGAACAGGTAGTGGAAGACCCGCTCGCTTTCCTTTGCGGCGAAAGACATGACAAGACAACCAATCTGCCAGAAAATGTTAGCCATGGTTGGTTATAGAACTGAAGCAAAGAGTGCTCACAAGAGCTAGTGAGAAAACAGCCGTCACTGCCCAGAGCCAGTCAGAACCATGCACCGCCAGGGCCTCGTCGACCCCCATAACGGGGTTGACTTTCAGGGCATCGTTTCCTCGAGCTAGAACATCCATTGTCAATGGCGGAGGATTTTGGTTGAGCGAAATGGATTATTGTGCGGCGTATTGACAGCACACCTCGCGATATATTGACCCAGGGGGCTGATGGAGTTCGACAGGAACGAGAAGGGTACACGGGTCTTATAATGAGTGTTTGGCCAATTCAGTCCCTGCTCCGGAGATAAGATGAACGGCCGGCTCCATAATTGAATTGATGCATCGTCCCCCTAGAACGGGCAACGCTGACACCCATCTTCCAGCAGACGCAGTAATAGAAAACTTCGCTCTGTTGCCCTGTACCAACAAGACGGCAGTGCGTGCCGGGCCGTGGAGCTCGGAACAAAGTAAATCAACTTAGATCTTCATGGCCAAGATTCAATTCTTCCCATTAAGGGTCAACTAGTGCTAGAGCTTGATTTCAAATCCACTGCGGGAGCCCAAGCTTGCGCCATGGAGGATGCACGGCGTAGATCCCGAGACAAAGAAGGCCAAAAGCCAAAAAAAAGCAATCAAAGATCAAACATTACGCCTCAAGAACTGGCTCGGTACATTATTTGTTGCCGGGTTGGAGCCGCCGGAGGGGCCATTTGCGAGCGGAATGGTACCTTTTTCCGACTATTTTTCCATCTATTACTCCGAGCCGAGTGTCGGGAATGCTGCCTACACCCATGACTCGTCTAGACCATGGACTATTTCTCGACAGTCGCGTATCTAACACCGCGATAAAAAGCACGGGAAAGGGTTTATCATTAACGTAAGTTGTGTCTTAGGCTTCTCGGTCCTTACCTGAGAGAGCTCATCTGACCAATGAGAAATATGGAAGAAGTTCCCCTTGCATTTTTACCGTGTACTGATTTGAAAGTGCACATTGGTAAGGGCCAGAGATGTGGTGCTCGAATATGTTCCGAATTGTTTAGTGGAAATTCAGAGAGGATCAAAAACTGTAGAGTACAAGACCTGTTCGTGGAGCACGGTTGTATAAACATTGCAATTATAAAGCCCCCGCTGCAAAGATCACGGTATTTGATAAAGCTTTCTATGTGCAGGGTACTCCGTACATTTTTGAAAATGCCAGATAGAAAGCAAGGAGTCTTAATGTCACCACAACCATAAATTATGCCCCAACCTTATTTGCCAACAATTTCTGGCAGGAGAGAGTGGGTATAATTCCAAAGAATTCCAGACGCTTGAGAGATAAAGGCGGCACCAGTATACCAAGTATTACGCTCACCTTGCAAACCGTTGAGATTGTTGTAGAACCCATTCTCCAGGTTCTCTTTCGACGGCTCCAGCTTGAACGGAGTGTGGCTTCGGAACTCGACAAATTCAGGAGACGGGCCAGGGGACTCGTTAGATAAAATCGCCTGTTGGAGTCTCTTGATCACCTTGAGCACGTCTTCCTGGACCTCATCCTGGGTCAGTGGGGTTGGACTCCCATACCAAACATACCAAAGCCCCAAGATTCTCGATTCGGTGACTTGGTAAGGGGCTGGCAGCTCTGGAATATTGAAGGTAGCCGAGCTGGAATTCGCGTTCATAAATCGATACCCAGATGGGAGACCGGTATTGTTTACCAGCATAGTATAGTAACTACTATATGTCCACTGGGAGAAGATTGATTTTTCCATGTCGTTGAGATCGAATGAGCGCATGTTTTCCAGAAGTGGCGGAATGCTGATCAGCAGTTTGGACACCCTGATAAGCTTGTCTCCATTAGGCGTCTTGGCGATCAGAAGCACCCCTGGCACATTGGGAGGGCGCTGCGCCGCAACAATCGTGGAGGAAAGAAGCACGTTGGAAGGTCCTAGCTTTTCCAATGCCATTTCGAAGATCAGCTTGTTGTTGTGGTTTGGGGGCACCACGTCGTGACCGGTCAAGCCAGAGAGCAGTGTCGAGTCAAACATTTTGAAGACATTGATGGTCAACTGTTGCAAAAAGTTGGTAAGGCCTTGGCTATAGAAATAGATGGTGTATGCCATGTTAACCAAATTGTATTTGGTAACAAAGTTCTGAAATGGCAAGACCAGATCCTCTGGAAGAGGATTTGGAAGATCCCAACTGTTGGCAAGATATGGATAATTGTCGAGCTGTTGGGCATATGCAGTGAAGTTGTTTGCTATTTGCACTGTCACTGGCGCGCCCGTGGAAAAGTCATAGAACACATTGGTCAGGGGAGCGATAGAATAAGCTTCGCCAGAAATGCCGAGTAGTTCGAAGTAATCCCATGTGGTCGTGCTATTCCAGAAGGCCTGCACCCCATAGTCGACGGTGACACCAGTGGTGGGATCGGTATATGTGTTGATATGGCCACCAAGAAGAGCTTCCTTCTCGACGAGAATCACACTCTGCCCCATGGCATGCAGATTGACGGCCCCATACGTTCCTGATGAGCCTCCTCCAATCACGGCGATATCCCGAACAATGACATCTCGAGCATCATACTGTGTAGCATCAAAGCTATAAACAACGTTGGAGGCAACAACAGTGACGCCTGAGAAGGCCAAGAATAGTGATGGAATTATTCCCATTGTATCCCTGGAAATTAGAAGATTGGCAAGACAACAGGTTGTCTTTCTCCTATCCCGTTGACTACAAGGCTTTATAGTCCACACCTACTGTGGTCCCGGAAGCGACGGAAGAATGCCTTGATTGCGGGGATTTGATTCGGAGTATCTATCGCTGGATACGAGATCTTCTTCGCTTGTGTGCCGCTCCTAGAAGCTAAAAGCGCACTAAACGCTTGGAGTATACCCGAGTGCCATCTCGGCGACGGTGTTTCCAAGGAGACTATGGTGGTTGGCTTTAACTCAGAAGTGCGGTCCCTTTTCATTCTATTGTCATACGGGCTCCTGATACGGTACGGGTGACAATCAATATGAAATGAGATTGGAAAATGGCTTCTCATTGGTGGCTCGATATCAACTGATTGAACGAAAAGCATTCAGTTTTGATGCGTCATAAAGATCCGTTAGTTAATTTGGATCTGAGAGAAAGCTAAAATTAGAAGCCTGCAATAGCGTTATAAACGGTCTAGATATTTTCTATCGTTTTAAGCAGTAATACTTTCTTGGGCTTATTATACAGGAAGCTTTGTGTCGACGAAATGGTCTTCCTTGATCATATCTGCTCCCTTCTCTGCTGCAGCATAGACGGTCGGCATGATGGCAGCACTGATTTGCATCGGAAGTACGCTCGCGTCAACAATCCGTAGCCCTTTGACGCCCTTAACCCGGAGCCGTTCATCCACGACATGGCCCATGGAGCATGTCCCCATCGCGTGGTGATAACTCACAATCCGATCGCGGACGAATTGCCGTGCCACAATCTCATCATCGAGATCAACATCTGATGGTGGATCCACCCGCTTGCCCACTTTCCCCTTGAGTGGTGCCGACTTGAACACGCGATCCGCGAAACGGACGCCAGCTGCCAGAACGTGTGCGTCCACTGGGTGAGAGTGGAATCCAGGGTCAACACTCGGTGCTTCCAGCGCATCTGAAGATCGCACGTGGACGCTGCCACGAGAAAGAGGGTACATATTGCTGACAATGAGGGCGTAGCATGGTGTATCTCCAGGAGGCCCCGACACCAACTTGGCACAGTTCTCAAAGCCCGTCTTAATGTTGAAGTTTGCAGGTGAGCCCACCAACTGAATATCGGCCGACGAAGCCAGGCGCATGCGGGCGGCAATGGCATTGTACTGCTTTTCCTGGAATTCAGCATCCTGGGAAGGCAAGACAGGTTCCATGGTGATCATGGCCAAAGTCTCATTCAACTCGGGAGCGTTGACCTGGGAGTTAAATGGTAGGAAGCCCATCAGACTAGCCGCTCCGGACATGGCACCGGTATGCTCCTCCTGATAGAGACGGAACTGTTCCTTGGCGAAATTTGGATCAAGGAATACCGAGTCCACGGAGGTTTGCCCGGGGCCTAACTCGTACACAACAGCGGACATGGTCTTCTCCTGGAGGTTGTTTCCCACATGAGGGTTGGCCAGGAGGCACGGAATTTGGGCTTCCTCCAACACGTCTGGATGTCCAATTCCGGATAACTCGAGAATCTGAGGGCTCTTGAAAGTCCCAGCACTGAGAATGACCTCTTTTTTGGCAATAATATTTTGTGTGATTCCGTCGTGTATCAGCTCGACGCCGCGAGCCAAGAGGGAGCCGCCGGCATCCTGCTCCATAATCACCCTAGCCGCGATGGCATCCATGATTACTTGCAGGTTAGGCCTGTCCATGATGGGAACCAGGTATCCATTTGCTGCATAACTTCGAACTGGCTTCGCCGTCCGGTCAATAGAGAGGAATGACCGGTAGAACCCCAGGTGTTCGCCCTTATTCGGTTCGTCGGGTCGTAGGAGGCCAGACTCTTGATCGAGCGCATGAAGAAGAGGCTCCTCAAATGGGACATGCCAGATCGGTAGAGACGTGTGAATCGGCCCATCGAGTCCATGAAGGCTCATATCTAGTGGGGAAACAGTGGCGTCGCGCTCTGCAATATTCTTGAGGTCTTTTTCAAGATGTTGGTGACGTTGGAAGTACGGCAAGAGCTCCTCAAATGACCAGCCTTCAAGTCCCAACTCCGTCGCCCAGTCATCGAGGTCCTGAGCACAGGGTCGCGTATAAGTCATGAAATTGATTCCGCTGCTGCCACCGAGCATTTTCCCCCGCGGGAGATGAAAGATTCGGTTTCCTGCAGCTTTCTGTATGTGCCATATAGTGGTTAGTCAGCTATCAACCTGCCACGAGAGATATATAGTTGAACAAAATCTCACTTGTGGTACACTTTGAAAGGCCCAATCGTATTCTGGATTATTCAACATCTTTCCGACACCCGTGGGCATATCCACATTTGGATCGCCTAATCGCGACGTCCCAGCTTCGACCACACATACTCGGACAGTGGGGTCTTCCGATAAACGCGCAGCGACAACGAGGCCAGACGTTCCTCCCCCAACAATGACGAAATCATATTCGTTTTTAGGAATTGTCATTATCGCAAGTTTGAAGTCCTCTTCGGCAAGATCATACAGATCCAAACTGGTAGACGATGAAGCCAACGGCCTAAAGCTTTCACCTTTTATCTGTGGAAAAGCCGTCTCTCTATTGACGATCAGGGCACTTGCCTGATATATTGACTGTCATACTGGGGGAACAAATGGGGCCGTCAGCAAGATAATTACTCCGGCGCTATGGACCGCAATGTCAAAGTATACATGATCGCCCGCACATCTTATTCCCTTATTTTATCGTCGTAGAACATCAGCCAACTGGATAGCCGGTAGGGAAATACAGGATATCTCACCATGCATCTATGTTCACATAGGCTAACATGTATTTGGTACCTAGAACTTGCTCATTCTGACCACCTGGGCAACCTTACCTACCTACCCTCCTGCATGACTCCGCTTATACTGATCGAAATGGCCCCGCAACAATAACTAGACCAGAAAGCTCTCAATGGGGAAATTAAAAATGATTACAAAAGAGTACATGGTTTCACAAACGGAATACGCCTGTGGTGCTATCGGGAATATCAGAGCCAGGAGTCCTAGAGTAGTACCTATGCTTGCGCTATTTAGTGTCCCACCCCGCTATAGCGGAACCCTAGTCCCCGGATGTCGGTTGTCGGTCACCGTTTACGCGTCTCACCCCGAGTTGCTGGCTACGTTCTGAGACGGCTCCTATGCTCATCAAACAAAGCTACACAGTCCCTTGACAAGTCGGAGAAACAGAAACTGTCTATACCTTGTCAAAGTGGAAAACTCCGAACCGACAAAGGAGCCACCACCCTGTACCCATTGAAACTTGTAAATAATATCTTCGAATGATGCAACAGGCGGAAGAGGTATATATACTTCTCCGGAGGCATCAACAAACCCCAAAAAATTACCAGATTTCCAAATTGACTTTCCAATCCACTATTTGCCCCTCAAACCATCAACATGCCTCTCCCTGCTACCGGAACTCCCGTGGGCCTTGAGATTCCCGTCAAGGACACCAAGCGCGGTATGCATCTTTCTACCACCTTTTGAAATTCCTTCAAACCTGTCTGACTAGCCCTACGAAACAACTAGCTTCTGAATTCTATAGCGCCGTCTTCAATTGGAAGTTCTCTGCTGAGAGCCACGTTGGTGCACCGGAGGAATACCTCCTTGTCTTCAAGGTCGACGGCGAGATGTTCCCCGGTGGTGGTATCATCAAGAAGGTTCCAGAGGCAGAGCTCGCCGTTTCTGGTGCTACGAAGATCTTTTTGTATGTCGACAACATCGAGAGTGCCATCGAGGTAAATGATCTTGTCCCCATCTACTTTTTATTTGGAATGAGCTAATATCAGGCACCCTAGAAAATTGAGGCCAATGGCGGGAAGGCGCTCGGTGAAAAGGAAGCCGAGGGCGACCAGGCTTTCTACCAGTACTTCCAGGACTCGGAGGGCAACGCTCAAGCCGTTTACACCTACAACAAATAGAATTATCTACAACGATCTTGGTGATTGCAATGAATCATATAGTTAAAACCAACATATGCATGATATGCTGGCAATTTACAATCTCACGTAAACATTCGCACTCGGTTGGGGCGCCTCGCAACCGACTAGTTAACTATTCCATGCCCGTAGAGTGAGTAATGTTGGGGTGGGGACACGGAGTTTCTTTACACCACACATTAATTCGGAGTATTGTTCGCTTCATTTGTCCACAGAAGTCGATACAGCTTGCCTTTACTCACTATACATAGAGAATCGTATGCGACCACTTAACATGATGCTTTTGTCAATTGTTAAAGGTCGTGAAATCAGCCCGCTAGAAACAATTCTCTGCTAAGCGAATAGATTGTCTTCATTCCACCTCATCTTTCCATCCCCATCACCACATTACTAAACAGCGAAAATGGCCGTGGCACAGAAAGCCGCTGATTTGTTAGCCTCATTCCCCGAGGTCTCCGTCTACCGATGGTCCTGCGACGACACCTCGCGCCGCTTCGCTGTAGAAAATCCAGCGACAGGAAAGACCATCACCACCATCCAAGCGGGCAACGTCGAAACCACCAACGCTGCCATCGAAGCGTCCCAAGCAGCGTTTGTCGGCTGGAAAGCACGCGCGCCGCAAGACCGGTGTGGCTTTCTCCTGCGCGCATCCGACGAGCTCCAGAAGAACGCACAGGAGCTGGCACTCCTGTTGTGTCTCGAGAATGGAAAGCCATTCAAAGATGCGATAATCGATGTATTCTTCCTGATTCAAGTATTCAAATATTTCGGGTCGATCGCCGATAAATTGCCATCGGAATTCTTTGATCAGGGCAATGTCTACTCAACCATCATCTACGAGCCACTAGGTGTATGCGCGGGTATCATCCCATTCAACTGGCCTCCCATTCACGTTGGTGGAAAACTGGCGCCTTGTTTGGCAGCGGGAAACACGATGATTCTGAAGCCTGGTGAACAAGCCCCTCTAACTGCCATTCGCATCGTGGAAATTCTACAGACTATCTTCCCTCCGGACGTGGTTCAAGTCGTCCCTGGGTTGGGACCAGAGGTACCCCAGGCACTCGTCAACCACAGACTGGTAAAGATGGTCTCCTTTACGGGGTCATCGCCCGTTGGAGCGAAAGTGGCATCGGCTGCTGGATCCTCTCTCACGGCTACGGCTCTCGAGCTGGGTGGCAAGAACGCCTTCGTTGTGTTTGACGACGCGAACATTGATGTCGCAGTACGTGACGCCGTTGAGGGCGCGTATTTCAACAAGGGCGAGGCCTGCACCGCATCCTCCCGAATCCTTGTTCACCAGAGTCTCTACCCAGCATTTGTCGAAAAAATGGCCGCTGCCGTGTCGAAACTGCGGGCCGGTGACGGGGTTGACGACGCGACCCACGTTGGTCCAGTGGTCTCGCGAGAGCGCAAGGAGCAAATCTTGGCCGCGATTAATTTGGCTAAGAGCCAGGGTGCCCGGTTGGCTGCTCAAGGTATCGTCACCAGTGACGGGGATGGCTTTTTCGTGGCCCCTACGCTGTTCACCGACGTAAAAACTGAGATGGCCGTCGCCGTGGAGGAGATTTTTGGTCCTGTTGCATGCGTTAGTGCCTTTGAGACCGAGGATGAAGCTGTGGAGATTGTCAATGCCTCCCGATATGGTCTCTTCGCAGGTGTTTATTCGACCGATTTCAGCCGTGCCATGCGGGTCGCCCGACGCGTCGAAGCCGGTGTCGTCTTGGTCAACAACTACTTCCGTGGTGTGCTAGGAACACCCTTCGGAGGTGTGAAAGACAGTGGTCATGGTCGTGAACACTGGATTGGGACATTGCGGGAATGGAGCCAAATCAAGAACATTCGCTACCCCAGTGGTTTGGGAGGACCGTTGCCCCAGTGGAGGGCCATTCCGGAGATTTTCCAGCAGGACGGAGCAGAGTAGACTTTTCAACGCATATAACACTAAGAATATGTCTGTCCAATGAATTAAGGGACAAGAAGGGTATTGGAGAGATTGGTTCCTAAAGACAGCGGGCTTACTCAATGTTGCTGGTGTTCAAGCTATATAGAGACTTTCGCTACACGTTTTTCAACAGTAGAAATCACAAGAATATTAGACACAGACAATTGAAATAAGTACATGAAGGATAATCATCTATAAAAACTACGTTCAAGAACAACCATCTAAACTTCTACTTCTAAACAAGAAACTGAAGGCTTGAAATCCAAAGGGACAGAAAAGCTGGTCCCGCCATAATGTGCATCCTGCGAAACCTCCCTTATTTGCTGTACCAAAGGCAAAAGATCCTTAGACTTGATCGGTACTCGATGGTTTCCATCCCACTCGACAAGCCTTGCAGTGTCTTGTTGACACGACTTATATAGCTGGCGGTGGCGATGCAAGCCCGCATCACGACACCCATGCACGTGGATAGTCGGGATTGACAGCACAGCATCTGGATGCCTTGATTTGGGCAAGGACTTGAAAATAGCTTGTAAATCCCAATCCTGATCAAGTATTGCCAAAGGCGCGCTCCCGGCGAGCAGAATACCGAAGCGAAAGTTGGTCTTCGATAGACCTTCTTGTTGACGATATAGCAAGCTGGCAGCGAGTTTGGCACCCTGACTAAAGCCCATCACTCCCACCCAGTTGCCAGTGGCACCTCTCATTGTATCACGGTGCATGGCATCCTCGAGCGCTCTGTCTAGCTCAATGACTGTCTGCTGTGAAGGGAACTCGGAATCATCAGGAGGAGACTCCAGCCAGCGCCGGAATGGGCCCCATTCTTTGTACACAGAAAGTACGTCCGGACCGGCTACGGAAGGAAATGGAGCTTGTGCAAAGACGAAGCGGAATTCGCGGTGCAAGTGTTTGAGAATACCGCGGCACTGAGCGTGGAAGATGCGGGCGTTGGTACCACCCCCGTGAAGGCAAAGGACGCGTGGTAAGTGGAGATCGGATTCGTCTTGGAGCAGTATCGTTGGTTTGAACCGCATTTTGAGTGTTCGCCCCTTGCGTGGAGGATGGCTGTGTTGTATCTGATAATTATGATTATTATATCGCTGCAATACTGATTAGGGAGTGATAGGCGTTGACAGGTACACTTGGGTGCCACGAGGTTACAGATGGGGAATGAGGTTGATCGTTTCGGAAAGAATATCTTCACATCAAGAAAGTATTGTCTTTAACATTAGACACCAGGCCCATTTGGCCCCCATTCAGCTGTTGTCAAGATCATCCGTTGAGCGTAAGATCCCCTGCTTACTGGAAACGAACCGCCGGATAGAAAGTCCGCCAGGCAGACGACGGATCAACGATGGTGAAAGTATATAGAGACAGATAAGCACACCACTATACCTTTTACGAGATAGACTATACATAAATAGATAAAGTGATAGACTGATAAAGAAATTGTACAGAGAACTCAAATCGACCAAGATCTCAACCACCAACATGCCTTCCGTCGTCTCATCCTCCTTCTACCTCCCATCAGTGGACATTACCCCCTTCCTGGAGGACCCCACCAGTCCAGCTGCCCAGCAAGTAGTTGAAGATGTGCGTGCCGCATGCATCTCCACTGGTTTCTTCCAGATGACCGGCCACGGTGTGCCTACATCTCTCCAACAATCCGTATTTAATGCAGCCGCCAAATTCTTCAAACTCCCACAACCCGTCAAGACTAAACTCGATGCTCGCAGTAGTCTTGGATTCCGTGGATATGATGTGATGGGTACGCAGCTGTACGAAGATGATGTCCTCCCCGATCTGAAGGAGGGCTTTTTCCTTGGACAAGACATCCCGGCCGAGGACCCGCGCGTTGCAGCTCGTCGATTCTTCATGGGCCCGAACGTTTGGCCGCCAACAGAGATGCTGGCCTCTCGGGATTTCAGGGATCCCCTTGAAAAATACTATCAGGCCATGACTGAGTTGTCGCATATCGTTCTCGACCTTGTTGCTGCAACCCTGCCCTACGGACCTCACGTCTTCGATGAGTTCAAGGCTAATGACCCTGCCTGCCCCATGAGACTCCTGCATTATCCGCCGACTCGCCCAGCTGCCACCGCCGAGGAAGGTGAAGCGCAGAAGAGGCAGCTGGGTAGCAGCGCTCACACGGACTTCGGAGCCGTGACGCTGTTGCTACAAGACGAACATCCTGGTCTGGAAGTGCAAGACCGCGAAACGGGTGAATGGATCGGTGTTCCACCGGACCCGGCAGCGTATGTGGTCAATATGGGGGATATGATCAGCCGGATCACCGGTGGGCTGTACAAGAGTAGCATTCACCGAGTTGTGAATAAGAACCCGACCGATCGGTTCAGTGTCGTTTATTTCTTCGATGGAAACATTGACTTTAAATTGTATCCTCTGGATGTCGTCTATGGCAAGGGGATTGATGAGGACGAAAAGGCACCGACCGTCGAGGAACATATGATTGAGCGGACTATGGCTTCGTACAATATGAAGAAGAGCTCTTGAGTGAAAGTCGGGGGGGGGGGTGGGGGAAGGACTCGTATAGATGTTAAAGATTGACTGGTCAAGATTGTCTATTGATTCTCCCAAACTTCAATTGATTCGCAGTATCCAATATCGTAATTTCACATATAATATACTCGATCCCTTAAAAACCACTTTAACTATTTGGAGTGCTGGTACCCACACTATGATTGAATAATTCTGCAGTCTTAGAGATGCACGAACGCGGAAGTAGATCCAAATAGCTCTGTTCGGGGTTATTGACGTTCTTCAACCCACCAAGGACGTGGAATAGCTCCTGCAGTCGGGGTTGAAAGACCTCGTTGTGCTTTTCATTGTATAAGAATTCGGCACAGAGAAATAGGGGAATCGGTGTCAAGGGATGAACCTGGCCGGAAAGAGTCAGAACTTTGTTATTCAAGCGCCTGTAACTGGACTTGCCCTTGAAAACGGCAGGTCCCGTAAAGTGGATGCCAGGCTGATGATATTGGTAGATGCCTCCAAAGCGCGATATTGGTACTGAATGAACTCAGGGGTATTCTCATTCATTGAGCTATCCGCAGTAGTATCGTTCATCGCTTTGCAAAAGTAGATTACAGTCGCCTGGCCAAGGATGTTGGCGAATAGCAAAAGGGGGTCGTATGACTCCGTCGGTGCTGGGTAACACTGCGATAAGACTTGGAGTCGATTCGTGAGTATACTATCTAGCCACCTGCGTTGCTCCATCCAGTCCATGGTCATGTCTCCATACGCTTTGGAAATGTGATACCGTTGACTCTGCAGGAGACTACGACCACAGATGGTGGCCAAGATGAGACACTCGTTGAATGAAGATCGGACTTTCAGAGTGGGCTCCGTCATGGCTTCTGACAATAATGGTCCAAGATCATGGCTTCCACTTTGAAACTCGGCATCTGGAGCAGGAAGACGGGTGCAAATCTTCACATCAGGTAAAAACAATATCGTTAGTAAAATTAACTCCAAAGGGTATAACATCTTTGGCCACAGGGCCACTTACCACGTGTTCATTCAGAGTAATCGGCCAGTCATCGCGCATACTGATGACATGGTCCAGGAAGTAAGTCATCCAAAAGACTCGGCGTCTCTCCTCCACTTCGATAAAGTCTCCGCATTGTGGGGAGGAAGGTCCACGTTTGTCAATGGGGTTGTCAATTTCATGATATCGCAAGGCCTGCACTAAGCGGAATGCGCGACCGGCGCTCATCCACGCTTGACGGTGATACGTTCGCATATACTCAAATGTCACGACCAGAACCCATGCCTGGGCCAGTGCGGTGTTAAAACTGCTGTTATCATTGGCTTCGACGCTGAGATCCTCTAGCATCTGTTTGGCTTGTTGGTAGAGTGGCTCGACCAGGTGCCGGGAATGAGCGGACAACATCGAGGCCAGGGTCCACATAGCATATTGTAGGCATCGATGGGACGCTGTCTTGGTACTAGACTTGGACCATGACAAGTACCGCCTTTGGTGGAGAATCGGAATTGATTGGTGTACACGGTCCAAGTACAGCTGGTCCCTTGAGGGTACAAAGAAATATTAGCCGAGTTGCACTTCTTTACTACCGGCAATGCATTTCCGGAGGGGAAGGGGTAGTATACAATTCAGCCTGTATCATTTCAGACAAATTCAGATTAGACGCGTGTGGCGTAGGCGCCGCAGACACAAAAGAGTCCTGATTACTCGGCACGGCCGTCAGATTCAACTCTTGCAGCCCATAGCCGTTTGAGACAAACGCCTCATGCTCCGAGCCCGAGGATACAGTAGTCCTTCCATCGTCTTCGTGGCTGTTTTGGGAATCGCCTTGTAGATCCGACCGTAGCTGGGGCTGATGCTGATGGGGCAACAAGCGGGTCTCGAGCATGGCCTCTAGGTGCACAATGCGGTTCTTCAGGGCCTTCAGGTGGCCTTTCTTGGGGCCCCGGACACCACGTTGAGTGACCTCACAAATCACGTCGGTATCGCGACATACGCCGCACTGTGGGTGTTGCCCATCGCAACGCAGCTTTCGTCGTCGGCACTCGTCACACGCGGCACCCGGACGTTGGCGCCCGCGCGTTACCGTCGGCGTGTCTAATTCAGTGTCTGGTGGCATGGGTGGTAATCTTAGTGAGTATACTGTCGTACACTGTTCGGAGAATCTGACGGATATTCTTTTTCCGCCAGGGAAGGGAGGGACGTGGAGGACGGTGGGTACAAGACTGCAGAGAAGAATGTCAAGGGGGGGCCCGAAAAGCAAAAAGGACCTTTCTCAGGGTGAATTGTGTCGCCGACTCTCCGAAAAGACCGAGTTATGGACATCGGGGCCCCCTGCACTCTCAATCTGGTCTTTTTCTTTGTCCGCAGGGATCTCTAATGCGTCATTAATAAGCGCTCGGGGTCACCGTATTAGTTAACCTAGTAGGATTGCAGGAAGGTTACTATCTATAGTTAGTTAGTACTGTACAGCTATTGCTGACGGATCCAATCATGATCGTATTAAGTGGATTCTTCTTTCGGGCGGGTGATCGAGATGGTGGCCTTGTGGTTAGTTGCTATCCATGACTGTGGTGCTACTGTACTACATACTACCCCGTATTTATTATCTGCGTAATCATCAAGGCGCTGTGTTTGGACGTTGTGTTCGTCTTGGCCATTCTCATCTTACGGTCTTCCGGACTCTTATCACCGCAGGATCAAGCACCAAGTGGGATTCAGGCATATACTAGTCTAGTGCTGACGGCTAAACAACTAAAGAGGGTTTGACATCATCAAATCAGACACGGCTGATTTTCTTACGATTCACCCGCAAAGCGCTCCATTCTATTAGCGTTACGATTCTCTAAGATCGGCCCGCTTTAGCGAACGGGTGGCCCCCACTGGGCGCATGCTTGGTTGTGGCATTGACCGGCGGAGTATTGCTGTCGCGATGAAACAGCGATGACAGACTCAACAAGGCAATATGGAGGGGAGCACATTGACAAATAAACATACTGAGTATTACAAATGCATCAATAGACACGGATGCTTGATTTCTCATCCAGATATTAGACTCGGGGCAATCTCCAACTGGACCCCTCGATCGCCAAGAACCAGGCCAGCGCTAAAGAAATAGAAACTCCGAAGACATTCAATAGAAACTCCGAGGCTACTTGAATGACCATCTCCGAGATATACCGGACTTCAACAATAATAGACGGGTGGACTTAACTCATAACTAAGCAAAGCTAAGAAAAGCTAAGCAGTGGAAATGGATCTTGCGACCGGCCTTCATATGTCTCACTACCGTCGCCTATTCATGGCGCTACATACGATTTACATTGCACAATGACCGCACAACAGGGCCAGTTTCTCGCAGGGAAGAGGATTATTGTGGCCGGTGGAGGGTTCGCCGGTTTGGCGTTTGTACTTGCGCTCGATCAGCTATGGCAAAGCTTAACCCTGGACCGTCCGGAGGTACTCCTGTACGAAGAGAATGGCCGCGACGAGTCCATTCAGAAGGACGCGTATACGCTGTGCATCAACGGGGCTAGCCAGGATGACGGGTTGGTCGCTATTCAACAGTTGGGCCTGTTAGACGAAGTTCGCGAGCATTCAACCCTCAACGGAGGCGATATCCGCGTCTGGTCGGACAATTGGAAATGGCTGTCATCCATCAACCCGACCGTATATGGAAATCTCCCAGCAGCAACCATGCGCATCACCAGACAGAACCTCAAGCGTATCCTGGTGGAGAGAGTCGAACAGACACAGACCGTCTTGAAATGGGGCTCGGCCTGTACATCGGCCGAGCGTCTATCAAACGGCCAGATTCGTGTCTCCATCTCTGAAGATGTCGGCAGCGCAACTAGTTCCACACTAGACTGTGATCTTCTTGTGGCGGCCGATGGTGCCAATAGTCGCATTCGGGCCTGCTTCAGACCTAACGATATGACAACCCAATATGCCGGCGCGACGCAGATTGGTGGCATTTCATACCTTCCAGATGGACTTCCCAAGCCAATTGATCAAGATTTCAGCCTCCAGATGTCTTCGGGCGAAGGCGTCTGCTGTATCTACCATCCGTTCGACAGCAACACAATCGACTGGGCACTCAGCACAGTTGGTCCCGAACGCGAAGCGAAAACCAACTTCACCCCCGATGAATTCAACCAATTGAAGCAGGAGGCCCTGAAGACGGCCTCGATGTTCCAGGAACCATTCAAATCAGTCGTCGAGGCCACAATTCCCGGCACTGCCTTTATTCGACCTGCAAAAGAAAAGCCTGCCTTCCAACACGATGCCCGTCTCCACGGGGTGATGTTCATCGGTGACGCGAATCATATCCTCAGCCCCTTTGAATTACTCGGTGCGAATCTTGCGCTCAAAGACGGTTGGGACCTGGCAGAACAGATCTGTCGAAACGTTTCTCTTGATGCGGCCGCTGCCTCTTATGACAGGTTGAGCATTCCGCGTTTCCAGCATGACTTTAATTTCTCCCATGAGCGAATCGGTTTTGGGCACTGCACGGGCAGCAAGTGGATGTTTTACAAATATGGCATGGCTGCGCAACGGGCACTGAAGAAGGTCCATTGAATCGGCAAGGTGCCCGGGAGTACCACGGATGGGCGGATGGGGGTGGGATTTCGAGTTTTACTTTAGGGTTAGAAGGTTGCCTTAGTATGGGTGTTGGGTGTAGAAATTGAAATATATTCGGGAATACTGATTATAGAAGAACTGACCAAAGTATTCCCTATAATTAAAACCACATCTTGCCTGCTTACCTACCTAGTTGTTTAATGCCGTCGAGATACTCGGGGCAGCGTAAGGGGTCGGGAGGAATGTTGATCGATAGAGGAACGCTCTACTTTATCGACCAGTGGGAATGGTGTAATGTAAATCATTTTCATAGGTTTGTAACCTTCCTTATGGACTTCCTCACAGGCAGCCAGTGTACCTACAGAAATTCGCTGGACCCATACTACCCCATCACAAGGATCAACGAGAAGATATATATTCCGGTATTTGCAGGCTGTACTCATGATCTTACCATATTAGCGGCACAAACTATTGTTGCCGGAGCATCAGGTATATAGAAACTATCAGAAATTTGGAATATCTCAGAATATATTGTATATAGAAGGCGCAATGCTTGATGAACTACTATCTATTTGTACCCAAACTCCGCTGCGCCGTACGCCGCCAACAGTCTTAACAAGCGATAAAACCATGATGGAACTCGAAGGGGGGACAAAAAATATCAATGGACAAAAGGAACAATAGAGGAGTGAGCAAGATACCTTATTAAAAGCGAGATATCAATTTGGGGGGGGAGAGAGAGAGAGAGAGAGAGAGAGATCCCAAAAAGGAAAGAGGTAAACATAACAAACATGTAAGGTCACATGACCATTATCTCATTTCATCCGACGAATTGGCAAACCATCTGGCTGCTTCTCAGGAAAAGCGACAGAAAGGCAAAAAAAGAAGAATCAAGCCTTGAATCGATCCCACTGAACATGGGTACTCTTTGCAGCAACGTCGGCCGCGAGCGCCGCCAAAGACGGGCTCTGCATGATGCCGAAGATTGACACCTCGGCACCGGCATGTTGGAGCAGCATATTCCGGAGCTCCACCGAAACCAGAGAGTCGATACCAAAGTGAGCAGGCTTGTTCGCCAGATCAATGTCATCGACGGGAAGCATGAATATATCTGACAACTTTTCAGCGATCGCAACACCGACCAGGTCAACTGCCTCAATCGCTGAAGCTGCAGCTGCCAGTCGACTGGCCAGCGAGCCTGAACCATCCCCGGCACTGGCATTCTTCTGACCACCCTCAGCCGGCCGCAACGCCACGAACCGAGCATCGCGACCCAAAGGAGAGTCACCATCGATATTCCAGTGAGAACCGGGCCCCGTGTGCAACCCGATGACAACCTGAGGTTCATATGGCGCGAGGATGGCGCTGTCCAGCACGGCCAGAACCTGCTCCTCGTTGATGGGGATATGACCAATACGCTGAAGTCGAGACAGCACGCCGGCCGTTTCCTGAGCCACGCCGATTCCCTTGACAGCGCCGAGGTCGATAGCCACGGCAGGGAGACCGCGTGCAACACGCCAACGGGCAAGCGCGTCTTGATAAGAGCCTGCTGCCGCGTAGTTGGCCTGGCTAGCATTGCCAGTGACACCGACCACAGATGAGAGAATCACGAAGAAGTCCAAGCTGTCCGGCGCGTCGAACGCTTGATGCAGGTTCCATGTACCGTGGACCTTGGGCTGGACGGCTGCTTGCCAATTGGCCAGCGACATCTGCTCGAAAACGGTATCCTGGAGAGACAAAGATTAGTATATTGCCATTTTGGGGCTTGAGGAGGCTCACTTACCTGCAAAACCATGGCAGCTTGGATAACGCCGCGAATTGGCGGAAGGCCACTTTCCTCACAAACGTACAATGCGCGAACGAGATCATCATGATCCGAGACACTGCAGCTCACGGCCTTGACTCGGACCCCCGCCGCACGAAGATCGGCAAGGAAAGCAGAATTCTGACCACTGTGACCGGCGCTTCGCGACATGAAGATCAAATTCTTGGCTCCTCGAGCCACCATCCAGTGCGCAACTGATCGACCAATTCCACCGAGGCCTCCGACAATGAGATAGGATGCTTCAGAAGAGAACTTGGTCTTGGGAGTTCGTGGACGAACCGGTACCATCTCCTGTGGACCCGTTGAGAGGACCACCTTGCCCATATGCTTACCGGTCTGGAGCAAACGGAAGGCCTTGGCAAAGTCGCCCATGGGGAAGGCTGTGACTGGGTGCACGGGGGCAATGGCCTGACTCTCCAGCAGCTTGGTAATCGCGTTCAGCACACGATGCACCTCGAGAGGGGTGTGCTGCATCGATGCCAGGAGGTAAAAGGCTGAAAAGGAAGCCTGGCGAGTGAAGGGCCGCATCTCGAGATGGCTGTTGATTTCCAAGTCTCGCTTTCCAATTTCTAAGAAGTGACCGAACGGAGCCAGCACGTTGAAGCTTTCCTGCAACAATGGTCCAGCAAGGGAATTGACAACGGCGTCAACACCACGACCGTGAGTCGCAGCCATGATCCCCGCGGCGAAGGATGCATCGCGACTGCTGAAGATGTGGTCATCTGGAATGCCGTACTTGCTCGTAACCAGAGCGCGTTTCTCAGTTGTCCCGACGGTGGCGTAGATCTCGAGGCCCAGGTGCTTTGCAATCATAATTGCCGCCTGTCCGACACCACCAGCTGCGGCGTGTATCAAGACAGTTTGCCCACGTTGCAGACGAGCCATGTCGATCAGGCATATGTATGCGGTACAGAAGATGACCGGCAGCGAGGCGGCATCCTCAAAGCTGAGCCCCTCCGGCATGTGCGCGACGTTAGTCCACTCGACATTTACGCGACTGCCAAAGGGTCCACGCAGCAGACAGAAGACTTTGTCCCCGACTGCGTACCCACGGCTGGCAGCCTCGCTTCCAACGCGCTTGATGACTCCAGAGCACTCCAAACCCATCACTCGTTCGTGGAGCTGGCCCATGGCCACCATCACATCACGGAAGTTGACACCATAGGCACGCGGCTCAACCTCAATCAGATTAGACGAGAGATCAGACGTAGCATTGATGGCAGACATTGAAGGGTCGTCATCGAAGGCAATGGTATCCATCAGCCCCGGCATTCCAACGTGCATGCTCAGAGGGCGGTCCGGCTGGTATAATGGCTGACTGACTACCTTTGGAGTGCTCTGGTCGGCAACATCCTCGGCGGAGATTGCCTTGCTCCGGGCCTGGTTCTTAAGGATCCTTGGGATTAGGATAATACCGTCTCGAACCGCGTACTCGAACTCGCCTGGCTGAGAGTCGTCATTACTGCTGAAGCCTGCTTGCAACACTTGCTGGATCACAGGCACACTGTCTAGAGACCACAGGGGAGTACCAGGGTCAAGATCCAGACTTACGAAGAGCCGAGTCGGGTACTCGTTACGTAGAGATCGAAGGAATCCCTGAGCGAGTGCCAGCTTCGGGTCTTGGGAGTTGACGGCGGCGCCACGTGTAAGCCAGAATAGCCCTTTAGAGTTTATAATCATTGTCCTGATCCCATCCATGGTTTCTGCATCGAGATCCCGGAGAAGAGGTTTGTCGATTTCTCCGACAAAGACGCAAATCTTACCTGCAATCGAGGCTGGCGTCAATGACTCGATAGCATAGGCAGTGGTTAACGAGCCAGCACCAGAACCATCCTCAGAGATAGCCTGTTGCAAATTGACCAGCCAGGTGGAGTCAAGTGCAGGTCCCATCTTATTGCTGGTGACAACCACAATGTTGTGCGATGAAGGTCGTTGCACTGAACTGACTGGCGGGACGGTTGCAAGCATGGTACTCGTTGTATACATATCGTCGGCTTCACAGTCGGGAATGTGGACATCGACTCCGCTGAAGCCCGAGGCTTTGAGCGATTGGTCCCACGATGAAACGGTGTCCGAAGGGCAGTGCTGGCCATCAACCCTGCGATCTTCTTGCCACCACTCAGGCAGTGGACCGAAGACGAACTGTCGGTCGAAATCATCCTGCGTGGTCTCCACCAGCAGCAGCTTGCCGCCTGGTTTGATCAAACTGTGGACATGGGCCAAACAGTTTGCAGAAGAGGTCGAAAGTAAATGCCGGTTGGCAATGACAAGATCGTAATCCTTGGATTCAAACCCTTGGGTGGACGGATCCTTTTTGATATCAAGTGTGTCGAAAACCACAATATCACTCCATGCGGCAAGCTCTTGAATAGAAGCGGCCTGGGATTCTTCATCCCACGACTTTCTGGTGATGTGATAAGAGGTAGCCAGTGGACCTCCAGATTCAGCCGTGCCCAGGGCCTGCAGCATGTTAAGAGTTGCAGTGGTAGAGGGATTTTCAAGCTCGAGGATGTGCGCTCGTGGGTTTTTGTGAACGAATTGACGCAACAAAGCAGCAGCCTGGGACAGAGCCCGCGGATGTTCTTGTTGCTTATACTGATCCAGCAGCCCATTGGCTGTCATCAGCTCGATGGGGGCTTTTTCACCACGCAGGATGGCAGGCAAGTTCTCTCCTATATGACAAACCATTTTGCCTTTGACACCGGCTTCGGAAACGAGGTGTGTCCGAATTTCTCGTTCAGCCTTGGTGTCGAATAGCCAACTTGTGCTGCCAGTACCAAGTCTTCCCTCCTTTGCCTCGTTCTCCTGTTCCTGCATCCAGGTATAAAACTTGGCACGTTCTGGGCCAAACTGGCCCACTTCATCTGCAGAAACTTTGGCTAGTGCCTCTTGGATGTAGTAGAGATACACACGTCGGAGATCAGTAATGGCCCGAATCCCATCCGGAAAGATGGGATCAAACTGCTGTCCAAGACCATCTGTCTGGAATCCGAAGCTTGCATCGGGACCCCAGTGCACTCTGGTACAGAGCTGTCTCTCCCACGGCTTTTCATCCCCACTGGAAGCGCTGCGTCCTAGGGACGAGAAGATCAGATTCTTGATTTCTAGGATGGGTTTCGCACCATCGCCCGCATCCTTGTCGACCATGGTGATGTTAGCCTCAATGCCCTGTGCATCCGCACGGTGCAGGAAAGTATCGGCCTCAAAGAGATGGCCGATCTGACTGCTGATCTTGCTCGAAATCCAGATGCGCTCGATCGACTGGAAAACTCTTGGAGAGTCCTGGCGGGATTCGGTGCCCGGGAGAGCTGTGAACGTGGCCTGGGCGGCTGCGTCCAGCAATGCTGGATGTACTACATGGGTATACGGTAGTTCCTTGGCAACTGAAGTATCAGGAACGACAATGTCACTGATAGAACGCATCTCCCTGCCCGACTGAATGATGTTCTTGATGTTCCTGAAGGTCGGTCCGTACTGAAGCCCAAGTGCCGTCAGAACATTCCACATGTCGACCGGATCGATACGTTTGGCATATCCGGCTCTAGGGTCCAGGGGCTTGCTCTTCCCCAGTCCAAGCCCTGTTGCTTGATCTGGATCGCCGAACTCGACCAAGATCAACCCGTAGGCATGCTGTGTCCACTCGTTATCTGCGGTCACCGAATAGATCTCAAATTGCTTCCAGCCGCGCACGCCAATTGACTTATCACTGACCGGACGGAGCACAGTTTGGATTTCCAGGCCTTCCGTACTATCTGGAATGACGAGGGCCTGTAGGACATCCACGTCCCTGATCTGGTAACCGGCAATCTCCTTTGGGGTAGAATTGCCCTGATCACCTGCAATCAGGTCGATCTGTTGCCGGACTGCCTCGATAGCCAAAGAAATAAATCCACAGCCAGGGTACAGGATATTGGACTGAATCATATGATCCCGAACCCATGGTGATTCTGTGGGCCGGAGGATGTGTCTCCACGATGGGAAGTTGAGATTTGTACCAGGCACAAGCTGACCCAGGAGGTGGTGAGGCTCTTGGGAGCGCTCGCGGAGCGCCTTGTTGACTCGTGGCTCAATCCAATGCCTGGTCGAGTGGTTCCAAGGGTAGGGAGGAAGATTCGTGAGCACTCGAATATCAGAGCCTCTTCCATGAGGGAAGTTGATCGCCTCCATGTCAACAGGGTAACCCTCGCGAATCAAGTTGGCTGCCAAACCTTGAAGGCTCTCCATCGCATTGGTGTGTCGAACAAGGCAGCCGTAGTACGGCAGCTTGATACCTTCAAAGTCTGGAAGCCCCAGTACTTCCTGGATGGGACCGCCAAGTGCAGTGTGCGGGCCAACCTCAACGACTAGATCGATACTGGAAGGAGAGGCATCTGACTCGGAATCCAAATCACCCAGGACCATCTCCGTGAATGCATCGACGAACAAGACCGGTTGCAGCAAGCTACTGACCCAATGGTCTGCGTTCGCAATATTTTCCGCACTGTTCATGCGATAGCCAGTCACTGGGGATGCATAGGCGATGGAATTCATGCGATTGAATTTGCTTGATTTATCATCTTGCATATTTTGCAGTGCGGTGCGGTACTCCTCCGCGATGGGCGCCATGTGGTGAGAGTGGTAGGCAGTCTCCACTCGCAGTCGGCGACCAAACACCCCATCACTCTGAAGCTTTGCCTCCAATTCCAATACGGCAGGAAGGTCGCCAGCCACCGTCGTACTTGAGGGGCTGTTAATGCAGGCAATGACGGCCTTGGCATCACCAGTGAGGTTATTCAAGTAGCGCGCCGCGTCACGATGCCCCAGGCCTACTGCAATCATACCTCCCTTGGCCGTGGCACTCTGTGTCAACTCTGCGGCCAGCTTGCTACGGAAGTATGCGATCCCCATGGCCCTCCGGAGGCTGATCGCTCCAACTGTGTAGGCTGCCGCAATTTCTCCACTGGAGTGACTGGTGACAGCGGTAGGCTTGATACCCCAAGTATTCAGCAGGCGAACCAGCGCGATTTGCACAGCAACGCAGATGGGGATACTAAACGCGGTCCCGTTCACTCGTGTGCTCTCGGCATCGCGGTTAAGCTCATCCATCAGAGACCAGTCCGCACCGAGGTCATGGAGAATGGCGTCGGCCTCCTTGATGGATGCCCCAAAGGCCGGGTACGTGGCAATCAATTCCCTTCCCATGGCATACCACTGAGCACCCTGCCCTGTGAAAACCATACCGATTCTTGGCTGCCGCGAGGCAACTTTGGACGCCCTAAAGTTACGAGACTCAAGGGCCGTCGCCGCTGCAGCAATCCCTTGGGTGATGGGGACAGGGTATGTGGCAATCCATGGGAAAATGGTACGGCGCTGTCCCAAGGTATAAGAGAGTTGCTCTAGGAATACCTTGGCGTCCACTTCATTGAGTCCCTTCTTCTCCTGCTCTTCAAGGAATGTTTTCAGGTTGGAGACGATGACTTTGGTTGTCTGTTCATCCTTGCCACTGAGAATTAACAGATTCGTCTCATAGCTGGGCAACGGTAGTGAATCGACACCATTCGGGGCAGCATTGTGCTTGCTCGATGTCCCCGTGGTCAAGGCTTGAAGCCAATATTGCCCGTCTTCCATGATCACATGGGAATTGCTTCCACCGTAGCCAAAGTTGTTGACGGATGCACGGCGAACAGTACCTGGAAGGGCAGGCCATTCTTCCAACTCTCTGGCTACCTTGATTCCCCATTCTTCGAGTGAGAGCTTGGGATTGGGCTTCTCAAAGTTGACAGATGGCGGAATCATGCCATGCTCCATTGCAAGAGTGACCTTGATGACACTGGCTAGTCCACTGGTCGCTTCTGTGTGGCCGATGTTCGTCTTCACAGAGCCAATCCGCAAAGGCTCGACAATAGAGCGTTTCTTCCCTTGGAAAACTGAAGCAATAGACCCGACCTCGATTGGGTCTCCCGTTGGCGTGCCCGTTCCGTGAGCCTCAAAGTACTGAGTGCCTAGCGGGTCAATGCCTGCCCGTGCGTAGCAGTTGCGCATCAGGCTTTGCTGTGCGTCTTTGCTTGGCGAGGTAATCGTTTCGGTTTTGCCATCCTGATTCAGCAGAGTTTCACGAATAACGGAACGAATTGGGTCGCCAGCGGCAATCGCGTCTCGGAGTCGCTTGATCACGATCGTGGCCACACCCTCGCCACGGCCGTACCCATTGGCGCGAGAATCAAAAGCAAAGCATCGGCCATCGGGAGAGAGAAAGCTGAACGTAGCAGCGTTAGTCGTAATTATTGTAGTTTTCACCGCGTAACATACCCTAAAGATCCCATTGCCTTGAAATTGTCCGGGTTGATCAGGATGTTGGTACCGCCCACGACACTCATGTCGCTCTCCCCACTTCGCAGACTCTGGACGGCCTGATGAAGGGCAACGAGAGCAGTCGAGCAGCCGGTGTCTATGGTCATACTTGCGCCGCGGAAATCGAAGAAATGAGAGATGCGATTCGAGGCCATTGCGGTGCCTGATCCTGTCAGGAGATACCGTGGCAAGTTATCCTCATCTCGGATCAATGAATCTCGATAATCATGAACAAATGTGCCAGCAAATACAGATGTGTTGGTACCCGCGACTTGCGCGAGAGGGAGACCGGCTGTTTCACAAGTAAGCTCTCTTTTCAGGAGTGTCGTCATCAATGAATTGTATACTTACCGTTCTCCAGGGCCTCGTAGACCGATTCAAGTTGTAGCCGGAATTGAGGATCTAACGTCTATTGTTGTATCATATTAGCCATCTCTCGTTCGATCAACCTGTATTCCATATGGATCTGGCTGACCGCTGCTGTTTCAGCCGAATAATTGAAAAATGCAGCATCAAACAGCCCAATATCCTCATTCATAAAGTGGGCTCCTTTGACGTGCATCTAATTTCCATATTTAGCACTGGAACTCGATATATCAGCGGCGGACCACCCACTGTACTCAATTTCTCGCTGTTGGGATGATAAGCGCCCTTGGGGTTGAAACGAGAAGCCGGAATCTCGCTCCAGGCGCTCTTCCCTTCGGCCAGCAGTTTCCATAACTCTGATGGATTGGATGCATCTCCAGCAAACTTGCATCCAATACCAATGATGGCGATAGGCTCACTCGCCCAGGCTGGCCCGGTGCTTCCCATGATTTATGTGGATTGGACGACTTTAAGGATATTGTGGATAGGAGAGCAACCGAGAAGAGAGTTTTGAGAAATAATACAGGTGAAAAAACAGAATTGAGTGGTCTATAGGTCTAAATGATAGAAGATGACGATGATGGAAAATGGCTGGTCAATATGGCTGCTTTACAGTTTAACTGGTAACAGAGAAGGGCCCTATTAGCGACACCCATAGCGGAGAGGCTGCAGGGACCTGCCTCCTACATTGATTCCTGCGCATAATTGACAGATCTGGAACGACTTTCCGGCGGATTTTTGGTTCGCTACCTAAAGGTGAGATTCCGGTTATGCGGGCAGTTGAAGATGTGCCGGACTAAAGAGACGCGTCTTCGTCCGGACTTCCAAAAAGTCCGTAGGCAATTAGCGGCCCCCACTAAGCTTTCAATCGATTTTCAACCTTAGATACCGCTCATACTTTCGGCGCCGATGATTTCTCTCTCATAGTCAGCTTATGCCAGGTTCTCTATTTGATGCTAGTCCCAAACTTACCTTGGTATGGACGACAAAAATATTTATACCTAGGTAGTGATGGTTGGGCACACTACCTATCTATAGATCTAGAACCACCTTATGTTAGACCTCGTTAGAAGCCTCTAAGCGTTTTCGATTTAATAAATTAGGGATAGAAATAAGTAGGTTGAAATTCAGAAGATGAAGATGGAGAGTCATGTGGAATACCTAGGATTCAACTACAGTAAACTCCCGTTTTCGGCACTCCCAGGTTAGGCACACATTTTTATTAGGCACCAAAATCTGTTGGATGGACCCACTTCTTAGAGTTTTCCCATATATAAGAGGCCAACCGGCACACCTTTTTGTCTGGCACACAAAATTCTCTTCAATTTTTGCTTAGTCATATAAACCGACCAATCAGAATGCAGGATTTTTCCCCTTCCAACCCTTCCACCCCTTCTTCGGTCGCTCTTTCAGCTAAACTGGCTATACCAAAACAACCCAACAAAGGCATATCCGATGCTCAGAAAAAAGCATTACGTATCTATGCATCGGAGACACGCCCTAAACCTACTCAGAGAGAATGCGCTGAGTGGTTTTCATCTCAATTTAATCGTCATATCAACCGTGCGACCGTCTCCAAGATTCTTTCATCCAAATACGAGTACCTTGATACTGGTTTAGCTGGTCAGAACAAACGCCCGTTAGCATCTCGGTGGCCTCTATTAGATGAGGCCCTATATATCTGGCAGCAGCGTCACGAGAATGCCGGTTTTCCTATAACAGGCCCATTGATTCAGAGCAAAGCCGTCGAATATTGGAAGAAAATACCCCAGTATAAAGATCTCGACCCGCCACTTTTCTCTGAAGGGTGGCTATCACGGTTCAAACAGCGCCATTCGATCCGATATCATACCTCCTATGGCGAATCTGCATCGGTTCCGGCTTCGATGTATTCCGACATGGAAGCTATTCGGGCTATCTGCGACCAATATCAGCCAAACGATGTCTATAATATGGATGAAACAGGTCTATTCTGGCGTCGAATGCCAAATGGGGGTCTATCGAGTAAGGGTAGTCCTGGTTATAAAAAAGACAAGACCAGGATTACTCTCGCAGTAACGACCAATGCTACTGGTTCAGATCGAATGCCTCTATGGTTAATAGGCACTGCGAAGATGCCTCGTGCTCTACGAAAACTCAATATCCCAGCACTTGGATGTGTCTGGCGATGGAACAAGAACGCATGGATGCGCGGTAATGTTATGCAAGAATGGTTCCGCTCGTTTTATAGGCATATTGGCACACAAAGACGAGTCGTGCTATTGCTCGATAACTTTAGCGCGCATCTCTCTGCGCTTGAACATGCGCCACCGCCGTCTAATATTAAAGTCGTTTTTTTGCCACCAAACGCGACCTCGGTTTACCAGCCATTAGACCAGGGTATCATCAGAAACCTTAAGCACCATTATCGGAAGAAATGGTTGACATGGATGGTTAATATGATAGACCGCGGCGTCGATCCTACGCAGAGAATGAGCCTCTATTACACACTACATTGGATCACCCAGGCTTGGAGACGTGACGTCCTAGATGAGACTATTCAGAAGTGCTTTATCAAGAGCACGCTTATTAGTCCTAGCACTAATGAGATGAATACGTCTCCGTCTGAGGACCTTCAACTAGGTGATTTATACGCAGAGGTGACCGACCGGCTTCCTGGTACAGAGGTTATGGCATTAGATGAATTTCTAGACCCTCCAGGAGAAAACATCGACGTGGAAGAGCCTGATTTATCTGATATTATCGTTCATTTTTCAGAAGAAAATACAGGTGGGGATAATGGGGTTCAGGATAGCGAGGACGACCAGGACGAATATATATTCGGACCACCGCTGGATATCCTCTCGCGTGTTGAAGCTATTGAATATATGCATAAAGCTCTTCAATTTGCCCAGCACCAAGAGGGAATTACTGAGAGAGATCTACGTGATATAGAGAGGATCGCTCATCTTTTTTCTCGATTCGAGATCAATGGGAGGAAGCAGAGAAGGGTGGATGACTACTTTAGACCAAAAACAGACTAGTTCTTACTAGATGAGGTTTAGCGCGATATTAGTGGCACACTTTCATTAGGCACATCGGAATTCTGTTGCACGGAGGCCCGTGCCGAAAACGGGAGTTTACTGTACGTACATTGGTGGTGTTGGTCCAGAGACTTAGATCTTTTACCTGAACCTCCCGGCGGAAGCATAATGGATGGGAAATATATATCGTACAAAGTCCAGTCGCGATTGGTGTCAACTACGAGTACCTCCCTAGGCAGGAATCATTGATTGTTGCACAGTAATTATCTACGATAGCAAGCGATTCAAAGGGAAAATGCGGTCTTTCTAATGGGATACAAAACATGATAATGGAAGAAAGTGGCACCTCTCATGGGTGTTATTGATCGTGAAATCCATGTTTTGTTTGCATTGTTTGTTTCTGTTGTTTTCCGTAGTGGCTTGATGAATTATGTGGAAGATCTGTGCTTACCGCGATACATCTAGACATTCTGGAGCTAAATTTTACTCAATAGGCACATGATGGAATCGTACCATATAGCAGAGGCAAAACCTCTGTGTAAGCTTCTTTGAGGGCGATTACTCGTTATAACGTTCGACGCGACCGTGGCGAATCCCACTTCATTCCCTCAAGCTATTCCATTCCACCCGTCGTAAATCCCCCCTGTCTTAACTATTTACTAAGATGGAGTCCCTTGGATTGGAGGACGATCGCAGAATTACTGGAAGACTAGATAACGAGAAGAAATTGTATTGAAATTCTAGAAAATCCACAAGTAAAGATATACAGCAATCATGTACAGCAAAAATAAAAGAAAGGAAAACAAAAATCGCATCAACAAAGCAAACATTCTAGAAAGATCCAATCACGAGGAAAGAAAGCCTGTCTCCTTCCACGATCTAACATATCCCTCAACAACTGCCGGACTCAGTGGCCCCAACGAAGCCATCGTCTTAGAGTGCTCCTTCGTCTTGCTCGTATCCAAGACCAACCCACCACAAGACATACGCTCATAGTCGCGATCTAAGAAGTACACAATCCGCGAAGCTGGGTTCTCCGACTCTTGCAGAGGCGAGCGAGTAATCCGTCGGAGCCAGTCGCGGTACGGGACGATTCCGGTGGACGCGATGCCAAGCGCACGCGCCAAAACAGGCGACATCTCCTTCCACGACTGACCAACCGGATTGTCAATGTGATAGACAGGGTATGCCTCGACTGCATTGGCTTCGTTTCCAATGTGCAACAATTCAGAAATGGAGGCTGCAGCCGCATCGACAGGCACCCATTGCATACTCCCGTCCAAGTCGGGCCATGCGCGCAGGGACTGGGCCGACTTCACCATGAACGCGAAGTGTTCGACGGGGTTCCAGACGCCACTGTTCGAGGATCCCGCAATTTGACCTGGACGGACGACCATGGGACGGAAGAGGTCGGGGTACTTGTGGAGTGTTTCATCCAGCATGCGCTCGCAGATCCATTTGCCTTCGCAGTAGCCCGTGGGCAGAACGGCAGAGATGGGCACTCGCTCTTCCGGAATGCGTCCACGGCCTGCATGGCCAACAACTCCAATAGAGGTGACGAGCTGGAATCCAATGCGGCGGACATCATCGTCGGACTGCGAAAAGCAAGCGGCGTCGCGTGCCAGGTCCAAGAGCTGACGCATGGCCTGGAACTGGGGAATGAAGCCAGGAAGGGGCCGTGTGCCACTCATGGGCCAGGCGTTGTGTACAATATGAGTGACATTTTGCACCAACCATTGATACTCAGACGCGTCCATACCTAGTTGGGACTGAGAGGTGTCCGTCTCGACAACCCGAAGCTTGGAGTTTGCGGTTGGCGAAAGGGAGATGCCACGACTAGAAAAGGCATCAGCTTGTCGGCTCTCGACCGGCGTGAGGCTTCTGCGTCGGTTCACGCAAACCACAGTCTTGACGTCGGGATGTTCAGCAAATGCAGCAACCAGGTGCGAACCCAAGCTCCCAGTGGCTCCAGTGACCAACACGACGGCGTCGTGTACGTTCTGACTTGACTTGCCATGTCGCTTTTTGCTGACCTCATCCAGGTCCGGCGTAGACCAAGCAGATGTATGCTCAGTAACGTATTTCTCAGCTTCAGCTTCGCGCGTCACCAGGTTGCGCGTGGGTTGCTCGGGTAGTTTAGTCGACGACGACGGGATCGGAAGAGGATCTATAGCAGATCCACCGGCCAACGCGACAACGACACGCTGGATGTTGTTCTCCGGTAAGTGACCATCAGTCCAGTCAACGTGACCAAAGCCTGCGGCCTGCAAATCTCGTCTCCACCGTTCAGTAGGCACGACTGCATGCGTGCGCCCATCATCAAACATCCACCAACCTTCGAACAGACCAAAGATCAAGTTGGATAGAGGGGTATCTTCAGTCTGTTCGAGCATCATGAGCATGCCGTCCGGCCGCAGGGCCTTATGGACATTCTTGGCAGATTCGACCAGGTTGTGTGTGGCGTGGATGGCGTTACTGGCGATGATGAGATGTTGGCCACAGATCTCCTCCGCAGGGGCCTTTTCAATATCGTGAACAGCAAAGCGCATGAAAGGATATTGCTTGCCCATGGTACGTCGTGCCGCGGCAACCATGGACGATGACAGGTCAGTGAATGTATACTCAACCGGAATATTCAAGGATGCCAGCAATGGAACGAGGATCAGAGTTGTACCACCCGTTCCAGCGCCCATCTCCAAGATCTTGAGTGTTCCTTGCTCGCCTCTCACTTTTAGCTTGCTGGCAAGAAGGGTGAGGAAATCGCCCATCTGGCCTCCAAGCAAGGCGGCAAATGGGTTGTGTCGGTAATGTCCTGCCATCAGTTCGCGACCCTCGCTTGAGCCGAAGAGAATCTTGATACCGTCGGTCTCGCCTTTGAGAATTTTGGCCAGAGGCTTTCCAGCATGGTAGATCAGCTTGGCTGTGACTGCCCAGTCCGGAAAGTCATTGATGAACTCCTCCATCATAGCTTCGCTGGGCTTGGACGGCACCGCGACACCGGTCCTTGTCACCTGGCCACTGGTTGGATCGATGTCGAGCAGGCGAGCATCATTCCCCAAGAAACTGTACAGCCATTCCACAAGGCGGTCATATTCGGGCTGGAAGGGGATGCGCGAGAGACTATCGCCCTTGGCTGCAGAACGAAGAGAACAGTCCAGATCCTGGAACGCTTCCGCAATCAAAGCAACGCACAGTCGACTAGTACCTGCAATGATATGGCCGTCCACATTGTCCACGTGCTGATCCACAAGCTTTTGATCGGTACTCATCTTGATGTTACTGAAACATTCCAAGAGATCCATAGGCGAGAGATCCAGGCTCTTGCCAGTGGGATTGGACTTAACAGGATCAGGTGTAGCGATTCTTGTGTCTGAGCCCGAGGGAGGGGTGGCCAAGGTATCGCCTTCACTGTTTGACCAGTCATCCTCATCCGAGGAATAATCGCTGCTGGCCACGTTGGTCTCGGCATCAACAGGGGCAGCACCATCGCCCTCGCCGAATAAAACGCCAGAAATGACGTTGACAAGCTGGCGGACACTGGTGGCCTGAAGCAGAGTATCCTGATCCATTGCCTGCTTGAAGACCACCTGGACTTCACGAGCAAGCTCCATCCCCATCAGCGAGTCAATACCAATGTCGGCAACCTCGGTATCGAGAGTGATCTCGCTAACATCCATGCCTGCCACCGTCGCGACAAGCTTCCGGATCTCGTCGCTGATATCAGGTCGTCCTGAGCTGGTGGGCTTCTTCTCCTTCTTTTTCTTCTTTGCCTGCCCATTCAAGTCATTAACAACACTGGTGGTGGGAGCCCGCTGCTGCAATGTTGGAAGAGGAGCAAAAACCACCCCGTCATTGCGCGCGACTGCACTTGGTGTTGTTACACCAGTCACTGTACTTGTTGGGGTACGCATGACCGACTTGTCTTTCGTGAGCTTGGTCAGCATTCTGCTCATGGACGCCTTGGAGATGCGCGAGTACTGGATTCCTAGCATGACTTCAGCTAGCTCCCCGGTAGCAGCGTCGAACACGAAGACATCGCTCAAGTAAGCTGCCTCAGATTGCCGGGTATTGCGAACATATATATGCCAGTTCTCCTGGGATCTACGACTGTCAATGATTTGGCGAGGGGAACGCATAGACAAATCAATGCCCGTGGCAATATACATGTCGCCAGGTGCCAAGTCCGTCATGCAGTTGACCCAAATGCCGGCGACCTGACTGAAGCTGTCATCAAGCAGGGTATCCAACATCGTCTTGCCAGCATATCGACCGACAACACGGCCGGCACACTCATCGGCAAGACCGACAACTGAGCGCACACCACGATACATGTCTGCATAGTCAACGAACTCACCGAAGGTTCGGTAGACATTCCGGCCTTGCAGAACCTCGACATGTTCATTATCGCCAGCAGAAGCAAGCAACTTGAGAGCTTGAGAATGTGGGAATAGGCGCTCAAAACGTGCAAATTCGCCAGCATAGGACGCATCCTCTGCGGAGCGGACACGGATCTGCCCTTGAACATACATCTGCCCGTCACTATCAGAACCGACGGGGGTGCTCGAAATGCTCCAGTCCCATTGTGTGAGATCACCACCAGCTGACTTGAAGTCAAGCCAAACAGCGCGCGAGGGATCGACACAGAGAGGGGAGTGATTGACCATATCGTGCACAATGGGCTGTAACCCGTCGTCCTTCCACTCTGGATGAAGACTGAACAAGGCCTCGATGGCCATATCAACCTGCAAGGTACCAGGGCAGATAGGCGCTGTCTTTGCGATGATGTGACCGGAAACGAATCTTTTGTACTCTTCCGAACCCGTGTTGATGCGGAAGCGGGCCTGCTTTGCCGTGCGGTTGCTTCCCTTGCCCTTCTCCTGTTTGTCGAGGTACCCGATGAATGAACAAAGCCCGAGAGTCCTCTCGTCGCTCTCTATGCGTTCGATGGCTCGTCCGCTGGGGACCAGGAGCGCTGCAGCTTCTTGAATAGCCTTTGCTGGGGATTTCAAATCCAGCCAGTGCCGTGACTTCTCGAATTGATAGGGTGGGAGGACAAGGTTGACGTATTCATTGGTCTGAGATGCGTGGTGCGGCCAGAATGAGACCCTTAGACCTTGTTTCCAGAGAGAAACCGTTACATCCGTCAAACCGTCAAGCCCATTACAGTTGGTGATCTTCACTGGTTGGAAACCATACAAGCTTCCTCCAACAGGCAGCGCACGGCTTGCCATAACCGTAATACCAGAGCTCGAACCAGACTCAAGGAATATGGCTGACGGATGTTCCTCTGCAAGGCGTTGAATAGCCTGGCAGAAGAAGACAGGTTTGCGCATGTGCTTAGGCACATAAGTGGAAGTCAAGTCACTAATTGAGGATCTGGTCTCCGTTGCAAGCTCAAGTGGAATCAACGGCTGGTTGAAGGTCAATCCCCGGCCAATTTCTTCCAGTTGCTCGACGAGCGGGTCCACGAGAGACGAGTGGAAGGCATTTGTGACGTTCAACCTCTTGCTCTTGATGGCCGAGAACTTTGTCTCCTGTGCAATGGTTTCCGTAACCGCGTCGATGGCCTTTGTCGGACCTGCCAAAGTGAAGCTTCGCACTCCATTATAGCAAGCAATGTCAGCTGGGGCCACATCGGCATCCAGCTCTTTGAGGCGATGCCCGGCGGCGGCGACGAGTTCTTGAGCCAGTGATGCATCTGCCTCGATGGCCATCATCGCACCCTTATCTGTGCCCCACGCCTCCCGAATGAGTCGAGCACGTCCTGCCACCATTCGAACAGCGTCTGGGAGACTGAGGACCCCCGAAATGCAGAGTGCCACAAGTTCCCCAAAGCTGTGACCGACAACGGCAGATATCTTTCCAAAGAGACCGCAGTCAATCCATGATCGGGCACAAGAGTACTGCATAGCAAAGAGCATGGTCTGCACATGGACGGGATCCTCTTCCGGTGAGTCCGAGAAAATCCCCGGGAAAATGCTGTCGAGGCCAAAGGATTGCATGATGGCATCACACTCGTCAAGGTGATGCCTCAGGATAGCGACGCTGTCATACAGGTGCTCGTCCAGGCCAATAAATGTCGAAACCTGGCCACCGAAGCAGAGGATAACAGGACGTTCCGGCTTGTTAGGCTCGACGGACAATGAGCTCTGGGAGGAATCGCCAGCGGCGACCCGTGAGAGTGTATCTTGCAAGTGGTTGACCGAGTTTGCGGCGAAACAAATGCCGTGAGCCAGCGATGGATTGCAGATCCGGTTTACGCTGAACGAGATGTCGGCTAGGCTCGCATTTCCATTGACGTTCGACAGACTTTGCACGTAAGAAACCAGCTTGCTAGCATACCTCTGAATGCTGCGTGCATCAAGACCAGAAATCACAAATGGGAACCGCGGCTTGTGCTCAGTATCGACAGCACCCAGGGCCCTGATTGATGCCCCCGCCATTCCAAAGCTGTGGTGCTGAGATTGAGTGACCACCATGGCTGCATTTGAACCACAGGCGCCATAGTTGTTGATCAAGGCCTTCTTGCTGGTGCTGTCATTCCAAGGACGGAGAGAGGTGACAACCTCTAGCATGTCAGATGAAGATGCCTTGATGCCTGGATTCATGCGTGAAAAGCTGGCTTGTGGAGGAATGAAGTTTCTGTTCATCATCATCAGGACCTTGATCAGTGAGACGGCGCCTGATGCACCCTCGGCGTGTCCAACATGACCCTTAACTGATCCAATGGGTAGAGGTGTTGAGCGAACACTGGGTCCACCGACGGCATTCTTGATGCTGTCATATTCAGCCGGATCTCCAACCGCCGTTCCCGTGCCATGAGCTTCGACCAGAGAGATGTCGCTCGGGGCAACCTTGGACTGTCTGATAACATCTTGGAAGAGCTCGGTGAGTGATGGTGAGTTTGGCACAAACATGGGAGTGCAGTTCTGGTTTTGATAAACCGCCGAGCTAGCAATGCAGCCTAGGATCGGATTACCGTCGGCGATAGCGTCCGACATACGCTTGAGGAATACGCAAGCAATTCCCTCGGCTCGACAGAAGCCGTCCGCCTGTGCGTCAAATGGCTTGCATTGGCCCGTTGGACTAAGGAAGCTAGCTCCAGCCAGGTTCTGGAACCAGAGAGGGTTTGTACAGAGTGCCACTCCGCCAGCCAGGGCTGCATTACATTCACCCGTGAGAAGGTTACGGCAGGCCATGTGAATGGCCACTGCTGATGACGAACAGGCCGTATCAATAGTAATGGCAGGTCCGGTCCATCCGAACCAATGAGCCACCCGGCCAGCGAGGAAGCTCTGCAGATTTCCTGTAGCTGTGAAGGCATTGGGGCTGTGGCATGCCACATTATGCTCATAGTCAACTGCCGGAGAGCCGACAAAAACTCCGACATGGCCACGAGACTTGGCTTCTTTCTGTGGACTTCGAGTCGCCTCGGTGAAATAGCCAGACTGCTCAACGGCCTGATATGCAGACTGAAGCAGAAGGCGTTGCTGTGGGTCGGTAGAGGCAGACTCGCGCGGGCTACGCTTGAAGAATTTGTGATCAAAGGCATCAGAGTCACGGATGAAATTGGCGTACCACTTGCGTGATGGATCTTTGTCACCCTCGCGGAACAAGGTGTCAAATGTGATGCGATCAGGAGTGATAAGCTCGTGCTGTGACTGGCCTGTTTTCAGCATCTCGGCGAACTCATCGAGGTCCCCGGCTCCGGCCACATTGATCGCCATTCCTACCACGGCAATATCTGAGCCATTCATCTCGACATTGTCTCGTGGCTGCTCATGCAGTTGCTCCACATTGCCGGTGAGGATTGCCCTGGGACTGCTAATTGACGATTTCACTCGCACCTCCAGGGGCAGATCCGCAAAATGGAGGAGTCTGGGCCCCAAGGGACGCACCAATGTCGGTGGAGCGCATCGATCTGGGCCGAAAGTCGCAATGATAGCATCTGGATCCGAGTCGAAGATGACCCTCTTAACCGACACAAATGTGTCATACCAGTTACATTGCTGCATAAACACGGTACGTAAGGCGACCTCGTGCATAGGACCGGCACTAGCCTCCACGGGCTTCCCATCTCCCGCATTAGTATATGTGGGAAGAGCCAACCGAGAAGCGTCTGGGAGTTGCAAGCCTGGCGTGGTGCTGAGAAAGTGGAGAAATGCTTCTGTTTTCTCCTTCGTGTCGGGATTCGGGCTGTGAATGTTGCCACGAAGGCCGACCTCAGCTGTGGTGATGCCAGCGGATCGCAATCGTCTCACTAACCGTGGTGCAGCACGCTCTGTCGTCGTCACCGTGCCGCGGGAATCGTCATAGAAGACCGAGATGTATGCCTCGGGGAAAAGGTCGTCAACCACGCGCTCCATCTCTTCCTTCTGTGCTGCAGTTCGCCAAGCCGTGGCGAAAGACTTGGAAGGACCTTGTCCCTCCTTCTTGCTCCATTCGTCTTGGGCATCGATTAAAGCACCGCCCACCATTGCGAGGCGGACGGCCACGGCCCCATAGTCGTTAACATCTTTTGCGCTGTGGGAACATGCGATTGCGAAGGCGCCCAGGAGACCCATGCAGAAGCCCAAGGTCGATGTCTTCTTATGAACCACCAGTTGTGCATGAATATCAGTATCTGCCGTGGCCTTGCTGGCTCTGCGTTGCAGTTCCAAGTACTGCCGATATTGCGTCAACTGCGTCAGGACGACCAATGGGGAGAGAACCACGCTTGGCAGGGCCTCCAGCTCGCGCAGAAAATCACCTCCCCCATTTTCCTCGTGGATGTGCTTGACCCAGGTGTCGAGATCTGCAAGAAGCCGTTTCCCCTTTGCACCAACTGCATCTGTGATCTCAGGGATCTGTTTGACCATGGCATCCCAGTAGCCTGGGAGCTCTGTTACAGTCTTGAGGATCCATTCCCGAGAAGGTTCGTCTTGTAATGTGCTTTGAATTTCGTCTAGCGAATCCTTGTTCAGTTTCTCGATCTGTGATCCGAATAAGAGAATGGTTGTTGCCTCATTGGGCTCGGTAATCTTGTTCATCTTGGTGATATGTGTCCGATTGTCTAAAGTGCCGGGTCTGGGTTTCCAAAGTTAGAACTGTCTCGCGACGGTGCTACTGGCACTCTGAAAGATTCACTGATCTTGCATACCATACAAATAAGTGTACAATAATGATATTATATAGTATGTCATAGATTGAAGTGTTTCGCAGTCACCCCTCAAGGTCATCAACTACGCCTGATTGTCCCTTTATGGGGATTTACTTCTTGTTCCCGGGAGTATAATAGTTGTTACTTTCTTGCAGAGCACACTAAGAACACGACGGACATATTTGGCGATCCAATTTTCCTCATCAATTACAACCCTAATTTCATGAGATGTAAAATGCTTCCGGCGTGGCAACCGGAGGTACTTTGTAGGATAGAGATAGTCCGTAAGTTGCTTTGAAGGACTGAAGGAAGATGATAGGGATTACTAATCAGCATAGCCAAAGCCATTTTCGTATTGGTAAAGCGCACTGTTTGCCGGTTTTGGTCATCTCTCGTCGGCTCTCCCGATGCTGATTTTCGTCTGGATCGGAGGATGGGGACTGTCAGGCTTTCTAACCGCTTATGGGGCGGGAAATTTCAAACTTGTTTCAGCCTAAAGGGCTCCACTCTGATGCGACAATTTTAGGCGGCTATTATCTTTGCAATGGAATGAAGCGCAGCTCGGAGAAATAGATTATCACCAATCTTACGACGGAGCGCTTTCCGCGGCCAAACCAAGCCTATGGAGGAGAAACTAAAAGTCCGAGGCAGCATCTGCACGGATCGACCCCGTATTTAGTAGGAAAAGAAAGCTTATCAATCAGGGTCTTGTTACATTGTTCTCATTGTTATTATTATTATCTTCAGATGCATGCGGGGTTGCACGGATCATATTGAGCACCGTCACCCCTGGCAGATACGATGTCGATCATCTCGACTAAGCCAAAGGTCCGGAATTCAAGATTGCGTAATAAGGGATCCGCCGAGATGCATGGGGTATTTGTCAATCGTGTTCTGACAATCTTCAATTTCTCCTTTTGTTCAAGAATGTGGCTGTTACGCAATAAACTAAAACTCCGATGAGTCGGAGTGTCTTGGGGATCTTGGAGAGCTTGCTTTTACTTTTGGTGGAGGCCTACATCTATCTGGTTGTCAAGGATCGGTCCAGGTAGCCGGTGAACTTCAGTAGAAAAGTAGAAAACCCATTCCAGACGCACCTCAACGCTCTTCATGGGTCGCGTTCAACTTCTCCTGAAATATTGGTATAGAGTCAATATACTATATCAACCATCCGGCATGAAGAATTAAATCAACATTTCCGCCAAGCCGGCTCGGGTGAAGATACAGAGAAGGCGTCACCGTCAGCATCTTCGGCCCCCATGCCGAAGGATCCCAAGCTAGTCGAGTGGAACGGCCCCGATGATCCTGAGAATCCACAGAACTTTTCTCCATCCAAGAAATGGCTTATCACCGTGTTGTTCAGCTCGATGACAACGTGGGTGACCTTTTCCAGTAGCGTTTTCAGCGCTGCTGTCGAAGTTACCGCAAAGGAATACCACGTTTCCAACGAGGTGACGACCTTAGGAACGAGCTTAACCCTTCTGGTAGGTGCTCATACAATGTTCCACTAAAAACGCCACATGAGAATCGTTACGAGAATGGCCTAATCGCGCATCGATGTCGATAGGGATTTGCCCTTGGTCCGTTAATTTGGGGCCCCATGTCCGAGCTCTACGGCCCCTTCAAGCCACTATATCTCGGATATGCCGTTTTCGTAATTCTCCAGATCCCAGTTGCGGTAGCTCAGAATCTAGAGACGATTCTAGTATGTCGCTTTCTCGTTGGCTTTTTTGGAACCTCTCCATTGGCCGCCGTCGGCGGCGCATTCGTCGACTTCTGGGGCCCCTTGGATCGAGCTATGGCCGTTTGCTTGTATGCCGCTGCCACCTTTGTCGGACCGATTTTCGGACCTATTATGTGAGTTAAGCGGGGGGCGTGAGGAATTGTTTCTTTTCTCAAGGTCTTTCCTGACACCTCGACACCATGCATTGGTGGAGCCTCACAGTGGTGGATTTCTAGTCGACTCCCATCTTGGGTGGCGTTGGACGGCGTGGATTACTATGATTGCGTCTTCATTCTTCGGTATCATAGCGTTCTTCATCACACCAGAAACGTACCATCCGGTTCTACTGCACCAGCGGGCAGCGAAATTAAGGACTGACAGGAATGACCCGGCCTATTATTCCCTGCTCGATAGGAGTGCGCCGACCTTTCGAGACGTCTTAACCAAATACCTCTTTCGGCCATTCCAGATGCCTGCGATGAAGCCAATACTCGTCTGTTTCACTATCTACATCTCTCTTATCTATGGTATTCTCTACCTGCTTTTTACAGCATACCCTATCTCATTTTCGCAGCACCGCCATTAGCAGTCTGCTGGCGTTGCTGCTCTACCGTTCCTAGGCGTGATGGTGGGCATCATTATTGGTGGTATCTTTATTACTATCACAACTAAGACTTACTACGCTCGGAAATTGCACGGCGGTGCGGTCCGACCCGAAGACCGTCTTCCTTCTATGATACCCATGGGGGTACTCTTTCCTGCGGGGCTGTTCTGGTTTGCCTGGACCTCGAATAGCTCGGTCCCTTGGCCGGTGCAAGTGGTTGCAGAGATCCCTACTGGTGCAGGCATTCTCGTCATCTGGTTGCAGGGACTGAATTATCTGATGGACGTATACTTCATGTTTGCTAACTCAGCACTCTCAGCAAATACACTGGTACATAGTACGGTGGGGGGAGCATTCCCACTCTTTGCTACGTACATGTATGATACACTGGGAGTGGCTTGGGCTACCTCCCTGTTAGGGTTCCTCAGCGTCGCGATGATTCCGATCCCGTTTGTGTTTTACTTCTACGGGCCTAGGATCCGGGCTCTGAGCCGATACACTCCCAAGTTGTAAATGGTTTTATCATTTTCTATTGTATCTATTTCAAGTGGGTTGTTGATAAAGTGGGCAATGTACATAGCAGTAAATACAAAATATCCTCTAATACGTACAATTTGTTCTCTTGTGGCCTGGACCAAGGCCTTCTTGCTGAAGCTCATCGAGGAGCTCCCGGGCAAGATTGTTGATATCTTTCAAGTTGTCCAGCGCATTGAACAAAGCGCCTAGGCCGCAACCTGCCTCCTCCCCATCCATGCTGGCCATGTGGGGTGAATTGGCGTGAGAAGTAAGAAATTCCACGGCTTGTGAGAGTGCGCTTGGAACAAAGGGGTGAACCTTGGGAATAGATGAGCAAGTTTCCAAGCAATTGACAGGGGCTTTGATTACTCTCAGCCTTACCTTGAAGCGCCCGATCCTTGGGATGACTCGGGCCAGACGGATCAGCTCCACAGCAGCCCGGAACGCGCGCTGCTGGTAGGTCGATGCTCTGACTTGATGTTCGGCTGACTGCCAATTGGCGTTCTCGGTTGTCGTACTTAGGTATATGATGGCACCCTGCGCGAGCACGTAGGTAAAGGTAAGCAAAGGATCGAGGTCGAGGTTCGATGTCGGCGCAGGAACTGAGGGGCTATTCCATTTGCCACTGCGATTAGATCCGTGGAAGCTTTGTGCAATGGACTGACGACGCTTCTCCACCGCTGCAGCCAAGGCGTCATGCCGGGACCAGAACTCGCGTGTCTCAGATCCTCCCTTTGATAGGGTCACTGCTGATGCCATGCGCCGGTGGGACATACATCGGCCGCACAATGTCGCGAGGAGGATGCATTCCGCAAATGGGGTGGCTACTGGTGCCCGTCCATTTCCATCCAAAACCTCAGGCAAAAAGTCCGTTTCAATGGGTTGATTGCTTTGGAAATTGGCCTCGGGTGCTGGGAGCCGGGTTCGTATCTAGGAATTATGAGATATAACGTACCAGCCTCGGGTTAAAAGGTGTATGGACTCACAGTATCTTCATCCAGAGTAAGCGGCCACTCGTTGCGCCAGTTCAAAAATCGATCCAAGCAATATGCCATCCAAAAAACTCTCCTTTTTTCCTCTGTTCTAGAGAATAACTCGTTCCGTAAATGAAGCTGTATAGGGTTATGCCCATAATTGATGCCCTCAACACCCTCTATAGCAAATTCCATTGCGGCTGATGACGAACACGCAGAATCAATATCAAATAACCTCGCGAGCTGAACAAGACGGAATGCTCTGCCAGCGGTAATCATCGCTTGGTGCTCATCCTTGCGGAGGAATTCATATTGCGCAACCAGTAGCCATGACTGGATCTGCTCCAGGGGCATATCGGTGCTCGTTGAACGAGGGCGATACTTCCTACCGCTACTCATGGGCCTGATATCTAGTGCTCCAAGCATTCCTCTTGTCTCTGTATAAAGGGTATCTTCGATCTCTCGAAACTGAGAAGATGCGGCTGCTGCTGCGGTGTGCATTGCCCGCTGAAGACATGCCTGTGCAGGCGTGGGACAGTAATTTTGATCCAAGGCCCATTCGAAATATTGTTGCTTGTGCACAATGGGGGAAATGGGGTGAACGCGTTCGAAGAATAATTGGTCCCTGATGCCAACATAGTTAGAAATGCCATACCACATGTACGGGTCAACAATGACTTACAGATCCTCCCGTACCAACGCTGGGATACGCAGATTATCGGAAACCAGAGTTGGAATAGGTTCGTACTGTTTCACTGGGGTTGTCGTACCCAGGTTGGACATGATGATACCACCAGCCGCATGCCAGTCCGTATAGGCAGCAGGCATAGAGTCCACGTTGGTGAGATCCATACTAGACAAGTGAGGTGACAGATCAGGGAAGTCTTGAAAGTCAGACAAGTCTGTCAGATCCGGTGATTTCCCATCTGACCCAGCAAAGAGAGGGCCTATATTGCCGGAGTCGTATTCTAAAAGTGTGGTGCCTCCATCCCGGCCTCCTGTTATAATTTCTTCAAATGGGGGTGTTGATTCTGGCGTCCTTTGAACCTTTGTTGTTGGTCCATCGAGACCATCAAGTTGTCCGACGAGTTGACGTTCGAGCATAGCTAGGGAACGGCGTCGTTGAATTAAGCGACAGGTTTTCTTTAGCATGATAGACACAACTTACCAACTCTGCTTCGTAATGCTTGGAGCTGCCCTTTTTTTGGACCTCGTTGTGGCCGTTTCTCGTTCACGATACATAGTGTCCCATTTTCTATACAGCTTCCGCATACTGGTCGGACACGATCACACCGTGCCTTTCGTCTTCGGCACTCCTCGCAGGCCAAACCGGGCCGTTGTCGGATATTCGCTGTCATGGTTGAAGTTCCCTTGCTTGCAGGTAGTCAATGCGACAAGCATCACCCGGCGTGACGAGTGTAGATTTATTATGAGACAAGGAACAGCCATGGCTTGGAGCAAATCTAGACTGAAGATTCTATTTAAATAACGTGGCGTGACTTGGCTCCTAATGCCCCCTCATCTTCACCCCCCCCCTTCTTCCCTGATACGACCTCAAGCACAATACGACATCCAGACCATCAGAACCGTACTTCTTGGAAGCGAATGGTTCGTCTCTAGCTATGGATGTATGTAAGAAATTAGTTGGCCTGCGATATGAGAATATGAGATTATTAATGTCCAATAGTAATTCACTTTTTTTATGAAACCAGTGTGATATAATGGGTGGAATTCCTGCCAGGATCTTCGTCAGCCGGGAGAACCAAAGTACCTTACGAGCTCGCGTGGTTCGGCTTAATCGACGGATGGGGGCTATACGAGGTTTGAGCAGGCAGGCGAGCCCAGGGGTCGAATCAGAGAGTCTGACACGCATATACGGAGTAGCAGTACATAGCCTGATGGACTCAGCTAGCGCGCCTGAAGCGTTGGCTTAGTCTTCAGAAAGTATAACCCATTTGCACAGTAATAGTTGGCCTGTATTATGGACAGGCGCTGGCGCTAGCACGACTTCGTACATATGTCCCATACTTATCTGCCCGACCAGGATCTAATTCACCCGGTGCCTAGATCGGTAAGTCTACTTTGCATAGACTCCGTGCTTGAGATAGATTCTCGTGTTGAAGCAATACGGTGGCCGGGCGCACGCCCTGAGACAAAGTCTGCCATGGACCCCAAAAGTTTGTATTAACCACCTGTCATGCTCATCACTCATTGGTTGATTGTGGGGAAGTGAACTCTAGTTGTTTTTCCGAGATAATTACCACTATATTCGTCTCATACGGTAATTGCTCAATCTGGATGGGATAAATAAGCTTTGTGGAATAACTCACCCTATCTGAAGAGACATTGTCAAGTCCAGTGTAGTTCATGGCACCAATTAGGAGAAGGTTCTGCTGATGCTACTCACTCCTAATCCGGAGCGGGGTCTTAGTGGCGATGAAGATCCTGGAACCGCCTCATTTATCCCTCCAATGGTCTAGATGAAAGTAATTACAATCTCTAGCCAAAGGAAGCGAATGAGGAGATTGCACTAGCTCGGCGCTATCATATACTGTCATCGAATTTGTACGGTCGCTTAACGATTGTAAGCCCCCTCCTTTCCCGCTTGTTGTAGTTTCCGTTCATCTACGTCTTCAGGTATGGGTGGCCCCTTAGGTAATTTTTGTTTAAACATGTTTAACCAGTTACATTGCCCTTTCTCTTCCTCTTCTACTAGTTGAGGTTTGCGTTCCGGGCATCACCAGGAGACTTAGACTATGTAGGTGTCGATTCCCACCTCGATATATATACTTCCATTCACTGTACTCGAACTGCTTTTGGGCAGCTTGACGCTGATAAATTTGGGTTTTCTGTATCATCAATGCCCATTTTCTGTTATCCTTTGACACGGGCCGCGAGGAAAATGCCCGGTAGGTCATCAACAGGCGGCACTACAATACCTGTGAATAATTGTCTCAATAGGTCTATTCTCGTCGTTCCCTATGATGATCGATTTGGGAACCAAATTACACAGATGGGGAAAGATGAATATATGAGGACCGTCGTATATGGTACACCTGAGGCTCTCTTGGATCGTTTATGTAAAGATATCTCCCTCGTCCTTAAAGAATAAAAAAGCATTACGTTTCAAGGACGACATCCTGCACCGTATATATAGTAAATGTCGTTATTTCTACGCCCATCGTCCACGGAAAATGACATCGTAAAAGGATTTTCTTGACGGTTGGGAACCTGGATGGGAATCATGTAGTACAAGGGGAATCAGCCATTGAAGTATGCGAATAGGCTGCTCCTGTATTCAACACGCGCGTAGTATCATTTGCTCTCAGACTTTGTTGGAATATGCCGATTATTGAATGAATCTTGATTCCTGAATACGTCTCCTCTTAATGTTCAGTCCATTTCAAAGTAACTCGCCTTATCCCAGACTCTGTTCAATATCCCTTCGTGGCTATGATCCTGCCATCCAATCTATAAAGGTCGGTCCCACAGCCCATTCTATACGAGAGCTCAAGCTCCCATCCCCTGATGCCCTACCACCGCATAACCGTCCTTCCTCGCCCCGATCCCTTCACCCGGACCTTCGCCGCGCACCTCCTCCTCAGTCGCATGCTCCACACCCTGTCTATCATCATTATCAGTCTTCCCCTGCGGCTCGCCATTTACTGGTGAACCCAAGTCCCCTGAAATATGTGCTAAGATCACTGAAGTAGGAACCATTCCTTGCTTCTCATCCCCTCGCCATGTGCCGGTCGCCTTGTAGAATCCGTGAAGCAGAACCAAGACATCATCCGCAAGCCACTGCTCTGTCTTATACGTGTCCTTCCCTACCCGCGAGCGCAGCAATGCCACGACCGAATCCACGTTCGGTCCAATGAGGATGATCGCCCCACACAGCGCGACTGTCAGTGCCAGTCCTAGCACAGAGAAATTCTGGTATCCCGCAGCGTTGTGGACGAGCTGATTTGTGCACTGCGCGCGGGCGTAGCTGTTCAGAGGTGTGGTGACATTCCACCCCACGGAGGAGGTATCAAGCAATGAACTGGCCGGGAAGTTGCGTGGGGCAGTGGCCCATTCCACGGCCCAAGCTTGCTCTTTAGCCAGGGAGGTGGCGAACCAGGTCATGACTTCCGTTTGCCATTGGGTTGAAGGGATGGCGAATTGGATGTTGCCGTGGGCGATCGCGGATGCTTTGATTTGGATTGTTAGAGATTGTAAAAATGGGGGTTTGAATCCATGAAGTTGGCTTGCTCGGATTGAAGTTTACCATTCAACGCCGCGGCTCCCCGCCCATTCACATTCGAATACATACTCCGGTCATTGTTGCCAGACAGAAAGCGCCCGATGGTTGCGATCTGGGCCGCATTGAACCCGAGGTACTTGGTTGGGTCGGTGGTGAAACTCGCAAAGGATGTACTCAGGATCCCGCCGAGCTTGGTGCACTTGGTCGTCTCGTTGCCTGGTCGGTTCGGGTTACAAATCTGGTACTGGTCGGTGCAGACGAGGAGGTTCGCCTGGTAGCTCTTCGCCCACATCGAAGTGGTGAAGTTCGTGTTGTTCAAACTATTGCTTATGGGCACGAGGGCGGTCATCCACGGGTCATAGCTCGGTTCCAGATAGCCCATGTTATTCTGGTTGAGCATCATCATCGTGATGTCCGCGTCGGTGGTGTTGATGGCGGGATCGGGCACCCAGCTCTGGGTTGCGTTGAGAAGGCCAGTCGGGTCGGCTTTCGCGAAAACAGCGCTATGAGCAGAAATTTAGCACGCGCGGTGGGTAGAGCTTAGGTGATAACAAATAGTAAAAGGATCTTGGAATGGCAACTTCTAGCCGGCTTCTTACCTCAGCATATAACCCACTCCGTCGAGGCTTGGGATCGGGGCGTAGGAGAAGGTGTAGTTGAGGTATTCTGTTCCCTCAGCGTACTGCCCGCCCGCATTGATATAGAGGATGAAACCGTATTCTGAAGAGTTCTGCGCGGTGGCCAACCCTGATCCATGCTTGACTGGGGCACAGGTAGTGACGCGGCGATACTTGATTCGATTATGGAGGTGAGCGTTGATGCCGAAGTCTGCGTGCGAGTCTAGGAAGCCAGTATCCATCTGTAGGGCTGCGTGGCTATTATAAGCGCACAGATCGTTGGCGTAGGGGCAGGAGGCATTCGGATTGGTAGTGAATGAAAGATTCGGACGAACGTAAGTGCTGCAGTCGAGCTCGCTCGCATTCTCGTGGTAACATCTTCGGACGTATGTGGCAGCGTCATAGGTATCCTGGAGATTTTTACTGATGACGACGCTCAAATCACTGGCATTGTACTCATACCCTCCGCAGCCTGGGCCCAAGAGAAGAGTCGATTGGCCCGCCGTCTTGGTTATGTAGCTTGTGAATAGACCCGATGCCGCAAACAGACTGAGAACGAGGACTGGAGGGATCGTCATGGCAAGAGCACGTCTCAGTGCTGTCGCTTTGGATAATGTCCGGTCATCTGCAAATGGTAGCTTCAATAGAGCCCAGGCCGCTGAAGCTGCACCTTTGTTCCGTAGGATGGCCTGACACTGGTAATGAAACGCATCTCGCCGCTGGGCAGGATCTGTTGTTCTGAGTTGATGGATAACGAAACTCAGAATACTCCAGAAGAAACCACCGGCAACGTTGGCGAGCATGGCAAGAAACGCGGTCAGAATTCCAGCGTCCGCTTGGGATAAAGTTAGAGTGAGCCCACGGACTATGCCTTCGGACCAGTTAGTCCAGACCCCGGTATAGGTATAAAGTCCAGCAGACATGATGATAATGATGATAATGTTGTGGTGAAGTGGTTAAGTGTTGAGCTTTAAGTAACCGGCCTGAACAAGGAAGGGCGGTTACGGTTGCCTTCACTGAGGAGTGTTCTGTCAACTGAGAGCAAATCGCCTCATAATACATCTTTCTTTCTTCGCTCAGCTGAAACATCTCCTGATTTGGCGGTGTATGTTTGATGGGGTTCCGGGACGATTGGTTGACTCTCGGTTTCACTGTCCTGGGACTTATCGGCATCAAAATACCCTGGCCTAGACTCAGCCCCCGATGAGCCTTAATGACCGAGGAGAACATCACCCCAAAACGATAAAAGGTTTTGCCCGGGTTCCGTTGAGGGTCATGATCGCTTATATATTCCTTGGGACACCGGAATACGAAAAGGTGGCGTTTGGAAGACGACCTGTAGCCTGCAGCTTATGTCACACTTGACGACCAAGTTCCTGCGACTGAAAATAAGACCGAATGATTCGTCACAACACTAGACACTCGGACCATGCCTTCATTGGGTACGACTACGATCATACAATATCCTATCCAGGACTGGCACCGACCTTGGCTGGGGCCTTCAGAGCGTAGTCCTACATTGTCCTTCTGGTTGCCTAGGATGCCTTTTACAGTCAAATCTCTATAGTCTAGACTCCTATAGCTTTAGAAACGCCGATTGTTAAAACAATTTTCTGGTCACAATTATTTTGCTTATATTATACATAGTTAAGACTGCTAAGACCGTCGCATGGTTATATTGATGTCGTCTTATGAGATCTTCAGATCATTGAACACCAGAGCTCGGGATTCGGGTAGCAAACAGGTACGTCAAATTATCGATGTATTGGCCAAGTGGAGGCTCAACATCCGGGTCCCGGGAGGGCTTTAATACCGTTGGTGGATATGTCAATCGGAATCTAGATAGGCCGCGATTTGCTGACATGCCGGATAACTGGATAATCTTTCTCGATTTTCGACAATTTGAACAAGCAAAGGAAGTTTGCCGGTCCCGCCTTTGGGGTAAGGATTGAAGGAAAGGGACGGGCGTGCGATCTAGCTTGAATTTAGACTTCATCTACAAAAGAACAATATATTGAACTATATACTATTTTTGATAATAGAACATCAAGGCAAGAATCAAAAATGAAGCGGTAAAAGGAAGGAGGAATGACGAGCAGACCTAAATACATTTGGAATGGCAGCTATTGAACGGACTCCGGTCGTACTTACCTAACTACTTAACAAGTAACTAGGTAACTAGTGACTAACCACCAACCCCAGTTGATAACTAACTAGCCACGCATTCAAGTTCAACAAATCTTAGGAAGTAAGCGGCAATAGGAGATATGACGCTGTGGCACCACCGGTATGCACAATATGCTGTCCCTTGTTTCTTGACTTCGGCCTGGGATCATTCGGGCGGAGGTGTGGATGAGGATTGAATCCAGATATTGTCAGGCGCATCACTTCTCCCGCATCGAAGATCCATCCATATGGCCATATCTCCAAATCTGCAGCAACCACCTCTTTGGCCTTCAAAAGTCGCTCCTCTTTATGAGTGTAAGCCGGCTGGAATTCAGTGCTGTGAGCCTCATCCAGACCACGGTGCGAGACTCGCAGAGAACCGAGAGGCCCAGAGCTAAAATAACTTGAACAAAATTTGGGATCTCGTTGGTTTACGGTGATAAGATCACAGCGCTCCTTTTCAGGGTCATCCGCCAGCCAGCCAACATCAATGACCGTGGACTTCTGTAGCTCTCCCTCGGCGTTGTACTTTTCGAGTGTGACAAAAATATCCATATCATCCGATCCATCAGCCTCAAGAAATAGGCGCAACCTCGATGGCCCGACAAATTCCATTTTAGAAGGAATTTTGTAAGTAAAGATTAGCGATCCAGTTGTAGCCGGGTATGCACGGGCGCATGATTCCTGGGAGGTATGGGGCTCTATCATGCCTGAATTGCCATTGAGGAACAATTTGAATGGCTTCTCTCGGGTCAATGGATAGTTAGTCTCGGGTCGATTAACGATATCTCGCCCACCAGTGCCCAGTACGCTCAGGCGGACGGTTGGCGTGAAGTTCCAGCCATTATTGATGTCCCTCATGTAATAATCATAGAAGTAGCGCAATGACTCGACGTTATTATGATTGTATAGATCTGAGATTTTGGAGTCAGGAAGGTCCGCCGAGATCAAAGTTAGAGACTTGTCATACCTGGCCATTCATGAGAATTATGGACACGCAACCACTTCTCTTTGCTACTACTCTCGATGAAAGCCTTCAGAGTTCCTCGGGTATGTAGAGGATTAGTCCAACTTGCGACGACATACAGTGGAACTTGAATCCTTTTCAAGTTCGCTCGCCGACTTTCCCAGTATGAATTCCAAAGCGGATTCTCCTCGGTAGTTTGAACAATTTCTTCCACCGAGTTCTTTCCGCTCAGGTCACCAAGAATTAAGCCGCTCGCAAAGCCAGCGTCGGGAATACCTGTCAGATAGATAGAGATCAGCTACCAGTGTTGAGAATTTCAAGACTCTTCAAGCCTTGATTAACCGGGTTATCCAATGTGCTTTTCTTTTGATATGTCAAAAAGTTGGAGCCTTCTTACCTCCCCGTCGAACTTGATCATTATACATATCATTAAAGCCTTCCCATGGTGCGAGGCAGGTCAAATGAGGCGGCTGTTCGGCTCCAACGAACCACTGTGTTGCAGCCAGGAAGCTATTTCCGGACATTGTGACCCTGCCGTTCGACCAATTTTGACCGGCGATCCACTCGACAACATCATATCCATCTTTGCCCTGCTCAGCACAGGGGAAAACTGCATTTCCATCCGAGTTCCAGGTTCCTCTCATGTCTGATAACTATTAGAACTTCTCTCTTGGAAAAAAAGCATTTTACTTGGAGCTTTGTGTTGGTCTCACCTGCACACACGATTGCATATCCATGGAAGCACCAGAATGCCGGGTCTGGTCCTTCAAAGACCTCCAATCCGGAAACTACCTTCCTTGGAACACCGCATCGCCATTCTCTGGCATCGAAGTTCCTCCGATTAGGGCCACCCTGCTTTCCGAAGGGTGTGAAAACGAAAATTGTCGGCACAGTACCAAGCTTGGCATTGGGTGGGCGATACACGTCCGCGTATAGACGCGTACCATCTCGCATGACCACCTCAACGTCTTGCTCTAGGAGGATGTCACATGGAAGAGGCAGATGGCCATCGCTATGGACTGACCCTTTGGACAGTACTTTGGAAGACGGGTTGAATCCAGGATAGAACTCACTGGACTCCAGGGGATTTGCTGGGATCCATCGAAGATTATCGGCCATGACTAACAATGGTGAGAATCGCTGTGTTCCCTGATTTTTTCAGAGGGCTCCTTGACAAATGTTTTTCAGGTTTCCCGTTCAAGATATATGTCTATTGGGGCACGTTGTCCGTCGCGGCGTCTGTTTTGTTCATGCCCCCCCCCCCCCACCCGAACCCAATGCCGTGGTTGTTACCAGAATTGTTAACCCGCGGGATAAAAGACCATGGTCATCATTTCGTCCACGGAATAAGAAAGGCCTCGTGTCCAGGGGGTGGGTCCCGGCACTAAGAATGGGAAAGTCTTGCCGATCACATTGTCCTGGACGAGTGTGCGTCGAGACTGACAAAACTATCTGTTCTGCTTAGCATTAGCATTCATAGCCAACTGGTAACGGGTTGTTTGTCAAGTTGTGCGCCACGACAAAATCGTTTTCTTTGGGTGTACTAAACCCACACACAGGGATCTTATTTTGGTCCTCACCTGAGCTTCGCGTAATCAATTTGGAATTTTATTTTCTAGCCCATGGGAAGCGTGCCTTGGGGTTTTCAATGAAACATAAGGGTTCCCATCGAGTCACAGCGATTTTCGAGCCATATCAAGGACCAAAGAAGCTCACGACCACGCTCTTGACTCTATTAAATCATTGCTGGAGGGGGAAAGACAAAATAAGTCACTGGGTCGAAACAAGGAACCTCCGATGGCCAATAAATGGTGGAATCTTGAGAAACGGGGTTGAATTGGAGTAAATTTCACAAATGTGGTTGTCGAAATTATAGAAGACTGCCCAGCACCACCGCTCTTGTCCTATCTACGTAATGGGTGTAGGTGAATCTCTTTCGCTAACAATAGGAGCGATATATACGGAGATAAAATATTCCAAAGTAAGACGATAAATTGGTGATTCTGTGGTTGTTGCACTATACATTGACCTGCAGTGCCTCGCTATGACCCATCACGGTTTTCAACGCCTATGAATTGGGTTCAGTCTTGGTTCTGAGCACGACATCCTCAACCAGTTCAACGTCTGCCTCTTTCATCACCTTTTCCTCCGCTGCTTGGCGCGCAGCCTCGTTGAGGTTGCCTTGAATTTTAGCCCGACCGAGAAAAATCCCCTTGTTCTCAAACAACTCGGAAATATCTTCCAGTTTGTATCCCCGAGTCTCAGGGAAGAAGAAATAGACAACAATCAGGAACTGTACAAGCATAGCGACATACACCAGATAGTACTTCCATCCGATAGCATCGAGCGCGATTGGCGACACGAAGGAATTGAAAATATTTGCACAGCTGTTGCCAACGTAGGCCATTGCCATAACCTTTTGACGACTGTGGAAAGGCAGAATCTCCACCGAGTAACCTATGGGTCAAGGTCAACAAGGGCCGGCACGTTTCTGAGAGTTTGGTAGACTCACTCTGGCTAAGAGGCGTAATTCCCACCGAATAATGAACCTGGAAGAGGAATATGAGCACCAAGACGGCCTTTGCCAGGCCTGGGGAATCATTTTTGGTGTATAGTGCGGAGCAAACTGTCCATGCTGTGTAGGATACCAGCATACCACCAATTGAGAAGAGCCAAAGAGGACGACGACCAAGTCGATCAACGAGCAGACTTCCAATAATCGCCGCTACCCAGCTGACAATTTGGAGAATACCGTTGATGAGGGTCTTATCTCGAGATCCCGTAATTCCCACGGTATCAAGGATCAATGACAAGTAGTAACTTACCACACCGTTACCACACCATTGAGTGAGAAAGGATAGATAGATCACAAGTACGAGTCGCTTGCGATCGGCTGCTGTTTTCCATAACTGCTTTTGGTCAGCACGTGGTTTCAACTGAATCGGTTGACAACACTTCCGGAACAATATACATACTTGTTGCCAGGTAAGCCTCAGTCCCTGTGAGGGCATATGCTGCTGGATATCTTGCATCTCATGCTCAACGAGTGGAGAGTCCTCATGACCATTGGCGTGGTATTTCACCAAAAATGCCCTTGCTTCCTCAACCCGGCCTTTGCCAACCAGCCATCTCGGAGATTCAGGAACCCAGAAAAGGACTATAAACTGCAACGACGGAATGGCTAACTGAAGCAGAGAAGGGATACGCCAGGTCCAGGTGGATGAATCCATCCGGTAGGTAGCATAGGTAGTCCAGCTAGACAGAATTGCTCCAGCAAAGTAAAAGGTTAACCCCAGACTGGTGAATTTTGCTCGATGGGTCGGATAGGCGAGCTCGGTCGTTAATACTGGCGAAGGAACCATGCAGAACTCAATGCCAACTCCGATGATAAATCGAGCAGCGATGAACATGCCAAGGTTTTGGGCCGCAGTTTGAATGATAGCAGCGATAACGATCAAGGCACAGCCAGTTTGAAGAGCAATCCGTCGTCCAAAACGATCGGCGAACCATGCAACGACTCCTGCGAATAAGATCTGCAATTAAACTAGATCATCAGAACAAGGATAATGGTTAGAGTGGGGATAAGTGCGAACCGGTCCCAGATTTAACACAGCATTAGTCAGACCAAGAAGGGCGGAGTTTGGATTATTGAAGTAGGTACTCCAGGTTGACAGAGATTGCAATCCATTCATCATGGACCCATCAAAACCCATACCGGTGGCCGAAAGGCTGACGCATAGTATGTAAAAGTTGAGCTTAAAGCACCGCTATGTAGCGCTAGCTGGAACCCCTTGATCATCTGGTCTAGGATCTCTTTTGATGGGCTCGGAGGGCTATTTGACCGCCGTTTTAGTAGATCTTTTAACATAGAAGCTTGCTTGAATAGCTGAGTAGCGGTTCTAGGCGTTTGTGGTGTGAATTCGCTAGATCTGCTGCTTGGCCGGCTGCTTGGTGGTGTCGGAGTTCGTAGAGAGATATTAAGCTTATTAAGCACTCTCTCGGTAACGTAATTCACGCCCGAGCGGATCACACGCCCGAGCGGATCACCCCAAAACACCATACTAAGTACCTTCTTTTAGTTCGCCCATATTTCGACCACCAAAGGTTTGTTTCGATCAAGAATTAAGATCATGTATATACTCTGATACAGGAAGAGCTTAAGTAGAATTTTAGCTATATATAAGGATGATTTGGATGCGTTACCATAAATTACGCTGTATTTTTGTCCCTTAAGACTTAATTATTTATAATTGCATCAGTACTGTGATCAGTTCTCCTAAAGTTTGCTAGTGAGCTAGAAATAGTATTAAGTCTATGACCCCTTAATATTCAAATATAAATTCATCTGGTTGTTAAGATATGAAGTTGTAATTTATCGTATTTAGTATGGTGTTTTGGGGTGATCCGTTCGGGCGTGTGATCCGCTCGGGCGTGAATTACGTTATCTAACGTAATTCCCGGTCGAGTCGGTCACCCGGTCGAGCCGGTCACTTTCCCATAGAAGAGCAATTCAAAATCGATTATCTCAACCAACACCGATTAATTTAACTAGATATAGCGATTTTTACATACATTAATCCTATGGCCAATCTCCCTGCACCCACTACACCTAGGTGGTGCCCTCTTTGCTGGCATAATTGGCTGACTAGGCAATTCAATCTCTGCATGCGAATCTACCTCATTATCTTCCTCTGGCTGGTTTAGCTGCTCAGCTAGCTGTATAGCCTCCTCAATGGTTAAACCCTCTGCGCAGGGTATCCTCCTAGTTGACCGATTGCGCTTTTTGATCATCTTCTCACTCGCTATACGTAGATTCGCATTATCCTCTGCTAGTAAAGCACCGCTGTGTAGCGCTAGCTGGAATCCCTTGATCATCTGGTCTAGGATCTCTTTTGATGGGCTCGGAGGGCTATTTGACCGCCGTTTTAGTAGATCTTTTAACATAGAAGCTTGCTTGAATAGCTGAGCGGCGGTTCTAGGCGTTTGGGGTGTGAATTCGCTAGATCTGCTGTTTAGCCGGCTGCTAGGTGGTGACGGAGTACGTAGAGAGATATTAAGCTTGTTAAGCACTCTCTCGGGGTCTAATGGTACTAGACCACTAGCTGCGAAGCTGTTTTTGATAGTGAGATTGGTTGATTGGAACGCTTCGAGCCGCGCGCGCTGGTAATCCACTAAGAAATCGTGCTTGTCGATATGGTTATATCCTCTACGCGCAAGATCGCTAACGAAGCGACCGTACGCGCGCTTAACCACTGCAAAACACCCAACATCTAGTGGTTGTAGTAGATGCGATGAATGCGCAGGCATACAAAGAGGTATAATATCGTTTTCTTTGCAGATCCGATCGAATTGGGGCGTAAGGTGGCTACCATGACCGTCAAGAATTAATAGCCGAAACCGACCTCGTACGCGCGAATTCGTGTGTGGGATAAAGTGCTTTTGTAACCAGCGTAGGCCAATCTCATCGGTAGTCCAGCCATTCTTTGAGACCTCGATTCGCCAGTCTTTCGGTAGGTTTTCGTTAAACCATCCTGCAATAGCCACTTTGCCTTTGAAGACTATACATGGCGGTAGTGAATAGCCGTCTGCGCAGATTGCTTCGATCGCAGTAACCCATTCGCGATTTCCTGGTTGTAGAAGAGATCTCCGACCGTAGTATTCAGCCCTTGTGACTACTTTCTGCGAAGATATAAGGCCCATTGCAAAGCCTGTCTCATCAAAGTTGTAGATATCCTCTGATTGTATACCGTTCTCGTCAATAACGCTTTGTACGGTCGCGAACCAAGCTCGGAGGGTCTTCGGGTCTTCGTTTAATGCGCGCTGGTAGTCGTAGCGTCTCGAGAAGCGAGATTGAAGCTCTAGGCGGCGATGAATGAACGATGAGGGCCAATTCTTACCCACGGTAGGTAAAGGGTAGCTACCGCGCGCGGCCAGTAGGATATTAGCCATTTCTCCCACAGTAGCCGGTCTAGGGGCTGCTCCACGCGTATCCATAGAGAGTATCCATTCAGTAAGCGAATCCTCTTCTAATTGGGTCAATTTATGGCCATTTGGGCGTATATCAACGCGTGACGCTCGGCCATGAGAGCGCGCATAGAGTGTAGCGTAGGGAATTTTGTATAGCTTAGCAGCTGCGTGAATAGATTTGATTCGGTTATTTTTGATATCATCAAGGGCTAATAAGATCTTGCCCTCCTGATTAGTCGATTTTTGCTGCGATTCAGATCGAATTGGTGGCATGATAGATGGTTGAAGTTGGTGTGTAGGTAGGAAGACGCGATTTTCAAAGTGGTTATCCGCTCGACCGGGTTATCCGCTCGGGCGGGAATTACGTTAACGTAATCCACGGCCGACCGGATCACACGGCCGACCGGATCACCCCTTCTAAATTCGCGTCTTTCTACCAACCTGATTAATTCAACCACCTACCATGCCACCAATTCGCAGTGAATCTAGCCATAAATTGGCCAACCAAGAGGGCAAGATCCTATTGGCCCTTTCTGATTTAAAAGAGGGCCGTATCTCTTCTATCCGCGCAGCAGCAAAGCTATATGAGATACCCTACACTACCCTACATGCGCGCGCCGATGGCCGAGTCTCACGCGTTGATAAGCGCCCATCTGGTCATAAATTGACCCAAACCGAAGAGGATGCGCTTGCTGAGTGGATATTATCTATGGATTCACGTGGAGCAGCGCCTAGACCGGCTACTGTGGGAGAAATGGCTAATATCCTACTTGCTACGCGCGGTAGTAACCCTCCGCCTACTGTTGGTGTTAATTGGCCATCAAGCTTTATTAAACGCCGCGATGAGCTTCGGTCTCGCTTCTCGCGAAGATACGATTACCAAAGAGCCCTAAACGAAGATCCGAAATCGATTCGGCAGTGGTTTACGACCGTACAGCGTACAATCGATGAGAAGGGTATACAACCGGAGGATATCTACAACTTTGATGAGACAGGCTTTGCAATGGGCCTTATATCTTCGCAGAAAGTAGTTACAAGAGCTGAATACTACGGTCGGAGGTCTCTTCTACAACCAGGAAATCGCGAATGGGTTACTGCGATCGAAGCAATCTGCGCAGATGGCTATTCACTACCGCCATGTATAGTCTTTAAAGGCAAAGTGGCTATTGCAGGATGGTTTAACGAAAATCTACCGAAAGACTGGCGAATCGAGGTCTCTGCCAACGGTTGGACTACCCATGAGATTGGCCTACGCTGGTTACAAAAGATCTTTATACCATATACGAATTCGCGCGTACGAGGTCGGTTTCGGCTATTGATTCTTGATGGTCATGGTAGCCACCTTACACCCCAATTCGACCGAATCTGCACAGAAAACGATATTATACCTCTTTGTATGCCTGCGCATTCATCGCATCTACTACAACCACTAGATGTTAGGTGTTTTGCAGTGGTTAAGCGCGCGTACGGTCGCTTCGTTAGCGATCTTGCGCGTAGAGGATATAACCATATCGACAAGCACGATTTCTTAGTGGATTACCAGCACGCGCGGCTAGAAACGTTCCAATCAACCAATCCCACTATCAAAAACAGCTTCGCAGCTAGCGGTCTAGTACCATTAGATGCTGAGAGAGTGCTTAACAAGCTTAATATCTCTCTACGAACTCCAACACCACCAAACAGCCGGCCAAGCAGCAGATCTAGCGAATTCACACCACAAACGCCTAGAACCGCTACTCAGCTATTTAAGCAAGCTTCTATGTTGAAAGATCTACTAAAACGGCGGTCAAATAGCCCTCCGAGCCCATCAAAAGAGATCCTAGACCAGATGATCAAGGGGTTCCAGCTCGCGCTTCACAGCGGTGCACTACTGGCAGAGGATAACGCGAATTTGCGCATAGCGAATGAGAAGATGGTCAAAAAGCGCAATCGGTCAACTAAGAAGATACCCTGCGAAGAGGGTTTAACCATTGAAGAGGCTATACAGCTAGCTACGCAGCTAAACCAGCCAGAGGAAGATGATGGGGTAGATTCGCATGCAGAGGTCGAATTGCCTAGTCAGCCAACTAGGCCAGCAGCTAGGGCTCCGCCTAGGTGTAGTGGATGCAGGGAGATTGGCCACAGGATTAATGTATGTAAAAATCGCTATATCTAGTTGAATTGATAGGTGTTGGTTGAGATAATCGATTTTGAAGTATCCCCATGGGGGTAGGTGATCCGGTCGGCCGTGTGATCCGGTCGGCCGTGGATTACGTTAATAAGCTTAGAGAATTAGTAAGCGGCCTCTAGCCCGACGGTTTAAGGGCCTTACCCGCTTCAGTTTCTGCTTTATTTTATATGGGGCCTCCTGTGAAGGGGCTGAAGTAAGACTTGATTCAATCTGACTAGGCCAACATGCTGTTTACAAAAAGCTTAAGGAGAAGAAGTTTATCCCGTGCGTTCCCCACGTCAACATGCCAAGGTCTCGTGATACACGTGACCTATATCGGGCACTGGCCCGTGACAATACCCCCCTCCTAGTCTTAGTCTCGTTAGGGGCACGACGATATGGGCTTCGGTGCCGATTTGCTGACGAATCACGTCCGAAACAGTGCCGTGCTGCTCCTCAAAGGTATCTAGGGCGCTGCAATCCCGCACTGAATCTAGTGTTTCCCACGTCTGCTCTGCCCATCCTCTCCACTTCACTAGTACTTCGTCACGATATCCTCGCCTAATCTTCCTCCGT